CAGTTTGCGGATCCCAACTGCCATGACACGGCTGTCAGGAGGTGAACAGACATGGAGGTATCCGTACACTAGGCACTAGACGTGTGATATTGACAGGCCGGAGCATAATGGGATTTCTGGAGGTGCGAATGGTATCGCGATGCAAGCTCGATATCGAAATGCGGTGATGGATGGTTGGCATCGAGACTCGACGATTGGGCGGTATGGGAATTTGCAAGCGACGAGGCCTTTGAAGATGGCGACCCGCGGTCATTTCTCATATCCCTGGATGCCGGCTGACGTATCCCCAATCCCTGTGCCTCTTTGGCTTGCGAATGCGATTGAGAACTAGTGCTTTTATTTGTGCCTGTGCTGAAGACGTACTGCTATTGTGTGCGCAATGATTACGAGATGCAGACATAGAACCTGGAAACAGTATCTTTGCGGAGAATCAACCTGTGATGAGAGGATCGTCAGAGGAGTTCCCAAGTAACACAAAAGACTTGGACACCACGCGGTGCCGCAACAGCCAGCTTCTATGCCTCTTTCACGCCGGGTTACCTCATGAATAATACAGGGCGTTCCCTTTTCTGATGATGGGTAATGTTAAGCGCTGGCTTGATGTCTCGCGGCATCAACCGTCTGGCGTCAGCCCAAGAGGTCTCAAACTCGTACAGATACTATGTGAAACCATTCCGCTGTCGACGTTTGAAGACAGCTTGATCTGTGAGGTGATGAAGGTAGTAAGGTGCCAAGGCAGAGTAGCAGAGTAGTAGTGTCCGCGGGCCAGGAAAAGAGCCGGTGCAGCCACACCAGTCTCCACTATCCCTGGAGATCCGCTCTTTCCCTGCACCAATTTGACATCGAATTGGCCCGGAGGACGAACCGTGCAGGACACACACCCCGGGGAAAGAAGGACCCTAAGGCAAGGCGAGGTAAAGTAGGTACAGCCTGTTCAGGTATCGGGTGATAATTCACTTTATGTTGGATACCTCCATCAAGGTGCCGTAGCCTCAGTAAGACAAGTATGTTTGCGAGACTTTGCACCTCGCTCCAGGTACTCGAACTTCAAACCGGTACATGGGCGGTCCGTCTCTTTGTCATCGACCGATCTAATGGCCCTGGCCCTCTCTCTCTTTCCTCAACATCCCGTTGCTCCTCTTGGACCTTCGATGTCGAGAAAGGCTTGACATTTTCTCGATCAATCACCTCCTAATCACCCTCCTCAGGAAGCCATCCCCGTCCCAGAGTGTCATATTGCTTCCGAGTCTGCTAGCAAAACATGGCAAGCCGCAAAATGACGGAGATATTGTGGTTTGGAAGGCCTGTCATTTGACGGCGTCCCAATGATGCCGCCTGCTTCCCTGTCCTTATGCCCGAAGTGGAAATCACAGGTCTCTCTGAACCTGGCAAGGTAGTTCTCTGAATGTTTGCTCGCCCTCGTGCCCTCCTACCTAAGCACCCAACGTCACGTACCTGGCCGGTGTTGTTGGCTCTTCCCAGCCAAGGTACGGATGCCTTAGTTCCAATGCTCATGGCACCTACGCTACCAAATGGTAAAAGCCTTGTGGCATCACTCGTGTGCCACCTTCCATACCTTGGTTCATACTTCAAACTGACGTATCTTGTAATCTTGTGTCTAGGCCCCATTCTCTGGACCGAGTCACTGCTTGCACAATGTATATTGATACCCCGAGGAATTGAATAAATGTATTGAACGGTACTACAAGTTTGCTTAGTATCTTAGTGGATGGGGGGATAAGCCGGCGTCCCAATGAGGTAGTTGTCCCAGCTTCAACAAAGTTATGTCCTCTAAGATGTTGAGGATTCCCTCGCTCTGGATGAAGAGACGACGTTGAAGAGACAAGATGGCGAGCACTGCCGCTTGAGTGCGTGAGGTAGTCGGGAACGGTTCCAGATTCAATTGCTGATGCTCGCCGGTGCTGTTTAAGGGCTAGCGCACCGTTACAGGCGTTTCGACCCCAATCGGCCCCTTCCTCCACTGATTCGGGCACTGCAGTTCAATGTCAGTAGGTGAGTGGCCCCGGCCTTGACTCTTCGAGGTCCCGGGCCCGTCAACCAAGGCCCACCAAAGCGGAAAGTTCCTAATTGACGAGTGCGTGATTGCGTGAGGTGTTGCATTTCCAAAGTTTCCTCTTTTCACGTCCACATTCGGCGAGAACAAGTGAGAAACCGCACGCCCCACCGTCTCATTCCATTCCATTACCGGGGTTTAATACCTGAGGTACGGAGTAAGGTAAGGTATCCATCCGTAAGGTACCTTGCATTGCCTGCCACTGTGTAGTTCACCATACGCGCTATTCTTAGTTCTCTCTGTCTGCCACTTCCGCTGCATAGCGTTGCGGCGTTGCGGCGTTGCGGCGTTGCCTGGCTCTTTCTCAATTCTCTCTGCTTACCTTACCCTACCTCGCCTTCCTTACCCGTAACGCATCCACTCCGACTTGACGGGAAGTTGAGGCCCTGGGACGGGATCAGCTACACTAACAAGAGTCCTTGCACAAAGCACACGCCCGTACACACAAAGCTGTATCAACTGCATCTCGACGCGTCTTGCCGGCTCCCTCCTTGTCTCACATCCCCGCTCACAGTTGCACTTTTACGGACGAGACTATTCGTAAGAGCACTGCCGCATAAACGAGTTGGTTGGCTTTCTTTGAACCTCAGACCGGGGTCGCTTTTGACGCGTCCTACGATCCCGACCTCTATTGACACTCAATTTTGTCATGGCACCCACCTCAACACCAACTCCATATGACTTTCCGAGACTGAGAGTCTCGGTTCATCTCGAGGTACTTGCTCCCCCTTCCTCTGAGCTAGTCAAACTGGGGTCGAGGACCCCTTATTGCTCTTAGTCTATGCCTACCTGTTCTCTACTACCTGCGCATCTATGAATTGCCATGAGAGTTGCCCGGCTGCAATATCTACATTCGGAATTCCATCTTTCTCACGTGGATCTTTGCCGTTCAACATAGCCTTCTGACATGGCCAATAGGATGACACCAGATTCCTCGCTCAGGATGATCCAGTGCCTGGTAAGCCCCGCCCCAGCATCAACTCGAGGCACTGCTTTCAACCTTGGCTAATCTCGCCTCAGAGTTCTTTGATGTCAAATTCTGCCCCTATCAGCCGTTGGACGCGAGACCCGTCTTCGCCGCCGTCAGCAAGAAACATGTACGTTGCGCTTACGGGTTACTGAGGGAGTTATCTTTGCGTCCTAACCTCTTCTTCAGATAATAGTTTGCCGCCTCACGGCAGCTGCCGATGACTCGAATCCATGCGAGATTATTAGCATAATTCGGGATGATGATGTGCGTTCTCCCCAGTAGCCAAATTACCCACAGCAGCCTCGGCCACTGACTCGAATGAAGACTGAGGCAAGAAATTACTCCTGCACTTGGACAAGAGACGCGGAGACCGGCAGACCGCTATTGTGCTACGGCGGCGAAGACGCCAAGATCAAGGTTTACGACATCATTGAGCAGAAGCTTGTCAATGTGAGTTGAGATACGCCCAGATGATCCCGCGGAAGTTTTGCTCACATCTCACTTAGTGTCTCGTAGGCCACGGCGGGGTGAGTCATGTCGGGAGGATATCACATATTTGAGGCTCTTATTGATGAACCTTTAGGATGTTTGTGACGTGGTCACCTCTCCCATAGACCCCCTAATCATTGCCTCGTGTTCCGATGATACGACAGTCCGGATATGGAGCCTAGATCCCAAACACGAGAAGCAGCCCTGCTTGTGCATTCTTGGAGGCGAAGGTCATTACTGGAACTTGCTGACATTGGTAGGTTTAGCTCGATTGCTGCTTCCCGGACGCAACCCTGAAGCTGACTCTTTCATAGGCGTGGCACGATACGGGCCGATACATTCTTTCCGCTGGCCATGATCAAATAATCAACCTCGTAGGCAATATCCCCATGTGTCACGCCCAAGTTTCATTATTAATAGACCGAACAAACAGTGGACGGTGCCAGACCTTCCGACTGAGCACACCGAACGCCCAGTGGAGGTTCACTATCCTCACTTTTCAACATCAGAGGTTCACAGCAGTCTCGTAGATTGGTCAGTCGTTGCTTGAAAAGCTGCATATTACACGCTTCTAACGCCTCTCAGTGTATCCTTCTATGGCGACTACATCCTTTCTCGAGCCTGCCACGACGATGTGATTGTCTTGTGGAAGATTGAAGGCTTCTCCTCCCAAGACCCGCCCCCTCCGCAATCCATGGCTCCGACTACCATCAACCCGGCCAATCTTACCCGCTCTGCCTTTAGCCCGGGCGTTTCGGCAGAATGTCCAGCTCCCTACACGCGGCTCATCGAGTTCCAGACGCTCGGTTGCGGCCCGCAGTTCTTCATGCGGTTCAAGCTGCACTTCGTTCCCGACCAGCACCCCATTCTGGCCTTCTGCAACGCCAACGGCAAAATCTACTTTTGGGACTTTGAGCAGATTACAGGTTTCCACGACTACGTCAACGCCGTCAAGAAACCCAGGAGAGATGGGGAGGAGGCCATTCCGAAGCCCAGTTGGCTGCCGGCCATCACCCATCGGGCCAACACAAACGGCAAGGCGGCGCCGACGGTCCGAGAGAAGAAGGCGGCCGACAAGGCTCACCGGACGGAGCTCGAGCAGGTTCCCGAGCTGAGGGCCCAGTACAACCAGGAAACGCTGCAGACGTGGGATGGCAAGTTTACCGTCGGCAATCCTCAGGTTCCCCTGAAGCCCCACAAGATTGAGAATTGCGGCGCGTCGACGTTCGTGGGTAGACAGGTCGCTTGGAGCCCTGGAGGTGAATGGTGCGTCGTCGTGGGTAGCTCCAACTTTGCTCTGGTCTTCCAGAGATGGGTACCCAAGAAGGATGCGTGAGTCAAATCGTTAGGAAGGGGGCCGTGAAAGCAATGTCGGGTACCTTTTAGAGTAGTCCATCGAATCGTACCAATCTTTGATACTCTCGACTAGCTTAGTTTTCCGCATCAGAATAATATCGGCCAGCGCTTCTAGCTAGCTGTACGATACTCTCTGAACGCAAGTGACGAAAAGACGGGCAACACAGGCCCCTCGTCCTCCTCAACGGGCGCCATCAGCCTCTGAATCAAAGCATCAAGTTTCCCGCCGTGCTCCGCCATCTTCTGAAAGCTGCTCCGCGCATTATTCCTCTCCGCCTCGCGCCGCACCCTCGCCTCCGCCATCTGCTGGACCCCTTCGTCGTCGTCGTCGTCGTCGTCGTGCGTGTACGCCGGGATGAGCAGGTCGCCAATATACAGCGACACCATCCCGCGTACCCGCCACAGCTCGGCGCTGTGCGAAAACGGCCGGTCCTCGAGCAGGTCGTTCATGCGGCCCGCCACCTCGCGCAGCATGTCGAGCGTCTTGAGCCGGATCTGGTCCCTCGCCTGCCGCAGCCGCGTGTCCCGTCCGTTGACCTGCTCAGACCGGGCATGGAAATCCGAGCCGTCCATCATGCTGTCACCGCCGCCGCCGCCAAGCAGCGAAGAAGGCTCCTGCCACGACTCGTCCTCCCAATCCTCCGCCTCGCGATTCATCCTCCTCAACGAAGCCGCATGCTGCGCATGCACCTGAAACACCTCATAACTCAACAACGCAGGCCAAAAGTCCACGGCACACACGGCGTGGCGGTGCTTAAAGTTATACGGGAACCGCTGGATCAGATCCCGAAAGTAATCGCGCACGACAGGCGCGTTGGCGAACGGGTACGCCTCGTCGTCCGTCGCCGTGGCGCGGGCGCTGCCGCCCTCGCGCATGAGGATCTCGGCGCCGAGGGCCCAGTAGTTGTTGCGCCGGACGTCGACGGGTTTCCCGTGGACGGTGGACCGCGCGAGGATACCGAACGCGCGTTTTGCGTTGGGGATGTCGCCGGTGTCGAGGAAGTTGTAGATTGCGCGGACGAGGGGACGGAAGGGGGATTTTTCAGAGGCGTATTTTGCTTTTGGGGTGCCGCCGCCGTCCTTTTTCTTGCGGCGGCGCTTTTTGCCTTCGTCGTCTTCTAGATTGTCATTGTCGTCGTCCTCCTCTTCTACCTCGCTGGTCTCGAGTGCTTTTGACGAGGCGGACCGTCCCAGCCGGGCCGGCGGCGCATCGGGGTCTTGCCAGTGGCGGTGCGGAAATTTGTGCTGCGTTCTCGAGGGCAGCTCGTCCGTCTCTGCGAGGCCAGCGAGATGGAGCTGGCGGAGGATGGAAGGGGTATGGCTGAGCGGGTTGATGGAGTCGCTGGGGAGCTGGAACTGGTATCTGTACTCGTTGCCGTCGCTCATTGACATTGCTGAGGCGGACCTCTTGCGGCTGGTGGCTGGCTGGCTCATGGTTGCTGCCGCCGCGTGTGCGCGCACATGCGATGAGGTTTTTGATGATACGGTTGAATTTATATTGGTTTCGTATGTCTTTTGGATATTTTGGTATTGTTATTCAGGTTTCATCTGTGTTGGCAGACTTGAGTGAGGTCGAGGTAATGGTGTAAGTAAGATGAGTATGTGGTGAGAATTCGGTCAAGAGTAAAGTGGGGCTACTGGCTTCATTTACACCGTGTCTACCGGAAGGGTGCCAATTATCAAGTGACGGACGCCGAAGTTTCAACAAGTTGCTTGAAATCATTTCGCACCAATATTCATGAATTCTTTTCTTGTTTGCTTTCAGTTCAAATATCTATCTATGCCTAGACGTGTGAATCAGGGATCAAAGGCAGCCATATCTTTGACCCATCCGCTCTTGGCCCCAGTCCAAGTTCGAGAGGCGTCGCTCCAATGCCTATTGTAATCCAGCCCGGACTCTTCCTAGAGATTCAAATCAAATCCGTCGGTAGAATTGCCATCGCGATGATACTGCACGGCTTCCAATGCCTCTTTATATAAATTAGTCCTGCTTCAAAGCACCGCAGGCTTTGCCCGGTGTTGGACAAGGCGAGTAAGGCCTCAACCAGCCCGTCATTCCCGTCTCGAGACCCGACAGCCGACAAAGTTCATGATGTTACCAACTCCTTGTAATGAACCTCATAGCCAGGGAACACGTGGAAAAGACACTCTCACGACAGCTGCCTTTGTCTGCGCAACAACCCACATGGGAAAAAAAGCAACATCTCGATGTATCTTTGGTCATCAGTCGCCTAATGTACATTATCTAGAATTGGCAAGGGTCTTCTGCAGCAAGAAGCATCCGCTTACGAAGACTTGCGCTCAAAGTAGGTCCACTGGCCCTCAACAGGCTTCTCCTCAAGGTCCTCCCACCTGATTATTGTCAGTTAGCAAAGGTCGGGGAGAAAGGAATTGGAAAGGCGGGAAAACGTACACCTTGGCCTGTGTCATCACATCCACGAGCTTCAGCTCGCTCTCGGCAACCTGGATAACCTCCTCAATGAGGCCAGCTCCGATCTTGGTCTCCAACTCAGAAACCCTACAGAAACCACACGTCAGTATAAGCCCCCCTACCCCCTTGCCAGCAAAACCCATCTTAAATGTGGCCCTGCCCCGGGGAAAAGAACAAAACGTACTGGTCGGCCGTCAATTGCGGCTCCGCCTCCCACTGCACCTTGGCAATATCGTTCAGGTCCTTGCGGTCAGCAAGAAGCTGGTGATCCTTCCGCTCGGCCTCGGTACGCGGGCCCTCCAGGGTTCCGCCCTCGTCCTTCTCGCCATCCCACTCCTCGAGGCGCACGTCGCCCTCCTCGTGCTGCGTCGCGACGACAAACGTCCGGCCGCCGAGCCTCACCGTCCGCGCGCCGCTGCCGTCGACGCGGCCGCTGACGAGGCGGAACTGTTCGGGCTTCTCCTTGACAATCGCCTCGGCACGCTTCTCCCACTCGAGGTAACCCGGCGGTACCGTCGCTTCGACGAGGCCGAGACGGTGCTTCGTGATGGCTTCGACCGATTGGCGGTAGAGGGAGGACTCGGGGACCGTCTGGAGCTTCTCGAGGGTGGTACCGTATAGGTAGAGCAGCGTCGATCGCGGGCTGTTGTGCGTCCAGAGGCCGGTGAGGCCAGTCGGGGTGCCGGCTTCGAGGTAGCGAGCAGGCTTGACGCCCGCGAGGAGGCGAAGTGTTCTCCGCATGGTTGCGATATCAATTGGCTCGAATTGGAGATCGCGGGTGTTCGGTGAATTGAGCTATGGAGCGCAAGGTCGGCCAGCTATTCTGGGTGATGCAGTGTTGCTTGGATTTCATTGACCAGTAGAGTTCATTACATAAGTCAGCACTTCCGAGTCACGTGACTCTAATCTGTCATTCAGACACTCTCGGAAGCGCAGGCAATTCTGTGTCGCTTTCAATTATCATTTATTCAATCGAGTGCATGTATTTGACAACCTCAAAGACCTCGGCTGCATTCTGTGTTTTACTTGGGATTTGAGTGCCGTATTTGAAGGCACTCTTGGAGTCAAACATCGCCGTTGGCATGACGCTCCACTGGTGATGCACTACTGATAGAATGGCCAATAAAGAGACTCTTCTCACACAGAAGTACAGATAGGTAGGCGTGCAGGCTGGCACCGGATTGAGGAAATGGACAAGCTATCTGAATTTAATGCCAAGTCGTTCTACCCAGTCACAACTGCTGGTAGACGTTCGGAGTTCGTCAAACGTGAAAACAACTCTATATTCAGAAGTCGTAATATCAACCTTGAACGGACGCGATCAGGACGCTCTCACACCCTGGTATGAGGGTTTCAGACGTCGATAACGAATCGAAGTAGTCCCTAAAGCCACACATGGCTGAAATAGAAACAAGCCGTCTCTCAACGATACATGGTGCGCAACACACGCGGCCTCAGCCATGGCGGCTGCAACAAAAGCAATCGGGCTTCCCCCGACCTCCAGGTACACCAAACCGTGGGATGCTGACTGCTCGGCAGACGTCAACCAAATCTAAGTATGATGAAGCTGCTAGCACTGCAGAGGCGGTGGCGATCAAGAAAATAGGCGCTCACTTCCAGCCGCTTAAGAGGCGTTCTCACGGCTCTTGCGGTAGCTGGCCTGCAGCGAAAGGGCGTCAGCACGGATCGGTCTTCGTTATACTTCGTAGTTCGAGGCGCGACTAACCTCCTGCTCAACCTGCAGGCCATCGACAACCGGGGCAAGCTCGCTCAAGATCTCGTAGGCCTTCTTGTGGTACTCGATCTGAGCAGCAATCAGGTCGGCAAGGTTGCGAAGGGGCTCAGGGGTATCAAGAACCTGTGAAGAGAGTTAGCGATCGCCGTTGTCGTGCTGGAAAAAGTTCAGGTCTACGAACATTCTTCATGACACCAACGGCCTCCTCAGTCTGCGTGACAAAGTCGTCTTCGGCCTTCTCAATCTCCTCCTGGGCCTCAGGGCTCAGCTCCGGAGGCTGGCCCTCGTTGGGAGTGGCACCGGGGCCCATCTTCCAGGTGGTGCCGTGAGCGCGGGCCTTGGCAGCATCGAGAGTCAAGCGGGACTTCTCGACGTTCTGGCGGGCGCGGGTAGCGAACTTGAGGTTGGTGTTCAAGGTGGTGTTCCAGCCGGCAAGGAAGCGGCTCTGGATCTGGGCATCCTGGGCCATGCGGGACTCGCCAACTCGCTCCATAGCCAAGGCATACTTCTCGAGAGCCGTAGCCAAAGGATCCTCGCCGGTTCCGGTATGCTGCTGGTGAAGCACCTGGCTGCTTGACAGACTGGCTCTGGCAATGGCATGGTTGAAGGTCTTGGGCTGGGGCTTCGCCGAAGGGGGAGCGGTCAGGGCTGCCTGGGCCTCGGCCGGGGAGCCAGCGGACGAAAGGAGAGTGACCTTCTCGCTGACGGTGCGACCGAGATCCTGGAAGGTCTCCTTGATGTTGGGCGGGTAGTCGTAGGCCTCGTTCGAGTATTGCGAGCTTCAGTCATCGGTGTTAGTCGTCGATTTTCGACGCGTGGGGCATCTCTGCCAACAACTCACGTCACAGCCAGCATCTTCTGATGCACCTGCTTGAGGGCATCGACGCGCTTCTCGAGATCAATGTAGTCGGGAGGGAGCTGGGTCTGTGGGAGACAAGTAGATTAGCTCTTGCTTCATTAAGCAACTGATAGGTCGGCGCAAAGAAACAAACGTACCTTATCCTCGGCCTGGCCAAGCTGCTCCTTGGTGTACTGGAAGGTACGGGAAGCGAAAGGGGTGATCGAGGACCCAAAGGAGCTGCATTAATGGGATTTCGTCAGCCTGGATACAGCACTCGCGACCGCTGACATGAAGGGCATGCGACAACGCACGTGAAGCTTTTGCCGAGATTCTTGAAATCCATCTTGGCGGTAGTTTGATGTGACAAAGTAGGGTGGAAAAAAGAAAGCGACTCGGTCGCTGCGGGAAAGTCGGCACTGACGATAAATGCCTGTTGAACGGGTTGAGGTGGGTTGTAGATGCGGGAGTTCTGCCTTCGTGCCTGCCTGCGACCTGAAGCAAGATAGACAGGTATCCAGTATGTTAAATTGGCTGCACAGCAACCTCCAGCATGCTGTCACAAGCTACCCAGGGGCAGCTGGCCAGGTGGATCAGTCAAGCAGGGAATGGGTGCACACTAGCGCACGTGATTTGTGGGACTTTCTTCGGTACGTACTACCTGCGTCCCTGACAGCTTTGGATGGCATTGTCTCCTCACAGCTGGAGGATGCATCCCTTTCTCAGGAATACCGAGGAGCAGTTCGTCATGCAGATTCCGGTCGGGTTCATGGTCTTTGGTGGAAACCACAGACCTTGCATTCACCCTTCCTTGATCGTAATTTCACGTCTAAGGTAGTAGGTGAACTTCCCATAACATAGTCCCATATGCAAGATGGTGATGTCTAGATAGTCACAGTGGCCCAGCTAAGACTGTTCATTTGTAACAAGCACATAATCAAAGTTGATCTCGCTTTTTATTTCTTTTGAATGCATTTTGCTTTCTATTGAACCCCCCTCCAATCTTGATCTTGCCATGTGGAGCTCCTTCTCAGAGCCACTCCCTTATGTCTTAGTCGGGCGGTTTTGTGTCTGCCCATGATGGTTCAATATAACGACAAACATTCTCATAATCCAGCAGCTTTGGATCGCTCAGCGGGAGATGTGGTGTTGTCCAGAACATGGTCCAGTTGGTATCCTTAAGTTTCCATGTGCCCAAGGATCTCTCGAAATACCACTTATTGACGGGGTTGTCCTGTCGGCTGCGCCAGCAGACACCTTCTGGGAAGCAGCCTCTGACCATGGCGTTGAAAACCACATCTGCAACTCCACCACTTCCTTGTCGGCTTTTGAGAACCGCAAACTTATCCAAGTACGGAACCAGTCGACCAGTCTTATACGCGGTCTCCTCATCCAGTCCGAAAGGCTTCTCCCAGGTAAGGATTGCTCCCCCCTCGTACTCTCCTGCAATGATGATGCCGGCCAGGTTCTCGTTGACGCGCTCTAGGTAGTGCTCAACGTCCAATTCCCGGTTGAAAGAGTCGTTAATGAGATTGACCAGTCGTGGCATATCTATGCAGGTGTCTGTAAGCCTCAAGCGCGGACCGCCTGGCCGAGGCGGCACCCAAGCACTGATCGTGGGATCGGGATACACTGTAAGCGGCATGCCGCGCTTGACCAAAGTTGCCACATGGGTCTCGCCAGATGCCATGTCGCCCTTTTTCCCAGAGCGGACCCGGTCGAGCGGTAGTGATGACGAAAAGACGGGTTTATCCGTCAGTAGGTTGTGGATCAAAGGATTTTGCCGGTTACGTGTCGTGACGCTTGTAAACTGCTGAATCGGCTTGTTTGCTGCAGCAGATGGGGTGCTGATTATGGCAGAAGAAGTCGAGGGTAACATCGCAAGCACCTTCTTTGACAGGTCAAGGTTCCGAGCGTGGAGCTGCCGCACACTCTCGGGGTATTTACCTCGTCGTGCTTCTGACCCTGTCGGGTGTGTGAGGCCATACATGATGCCCTCAAATTCTTGGTCCAAGTTGATGTATCGATGACACGAATCATCATGTGCATCAGATAGAGGTGTGCCTCCAGCTGGGTCTAGGATGATGACCTTCTCGACCGAGGCAACCTTGGCGCCAGGGCTGAGACTGGAGTCAGGCGCTCCAACGGGGCTTTCAGAGGCGTTGAACTGAAGGCCACAAAAGAATTTGGTGAGCGCAATGATGGTTTCGTCAGCGTCCACCACGTCGATGCTCTTCATGTTGTGTGACAAGGTGACTGGAGGAACAACAACAATCGCATTGTCTCGCAGAGCTCGCAACAGAAGGTGCGGGTGCTGAATATAAACGCCGGATGGCATGAAACCCTTTGTTTGCGCCGTCTGTGACTCAGCCTCCGCAATACACTGGTCAAGTAGGATGCTACCCGGCTCGCCAAACGTTTCAATGGCTTGCTGGACTCTCCATGACTGCTCCCGGAGAAGCTTTCGGAACGACACTTGTCCTCCATCGAGGACAATAAGGCTAACGAGACCTAACTTCCTAAGTTGGGTCAGGGTTTTGGCCATTGCACTCAGCATTTCGTCGTCGACATCCTGGGGAAGGCGTATCTTGACAATTGCCAAGTTGATGGGTTCGCCTTCAGGAATGGCACTTTCAGCCTTGAAGTCAGTGCCTTGAATGAATTTCGGCGCCTGATTGATTACTCGAACGGAAGAATAGGTTTGGTCAGGCCCCTCTTGTGACTTGGAGAACTTGCGCTTCTTGGAACCATCCTCGCCGGACTGAGGAGCGTATTTTTGAAGGTAGCCTTTGGCATCACGACGGGTAGCCGAGGCCTCTAAGACGGACACAATGAAGTCCTGCAGCTCATGTCAGCTATTGAAAGAATAATTAAGGCGGACATTCAATAAGTACTCTGTCCTCTGCTCGTTGTCTCTCACGAGCCTGATTGCTGGATGAGTGGCGGACTGCTGATAGGGCACTTTGCAAGGCCTCTTCTTGACGCGTGCCTCCTAACCGTGGGCGGTGATAAAGTCTACAATTGGGCGGACTGCAAGAGTCGAGAGCGAACGGTGCCTGATATGAACTTTGTAAGGCCTGGGCACAACGACTTCAAGCCGTGTTGGATTTGGGGGTTCAAATGCATACCCTTGCAACCAGGTTGCTTGCTTGCTTCAACGCTGGAGACCGCATCTTACCGATAACGGCGAGAAATGTAGGGCATGCCGGAGATGTGCTTCGTTGGCCTACAGTGGCAATATGAAGACCGAATAGAAGGTGATGCGTTCTGTTATTTGAAAATGAGTCCGGATGGGCACAATCCTGTTGTTCCTTCGTAAAGAGTATAAGCAAGAAAGGGAATAACTAGTTTTGAGATAAGTGAAGGCGTCAAAAGAAGCTAGACTCTGTGGCCCAAGTCTCTGGCCGATTAGAGGCAGCGTGGCAGCGTCGTGAGAGGGGGAAAGGTCAAAGCAAATACATCCCTTCAGACAGCCATGCGAATGACTGTCAGGTCGCTTTGGGATCCGTCTGAGCACTGAACCGCTCTCGTAAGAGTGAAGTTGGAATGTCAAAGTCGGAGAGAGTTTAAGAGTCGGTGACGAAGGGAAAGGGACCTTGGCTTAGGCCGGCAGAGAGCACGAACTGCAACCCGCCCTGTTCCCCCGACCGAGAAATTCCCACTTTGTGAGTCAAGGTGACCTACCAAAGGGCGTACTGATAAGACGATAAGATCAGATACGTCTCCATCATGGGGACCGCCATCGGCGACCGTTAAGTATTACCGTAGCACCGAGGCGAGCTGTCGGACAAGAAGACGAGGTAAGAGAAGACAAATCACCAATCGAAAAAAAACCTCAACAATTGGCGCGGTTCATCGACTTCCGCGCACTCCTAATGCAATTGCATGCACGGTGAAAAATTGGCTCAGCATGTGACGAGGGGCAAAAAAGACCTCAGCAGTGGCAGCTTCGCACGACTTACACCAACTACCGCCAACCAACAAAGGTACAGATAGTCTAGTAAGAATCTCACTGCTTGGCAACCCAAGGCACAACTGCCAGGGCGGGAGCAGCCGTAGATGCACACTAATCAGCTGGGCTGCCTTGCTCAACTCCGCGTCAGGTACGCTCCCGACGTCTGAGCTCCGTTGGCGTGGAAAAGGGATCATGAATAGGTGTCTAAAGTTGTAAAGCGGGCTATGCAGTGGAGCAAAGTTGTAAACCCGTTGGTTGATCACTTGTCTTCAACTGCTATTAAGGTGCCGTTGACACTAGGTACCTTACTTGACAACTTGCCTTGCCGTAGTTACTTGTACTATACCGTTTTGTTAACCTCAAGGTGCTCCTATCTATTCACTATGCTAGTCAATCTCTTAGCCCCTGCCATTATAGGTTCCAAGTTGCCGATGAAAGTGCCGCTGTGGCCTCTATGATGAACCGAAGCAACCCCGCTCGGGCAAAGCCGTTGTCGTCACCTCGCCCTTCAAACTCAACTGACCGAGACCCTGAGGGGCTTTTCGGCATGTTCATGCCGCCGCTTACATGTCACCAACTTCATTAAACTTCTCATGAGCTTCATCCTCGAAACAGGCACATTCATCTCTTAACTTCTTGTATTTCACTTGACTTTGATCTGCATAACCATTTTTCTTCTCTCCAAACCTCATTTACTACTAGTCATCATCTTCCAAAACACACTTCACAATGGCTCAGACACTTCTTTGGATCGGCCTCGGCAACATCGGCAGAGTGAGCGTTTCCCGATTTCTGAGTTAAAGACCCTATTTCGATCAAGACATGCAAGCTTACCATAGTACTCAGGGTATGTGTAAAAACATTGCGGAAAAGTCCAAACTTGACAAGCCGCTCCTCATCTACAACCGTACCACCAAGCGAGCCACAGAACTGAGCCAGAGCCTGCCCGCCGTCAAGACGCAGGTCGTCGAGTCGCTCGGGGACGCCATCGCGCAGGCCGACATCATCTTTACGTGTGTCGCCAACGACCAGGCAGTGGAGGAGATCTTCGCAGCCGCAGCCCAGCAGAAACTCGAGGGCAAGGTCTTTGTGGAGTGCTCAACCATTGCTCCCGGTGCCTCAGAGGCGGCTGCGAAGGCGGTGCTGGACAAGGGCGCCGAGTTCATCTGCGCGCCCGTGTTTGGAACGCCTGCCATGGTGGCTGCCGGCAACGCGACCTTGGTGCTTGCCGGGCCCAAGGCCTCGATCGAGAAGATCCGGCCTTATATCGATGCCATGGCGCCTCGTGAGATCAACATGGCCGATGAGCCGTACCACAAGGCGTCGACGTTGAAGGTGCTGGGCAACACCGTCATCTTGGGTATGGTCGAGCAGCTCGCCGAGACGTATGTGGCTGCCGAGAAGAGCGGGCTCGGGACCGGGTACATGAAGCAGTTTGTCGACGCCGTGTTCGGTGGCAGCCCTTACCCTGCGTACTCGGTGCGGATGTTGGAAGGCGACTATTACAAGAGGGAGGAACCGCTCTTCGCTGTTGATTTGGCGAGGAAAGACGCCGGTCACGCGATGGCTATTGCCAAAGCCGCAGGTACACGGCTGCCGAATACTGAAAACGCCGATAGGCATCTACAGATTGTCAAGGAGCACGTAGGGCCGTCTGGCGACATGGCCGGCATCTACGGTGCTGTAAGAAAGGAAGCTGGGCTCAAGTACGAGAATGACTCTTGAGCATGGGCTCCCAATGCTACAAACATAGCTCAAAGCTCATGAGATTAAACGTTAATGCAGAATGACGTAAGATTATAAAAGACATGAGCATATTGATCTTGGCTTAGTTGCATGCCTCTAGACAAATGCTATATTGCAGCTAAACCTCGAGAGAATCTACTGTTAGTGACTTGAGAAGTGAGCAAAAAGGTACCTAGATGGGTACTTTGCCCTGGCATGACAGACTCACAGAGGCGGGAGCTTGGGGGAGACACGGATGACTAAGCACCAGCGACCATCGAGCTGCCGGCTGGTGCTCTGCACCGACAGCTGCACCCACAACTGAAGTTCAGGACCTCCTACCTAGCTCAGCCTTCCCGACGACGACAGAAGCAATCGACGAAGCAGCACGACGACATCAACGCGAAATCCGACCTACCTGTACACACCCCATACCACACCGTCTTCCAAACCGAGCAGCAAAAATGGCGCAAGGGTTCGTTCACCCTCCTCACCGAAAGCATACTCCGACGACCGATGTATTGACATGAGAAACAATAGGTACAGCATCTTCGTCGGCCTCGTCATCGTCGTCGCGATGGGCGCTGGCGCATGGTTCCTGTCTCCCAAGGGCGATACCCAAATGTACGTGTTTCTCTCACTCGAAAGCGAACTATCTCCGCAATCGAAGAACTCCCATCGTCTTCGTCATTGCGACAGAACACACGGCTGACCATCATCTACAGCATCTGGAGATCGTCCCTCCTCCTCGCACTCGCATGCTGCTACCTCATGTGGGCCATCACGTTCCTCGCCCAGCTCCACCCCTTGATCGAACCCAAACGCAGCAACCTCCGAGAGAGTGCCGTGCACCATTAACGACTTGTTCGAGGTGACGGTGAAAGGGCGGGGGAAGAGATGCAACGCGATGGGGGGCGATGTACCATTATCGATTTCACACAACTGCAACTTCATAAGGACGGCGTTTAAGGGGCTTGTTAGGGTTCTGTCATAGAACGGCGCGTGACTGGCTGTTGAAGAGTGCCGCCTCACATCCAAAGGGTAGCTCAAGATGCCGACAGGTGATGCCAGTCCGCTGGCGATGAGGATTGCGGCCGGACTGAGTTTGCACCTGAGATGGCAAGGCGGCTAGTTATACAACATCAATTCACGCAATGCCGAGTGGTACATATTACACATTCATCTCGTTTGTCTGAGTCTGACATCTATATACTGCCTGTTATCCTGCGGCTAGATCACTTGCCCACTCCCTCACGTACATCAAAAGAGCCCAGAGTGCTTTGCCATCTGCGGCAATGCTCGTTTCTCCGATGGAATCAACACCATCTAGCCCGGCAGCCCAGAGGACACTGCGTCCCACCGTCCACCGGGCAAGAGCTCCCAGCGTGGCGAGCAAGGTGGCAACTCCGTAGCCGCAGTCCAGCAAAATACGAAGGGCCTCGACGTTATTTGCTACTACGGCCCACCCCAACGACCGAGCGGCAGCTGGGACATCGTACTGCCATATGACCATGAGGATCGGGAATAGCTTGGTCGAGGACGAGACAAGGAGTGCGGTCGAGACGGAATTCGGACGCGAATATCGGGGCAAGATGTTGAAAAAGTTCAGCGGAGAGAACTTGGACGAAGTCAGGAAGCGAATGCTCATGTGGAAGGCAAATGTCGACAAAGCGCAAAGGATTACTGCCGGAGCGTTAGTTCTTCACTTGAGGCACGCCCCTACGTCTCGCATTATACGTACAGAAGAAGAAGTATTGGGACACAATAGACTGCTGTGCCAAGCTGCCCAGGTTGGCACCTTCGCCCCGGGCAGAGATGGGCACCGTCTGCTTCTCAATGCGCGCCCATGTCAAGTAAACGTCGAATAGTAGCAATAGGATGCCGAGTCGTACGATGGATGACTGCGCAGGAAAACCCGTCAGCAAAGGTCTTGATCTTGGAAGTAGACAGGTGACGCAAATCTCTATGACTTACATCAAAACGGTCGTCATCCTTCATCAAGGTATTGTGCAACAGGTGACGATAGACCTGGGGTTTGATCAAGACGAGATCGATGAACAGCACCACGAAATCGTGCTCGACGTATTTGTCGCAAAAGTGACCGCAGTTTCTGCAAACGGTCAGACGAATGTTGTGACCACTCGACTTGTCGTCAGCGTTGGAGTATTTGGTCCATAGTGTCTTGACCGGATGGCGGCACTCGATACAAATCGGCATCGCAAGCTGGGGGGGTTCAGGGTCGAAAGACGTCGCCAGGGGATGAATCGTTCGGCATGGGTAACTGCGGTAATGGGTTGTTGCTCGCTACTGGATCTCGTTCGACTGTATGCGACTATCGAGATTGGCGATTGCGACGTGTGGCATGGTCGTGGCCGTCTACACCGGAGCTTTTCTGCGCTGCGCCAGAACCTGGATTCCAGCTTCGTACTTGGAGTTCTGCAATATGGGGAAAAAAGAGGTACCTGTCGCGACCGCGAACTCGCACAAAGTGTTTTGAGTGGGGCCGCTGGGAGCCGGGCGGAGCGTCGAGTCGGAGGAGTGGAATGGCCGTGCACGGTTCATGCTCTCACCCGGCGGAGGGGCAGTAAGGTACCTACGAAGTCCAAGAGGGGCGAATTGATTACTGCAGGTGGTGGGCGAGCCCGCGAACATGACTCTCCAGGAGTCCCAGGCTTGCCAGATCTCTCCAGTAATTAGGACTGACAGTCATATCCTTTTTCCCCATTGTCCGCCCCCACCACCGCTGGGAACTCATGTCCGTATAGCCCGCTACATCGGGACCTCAAACAGCCCAGGCCTCAAGCGAATTGGGGGATTGCAGGAATGCCACCTGTTCTGTCCCCACTGGGAGGACCGCTAATCATTTCAGTACGGATAGGACAGGGAGCCACAAGCAATCCTCGGTACCTAACTTAGGTACCTACATTACCTAAGTACCTCGAGCCACGAGGTTCGGAAGTACCTTTCAGAGAGTTCTCGGTGCGTGATTGTGTCGTCTTTGGCGGCTGGCCAAGGGTCCCTTCAAGTCCCTTGGCAAACCCTGGTCCACATCCCTCGACGGGCCCCAGTGCAACCCGCCGCCTCAGCACCGCAATGGGAGGACACTTAACCCAGTGGAGAGGTGCCCATATCGCATACGCACATACGTACATACGCACATACAGTACCGGTACGCTCCCGCTGCCACCACCCACGGTCGGTCGCCATCCTACCACCACTTCCCACTGCTGCTTGTCACTGCTTGCTTGCTTGCTACTACTGCATACGCTAAAGAAAGGTACACCTCCACGGTTCCAATTGTCCATCCATTCGGCCATCTTACATCACTTCCATCACTTCCATCCATTCATTCATCACCCGACCAAAGACTACTGCACCTGCTCCTCCCTTCGCCTCAGCTGCCCTACTCTTCGAGATACACGCGAGAGCGACACTCTGACATACCCTGTGAACCTAATCCGCCTCGACCGAAACACATACTTTATCGCCCGCTCCTTCGAACTCCCCACCGCTCCCAACCTTCTGTGCGTCCTACTCCGAAGTCGCCCACGGCGCCGACCACCCAGATCGCCTACTACCGTCTTCCAAGCGACCGAATACTGTCGATGATCGAAGCCACGCGCTGATGCCCTCCCTTTCAACTGCCTACCACCCAAGCGACGAGGTGGGCGGCCTGGCTCCATCATGGCAGATTCCTTAAACCCGGCTGGGTCGACATCACACATGTCTTCTTCGGCCCTCATGCCAGCACGTCATGATGCCGAAGCCCGCCCACGCAACCGGCGACTCATCAGCACTGTAGAGGAATCCTCCACGGCCGGAGGGCCCTTGGACAGGCTTTCGGCCTCCTTCTCTGCCTTACGTTCACCAAGCCGCGAGCCAAGCCCCATGCCTTCCGGCCACTTATCCCGAGATGCCTCCAAGTCTGGTGCTCGAAGTGCATCCTCCGCCGCCCGCCGAAACAACACCGCACCAAACTCGGCCAGTTTCCTCGATACCACATGGTCGCAAGGCTGGGCTTCTATTCAGGGGCTTGCTTCTTCCATCTTGTCTGGTGGAAGTGTCCACGATGCGGGCTACGAGTCAGATCACCGGGAAGGGAGACGGACGAACATCAATCCGTTGAAAAGAGATTACTCTACCCCGCCACGAAAGGCTCCCAAAGACTGGGGTCCCGCGCCGCCGCCCAGTAATCGGCCTGCTCAGAGAGACATTGCGGCAGGCTCTCTCGCAGAAAGAGATGCTGCCCTCAAGGCAGCCCGGACAGCGAGCGTTTTGGAAAGTCACGACGGAGTTAATGGAGGCCTCGATGTGTCGGGCAAGTATAAGAAGAGGAACTCGGACGAAATCGCCAGGGACGCACCACAGGAAGAAGAGGTCCAAGATCAACTCGTGTATATACACCATGTGCAACCAACTGACACCTATGCCGGCATAGTGCTCAAGTACAGGTGCCGCGAAGACGCATTCAGAAAGGCAAACGGCCTGTGGTCTAGAGACATACTGGTGCGCAAGTGGCTTGCCATACCAGTAGATGCATGCGAAGTCAAAGGTCGCCCCTGCGAGCCGCCTTCGCACGAGGGGCAAAATGTCGACTTGCTCGCTCCAACACCGGAACTTCGAAGCGCTCATGGATGGGGTAAGCAGACCTCGGCACAACCGCAACAAGTCGACTTCTTCAGTCTGCCGGCTCAAAACGGCTCAGCGTCTCGACTCTCCAACAACGAAGACCAGGAGGAGCCTCCTTGGTCTCACGTTCGATGGGTTACACTGGATTCTGTTCCCAAACCAGTTGAGATCGCCCGCGTGTCGAGCAAAACAATTGGGTACTTCCCTCCACGACGGAAGAAGAGCATCCGAAGCACCTCAAGCATATCGACGCCGAGACACTCTCTCGATGCCGCGGCAATTACAGCTGGCCTCACAGAAAGTCCCGAGCAAGTCGGCAGGCCATCATCGCGGCGCCAGAGCAACTTGAGTAGTCGGCCAAACCTCCCCGGCACTCCAGGGCGATCAACTCCGGCATCGTCGAGAAGCAGGATGGGCAGTGATGCGGGCGATACGCGGCCAGCATGGATGAGGAGGCCCGGAGGTGTGGGCTCTATGGGGCGAAGTGTACGAGCACCTGGTCCGGAGAAAGATTATCTCAACTCCTGGGCGAAGAAGCACCTCCCTGGAATCGCCATCGACGAGTCTCTGCCATCGATATCCGTCATGGGGTCAGAGACTGCAAACTTTGGATTTCGGCCGGGTTCCAGCAGTGGCATTGTGGAGAGTCCGTTTGACGAGGGACAGGATCTGTCAGCGACGTCCCGACAAGGCTCTGGCTTAGACCGCGCAGCAGCATCAGTGGAGACGTGGCTTCGAGGCGCTTTTGCAAAGTCTCCGGGCACGCCTACCTTGGGGTCCCGAAGCCGTCAAGTAGATGATCTAGATCTCATCGAGTTGACTGATACAAACAGCGACGATGGAAGGTTGCCCATGCCAGCAAGCAGCGGAGTGACCAGCACAGGCTTGCTCGACGCTGCGCCAATGACGGTTGGATCTAGTGCGAGGAGCGATGGAGAGGGAGCTGTCTTGAGACGAGGCTTGAGCAACACCGGAGCAGCAGCAAAGGGCAAGAAGTCGGACTGAAAGAGTTCGCTCAAAACAAGTCTGCGTCATCTGCTGTCGAAAGGGGAAGAGTTGGAACTAGGGACTACAAATGGGTGGTGCTCTTTGAACAAAGACTCTGCAGGAAACACACCCTGTGATTCAAATTCACAAGGAGAAGACCCCTGCGAGGTATACGGGCGATGGAAAGGTATCGGACTCGTATTGAAGTGATTGCGCATTACACAGGCGTTAGCGGGCATTGAAGGAAGGGCAGATAGAAGGGGGGCAGGCACAGTGAGTGCGCCGGTCAGGGGGTTGGCGTTCAACCTTCTGAGCCCACCACCAGTAACCCCCCCTCTTCCATCTTTGTTTACAACTTTTTTTATTTTCAAACATTAGACTTGGAAGCAGTAGAAGATGGGGGCTGTATACAACCCGACTTTGGCGGCGGGCAACTGAAGGGGGGGGGGGGGGGGGGGTCGTTGACGAGGTTTCTTCTCGAGCGAGGAGGTGGAAAAGGGCGAAAGACACCAAATTTTGTCAGCTTCTAGAAACCACCGACCCGGTCTTTGGCTATACAGTATCATTCAATCCCCAGCCAGCTTTTCCCAAATACCACAATGCTTGAAATCTTTCATTGGCGGCCATGATTTCAGGTATCGACTTCTACGTGGACTCTTTGGACTCTACGTGAAATGGTCTGTTTCCTTGGAGTTCGTACCCGAAGGTTGATAGAGCTGAGCGAGCATGTCTCAAAATGAGAGGTTGAGATTGGAATCTGTTCAGTTGGCTGGCCATATCATATGAAAGGCCTTTCTTCATTCACAAGAGTGTGAGATACACGCTTGTATAGCATGTCTTCATCGCAACATAATGCTTGCTCGTCTTTCAAACTTTGAAGCAACGACTTGGATTGAAGAATTGGTATGCATTGATTGCTTAGGTCACTCGCCCAGGAATGTCCCGACTTTTCCCACACATGCTACTAAGTAAATACGAAGCTCCCGTGACGAGATGGTATCATTTGGCGATACATCCGCTATGCACCTTCCCGCCATGTGCAAGTCGTAAGTCAACCTTGATTGCAAATACTATGGATATGGCCAATGGAATATGCGCAAAATCGCCCTACTGCTCACTCTACTGGGGCCCCAACCCCAGATCGAGGTTCATGCTAGCCAGGTCGCCGTTGTTAATGCCGAAAAATTGGAACCTAAGCACAATGATGTCAGCTCTCTGCAGCGTTCTCATAGAACTACTAGGGCGCATCCACTTACCAATCTTCAACATTGAGCGTGTTTGGGACAGGTTGCCCTTGAGCAGATCCTGTACTCCAGCTGTCACTTGGGCTTTGTCCGTCCGGCATCAAGCCGTCAAAGTTCGCCGTCCAGAGATTGCTGTTGAGGCTGCTATTGTTGTTGGAGCTCTGTCCTTGCCCATGTGCCTGTTGTTGCTGCTGCGGTTGCTGCTGCTGGAAACCTTGCATGCCAGACCCAAGGAGGTTGGCGCCTTGTTGAGGGCTTCCACTCAACCCTTGTTTGGTGGGGCCCCGTGCTTGGAACTGAGTGCTTTGCGCCGCTAGACCATGGGACGTGTTTTGATTCTGCAGTTGCGCCATGAGGCCCGCATCTAGGCCTTGGTGATTCGGTGGCGGAGGCGACATGTGTGGGAATGCTGGCATACTTGCGCTATCTGGGAAAAGCTGGTCGGGCTGGAAGTTTTCCCACAAAGACTGAGAAATATTGGGTGAGTTACGTGTAACAAGATAGAGGTCTGGTGGCGTGGCCGGCACTGAGAATGAAGGGTTGAAGGGTGTCGCTGGTCTGGTCTGTGGCCTAGAGGAGGTTCCGCCCATGAACGTGTCTGCGTTCTGTCTCGCATTGGGTGATGTGATCGGTGGCGGCATCGTCTGCTGATTAGGGCCTCCATCGCCCTTCATATGGCTGGGAGTCTGCGGGCGTGATCTTTCGTAGGACTCTTGAGGTGTTGGAGTATTGACGCTGAAGTCGATCGCCATGTCATCGTACTTCCTCTTGGCGACATCCTGCGGGCGTTGTTGCTGCTCCAGCTGGGCCAGCGCCTGTTGCGCTTTCCTATGCCTCTTGCCCGCAGCCTTCTGCAGCCGTTCCTCGAGTACTTTGTTTCCTATGATGGACTCGAACAAGGTGTACACCATCTTTCCTACCAACCAAACTCGCGACACTTCCTTGAGGGCCTGCATACATGTTCGTAACCTGTCCTGGGTCACCTGCTGAATCGATGGGACCGGTGACCGCATTTGGTAGACGTGCATGATCAGGGCCGAGAACAAGCTGTAAACAACAAACGCCGGACAGAATCGAAGTTCGCCGTGCGCTGCCAAGTTCTCGATGATGGAGGTAATCATAGCCGCGGCTTGGAACGCAATATTTCGTGAAGGATATGGAGAATCGTCGGGGAAACGACTGCCTCCATTCGGCGGCATGTGAGCTCTATGTAAGAGGCACAGTGTGGTGTAGTAATTCGAGTGCAGCAGGGCTGACCAAAAGTGATGCCGGGCAACCTCCCAGTACACGATCTTCGGACAGTTTTGGAGCCAGTCGGCCAGAGCCATATCGCTATGGGTCAAGTCGATGGCGTTTCTCTGTCGTCCTTTGGAAGCTACCGAGTACTGCTGAGACAGCACTAGGCCCATGATCTCGCAAAGTTTGACGTACTGCATGAAGAACTGTACGTGTATGGGATCCGGGGGGTACTCGCTGTTGCGATCGCCATCGTCCTCGATAAAGTCATCCTCCGTGAGCATCTCGACATCAGAGTCATCGAGGTTGATGTGCACTGGCCGGCCGAGAGCAACGGCAACGGACCTATCTCGTGTGAACAGAGTCCACCAGATCCGTTTCCACAGCCTCTTGTCGGAACGGCTGAGTTGTGACTGCTCAACACTTCGATGCATTCCGGAACCCTGAGCGACGATGGTGGCGACTCGACTCCAGTAGAACACGTTCTTGGTCACATCTTCAGGTCCTTCCCAGTACCATCCCATCAACAGTAATGACTGCACAATGGTCACCCGATCGTCCTCGTAGTTGGCATCGTAGAGTGCCTTCGCCCTTTTGTAGAAGGTCAGGGCAGCGGGCGTCGTCGAACCGTTGGCGTCCATCAGCTGCGGGTTTGTGCAGACTCTCGAGCCGGCCAGCAGCACAGCCTGCAGTAACAAAAGGGACGGCGGGTTCTTGGGATCGCGGTACTGCCGCATGAAGCGGGTACGGTTGATGACCGGAACGATCGGATGGATCCATTTGAAATAGGAATCGATGAGTTCGTCGCATAGGGACCTCGGCGGTAGTAGGAAGGCACCGCGCTGGTGCAGGATATCGATTTCGACATTGTCCAGCTCGGTCAGTCGGGCCCTGGAGCCCCTGACATTTTCGGGCAGAGGATAGTGGACTACATCTGAAGAGCCTTGTCGGTCATGGACAAGTAAGGTCAGATTGGACGACTCTCCTAGGTACGCGACCCTGCCGGCATCCGTTATAGGGGCTCTTGTGAACTTTGGTTTCATCACCAGGTTGAGATAAGTGCCACTGTCGACCTCCTCCTTTCGGGCTTGCAACTCGGTGTAGGTGGACGACGGCGTGCCATCCGTGGTGTGATAGACAGCAGGTGTCCGCGGCGGGAAGGTCCCAGGTCCTGGCGCAGGAACACTGGGAGCTCTCGGTGAACGCTCTTCAGCATTATCTCCCTTCTCGCTGGAGCACACCTCAGTTAGCCCATGATTGGGAGCATGTGTAAACGGCGAAGCTGAGGCAGACCTGTCCGAGTCCTTATTCGTTCCGGCATTCGTAGTCTTCTTGCGCTTAGGGGTCGGAATGCGACATTCTATCTGGAAGGCTACGCAGTTCGTGCAGGGAACGCCGAGGCTCGCGGCGTCGCATCGTACCTAGACAACATGTTAGATGAAGAGGTTTGGCGAAAAGTGTCGATCGGAGGAGGGGGCAGGTGCCAATCGGTTGTGGTTGGGAATCGGCCGAGTCGGAAGTTCAATCGTCCACGACAGAGAGCACTCAAGTAGAAAGGAAAAAAAAAACTATTCGTACCTTGCGGGCGTGACATGTCTGTACAATACAAGGTTAGCTTTAATTCGGATCAAGGAAGGTCTACGAGAGGTGGGCGTGAGATCTCGCAGGGCAGCATTGCACCAGTAGAGCGCAACGCAGCGCCGCGGCGCGAGTAGCGATACCTCGGCACAAAGTGGGCAGAGGGGCCACGGAATGGCGGGCGCGACAAAACATAAAGGTGTGAGACTACGTACCTCGCAAGCTCTGGAAGCTCGTTGCCTATTCGAATCAAAATTATATTAGCACACAGGTTGCATCTGCCATTGATTGGAAGATGGCTATTGAAAGAATTCGACGGGGTTCAGGTTGGTGGTGAGGGACGAACCTGCGAAAACTCAAGTGGTTCGCGGCGGCGGCGGCAGCAGCAGCAGCAGCAGCAGCAGCAGCAGAGCTACCCTGAGCGTTGGGACTCGTACCAGCGGGATTGGAAGAGGTTCCTTGGGCCTGTGATGGCGACTCGGACTTTTGTGGTGATTGTTGCTGGTTGAGCTGCTGCTGCTGCTGCTGCTGGGCCGAAAGGTCGGACGTCGACATATCGACATCCATGGGCAACCGTGGAGCGTGAGCTGCGACGGAGTCGTGAGGGTAGTGGTGAAGAGGGTCGTCGACGAATTTCTCGGGTCGACTAGTAATAGGAGGAGGGCGAGTGGGAGGGAACAGGTGTGGCAGCGGCCGAGTCACTGGCTCTGGTGGCCCAGGCGCAACAACGTCTGGCTCTGGCGCTGGCTCTGGATGTGGTGTTGGTGGTGCTGGTACTGAGACTGAGACTGGGATGGAGGGAGGCAGCGGAGCCTGGTGATTATGGTGGTGGTGGTTGTGGTGGTGGCTGGTCTGGCCGGCTGGGTACGGGGAGTGGGAGTGAGAGTGGTAGTGGTGTTGGTGTTGGTCTTGGTGGTGGTGGCCTGTTGCTGACGCTGGTAAGGCTTCTGGTACTTCTTCTGGTGCTTCTGATGTGTGTGAGGATTGTTCAGGTGGCGTGGGTGCGGGTGCGGGTACGTGTGCGGGTGCGGATGCGGACGCGGGTGGAGGGGGGGTGAAGTCAGCGACAAGGAGTGGTGGGAGTGGGAGTGGGAGTGGGCAAATGGTGTTTCCCCTGATGCCGGTGATGGTGCTGGTGCTGGTGCCGGTGCTGATGCTGATGGGAAGAGGATGGGCCGGCGGGACGTGGAACTGGAGGCGGTGGAGCTGCTGGGGCTGGAGATTGATGAGATGGAATTCGGAAAATGCACGTCTGCCGACGCTCCTGTTACTCCTGATGATGTTGCTCCTGTAATTGCTGAAGTTGTCGCTGGTATTGTGGATGATCCCAAAAGAGAAAATGATGGGTCAATAGTAGGTCCGGAACCTAACACAGGTTGAGGTCCAGGAAGGTGCAATGCAAACGTGGGGACCTCTATAACTCCTGCCTCTCTTCCTTCTTCTTCATCTACTCCTCCTGCACTGCTGCTTATATCCGGTAATGTACCCGTATCAAACAACAACTGATGTTGCCCCGTCTGTTCTTCTTCTTCTTGTCTCTGCTGCGGCTGATGAAATGGGAAGGGCACTGACGTTGGATTGGACTCGCTTTGTTGCCGTAGACCGGCAATCGCGTTGTAATTGTTCTCTGTCAGAATCCCAGATTCGGCCGCGTCAACCTGAGCCGCTGCAAGGTCAATGTCACCGTCGATGCCGAGGTCAAGGCTGAAGGTCAAGTTCAGGTCCAGGTCGCGGCTGACGTGATGGTCGAGGCTGTGCTTTCGAACCTCGCTGTCGGCGTCTTTGCCCAATTCTGGAAAACTGATGTCTTGTTTTGCTTCTTCTTCGAATCCAAAGTAGTTTTGCTGTGGTAGATATTCGCTTTGTTGATAATGTTGATGGGTTTCCTGTTGCTGCCGTTGCTGCGTCAATAGCACAACTCCGGGGAACTCAATGTCGCCGTCCTCTTCAAGATTCGGCACACTTGGCCACTGGAGCACAGCCATCCAATTTCGGCCTCAGGAGATGGTTGACCTCCTGCCCTCGTGTGGATGTTTATGCTTTGTCCGGCGTGTCTTGCTGTTGTGTAACTCGGATAATAAGCTGCCGTGTACAACGGTCAGTACTTGATCGTGCTGGTTTTCTTTGCGCAGTATAGAAGATATCATCTGCCTGCTCAGATTCTAAACTGCTTTTGGAAAGAAGAAGAAGAAGAGATGTGCAAAAGAATAAAGACAGGAAATGGCACTGCAGTTCAACAACGATGACAACCACCGCGAAGGGCGACTCTGGACCAGTCGCGTACCTTTCAAGTAACCTACAACATGACATACCAAGAACGATATCCCTACAGAGCTGGAGCTGCTGTCATGTACGTTGGTCTAGGACCCTGTTTTCCTACTCAGATACCCTGCGGTCTTTTTTTTTTTTTTGTTTTTTTTTTTTGTTTTTGTTTTTTGTGGACGCTACTGAGGTAAATTTCTTGGTCTGAAGATCGAACAGAGTTGTCGCCTGTAGGTTTGAAGCTCGGCCGATGACGGGATATCAGAGATCGGGGAATCAGAAACCAAATCAAGTCGTGCCGCGCCCAGATTCCCGCTGCATCTGCCGGTTTGCCGCTTCTCGCGTTCCTTGTTGAGCAAAGGCCCCTCTTCACATTACTGGTCTGTTCACCAGCATAGACAGAAAAGGCAATCAGCTTTAGTTTTACAGCATCGAGCCCTTGGCGTTTCTATCGCTTGCTGTCGTCTAGCTCCCGGGTTCAACGTTGTATGCGACCCACTGTTGTGGTATGTGGTGATGATGCGCTGCCTTTCTCTCAACGTTGACTCGTTGCTTCTTGATGTCTCGCAATCGGCTCCCGTGTAAGTAAGGTAAGCTCGACTGCCCTTGTCCCGGGACGATCTGCCTTGTGTCCGTACCACAAGTAAAGCAAAGAGTTGTAAGGCTAGGTAGCACGGAGGGAGGTCCGGCTAGTCGTCTGGTCCCAGCTTCGTTTTCTCAGATATCGGATCCAGTTGTGGCTCGACGTGTTCCCACTTAGATGACCGCAGCGGGCCTAAAACATGTGTTCTCTTGCGCTTCGTTCCTTGGTAACCTGCGGCTATGCTTGCTTTTGAGGCTTGGGTGTTTTGGTCCCAGACAATGTACGCGTGAACGGGAGCGAGCCATCTTCTGTTATAGACATCCGAGATGATAACTGGAGTCTGGAAGAAAGGATCCGGCTAACCTGAGCTGACACCAATTCGGTAATACCAAGCCCCCAGGTACAACGCATAAAAAGAATCACACCGTCTCCGTCCTTGCCTTAGCATGTAGTTTCTGCGTGACCAGTGTCCCAAGGCCAGGTTTCGCCTCTGCCGCCGCCGCCAATGGTTTAGCTTGATGGTCCCCTTGGCCGTTGACGCCGAGATTATGGTCTCGTGGGTGAGTGTGGCAGCCTCGACGGAGTGTGTACCCAAGGCCGGTGGAATGGAGCGAGAGAAAAAGCCACAAACGTTTACGGGGCAAGCATGTGAGACTTTTCAAACGGTGCTGCTCAGTGCTCGTAGGATCGTAGCCCCTCCCCCGCCAACGTCTTTTTGGACCCGGGTTCCGGCGAAGACGGATGATCGTGTGCCATGGCCAGCACCAATGTCCATATGTGGGATACGTAGAATACACGTAGGGGTTACAAGTGAGGCAGCCGGACATGAAGCAGTGTTTGTTGCCGCAGGTGGCAGTCATTCAGAATTCAACCAACGCCACTGGTCGAACAGTCATGCGCCAATCCATGTTGGGAATGAAGGAGACTGAGGAAAGTGAATCCACTCCTTCCGCTCCTCCCCGGCCATCCCTTTCGAATCTGATTCTTTTAGCCCTCCTCGGACCGGGTAGGCATGGGTGTACGAAGTATGGGTGGTGAAGGGCTTGGGCTTGGGCTTGGGGTGAGGCTGGGCGTAACCCGCTGGATCTGGGGTAAAAGAGATGGAATTGGACGTGATGGACGGGGAATGGACTGCTGAGGGTGCGGGTTACGGGATTGTGGTTGCAGAAGACCCCCCCAGGCAAGCCCAGGCTCACGGCAAGGGAAGGCAGGGGCCCGTAAGAGTTGTAGGTACCTCCCTAGGTAGCACGCCTAGGTAAGCAAGCAAGAAGCAAGGTAGTGTGGTAGTGTACTGCGGAAGGGGCGGGGGGGTGCAGGCTGGGCGCGCGCGCAGATGCGGGTAAGGAGCAGGAACGGTGCGGTGCGGGCAGGCGGGCAGCGGTACGGTGATCAGTTGTTGGTGATGAGCTCCTGCTTATTCGCAGACTGCATCGCATCACCCACCTACCTACCTACCTACCTTACTCTACTAATTAATAGTGTACCTTATGAACGGGGAAGAAGGAATCGTCGTCGTCGTCGGGTCGCGGTAAGGGTATGGATCGGGGGTGTGCTCCGAAACGGTCTGGTCCGCGCATGTATTACCTCTTTAGGCAAGGACCACGCTGTGTGTGTCTCCATAGTGGACTTCCTTCTTTTGCGCGCCCAGTCTCTAGAAATGCTGCCGAGAAAAGCATATGATCACGACCTCAACTTGCATGGCCGCGCTGCTCTCTGTGCGTCTTAGTGTCAACCATGCAGCGGCAGCGTCTTCCAGGTTTCTTCAAGAGATTCTCTTTACACCAATCCAACTTTCTAATGATCATTCCAACAAATGAGGAGGGGGACAGACAGGAAAAGAAAAAGAAAAAAAAAAGAAAAAAACAGATGAGCTCACGTCTCGCCGGGCTCTTCCGATTGCCGGGCAGCGTTTCCCTGGCCATGGCATGGGTGCCGGCGCACACGGCACCACCACTACCACGACTACTGTGTTAAAGATCCAGAAATACCATAGTGATATGCTTAAGTGGTGGACTCGAGAGTGGGCGCGGCGCACGGCACTCTCCCAGGGTGGGAAGCACTGACGTTGCAAAAGAAAGTCGAATACCTTAGTCTAGTTGAACTGCTCCTGAAGATTTCCGCGCGCGGAACCCGAAGCAATAGATGGCACCACGGTGACTGGGATGCTAGCTGTACAGTAGTGTGCCGCCGGTGTGCTCCCTGTGGTGTGTGTCGTGTGTCTGTCTGCAAGTGGTTGCACAGCAGGTGACAAATGATTCTGTCAATCTCTGGGGTTCTAGACGCCGCAAACTTTCCAAGCCGTTACTGCGTTTGTCTTGGGGGGAAACTTGGGATGACTGCGATCCCACGATCGTCCAGAGAACCGACGACTGAACAACCCTCCTCCTCCCCCGCGCTGTTTACCAGTTTAGCATGTTTGTTGGGCAAGTTTCCTCCTTCAGTTCCTCCCCGAGCTCTCTCTGGAAGGAGGTTGCCAAACTCATATTGCATTGAATGGCTTGGATCTGTTCCCAACATAACTACAGTTTCTTAAACATCAGAATATCAGAATATACAGGCTCTCATTTTGATGCATAGTGTTGTAGTTTACTGCTACCTTGCTTCCTTGTGGTCTACCACCACTACTACTCAATTCCACTGCCGGCATTATTCTCCGTCTTGCTTCAGATTGACGAGTATTCCGGCAGGCTAAGCATAGTATGCCCGTTGCTTCCGTCCCACGACGTATTTAACCCAGCTCATGCAACTTTCCCCCGCCATATCACCCTCACCTAATGCAGGATCGTGGGGAAGGCAGGGGAGAAATGGCCATGGACAACGAGCCCAATGTAGATCATAAAAACGGGATTCTCCGGTCCTTGGAAAATATTTGATGAGGAAATCTCTACGTTTGTGGGACTAGTACGCGAGATTCAAGGTTGTTGCAACCACATCACACACACGAAGAGGGAATGAAACGCGCCTAACCAAGGGCACTAACAATCCAGTATTTTGACGTCTTGAACTACCCACAAGAATGAGAGTACGGGGTAATAAGGGCTGGGCCTGGTTGGGCTGCTACCTATTTCCCCGCATTGATACCTCCCCGAGATCAACTCCACGCAAAGATCACCAATGGCTAAGGTAGGCAGGCCACACTAGAAATTCCATCATCGCGCTTGTTCCTTGCAGAGCCGGTCAAGCCAGCTAGATGGATGGCCGTGGCTCCCTGACTTTTCCTTTCCAACCCGCAATGTTCCCTTTACCCCTGCCCTCCCGCCCCCTCCATACGGCCGATATACGACAAGACTAACCCATAATCCCGGGACAGCCCTTGACATCACCCGGAGCTTCACGGGTCTAGATGTGTACTAATTATGAGCCCTTCTATTTTGTCGATGCCGAGGCACATTGAACAACGGATGAGGGAGAAGAAACCTGAAAGCCAAGAAAACTCGTCATTGAACAACAACCAAGAGCTTTCCCCAGACACGATTTGTGTGTTGGGTTGAAGGATGCCATCGGCACTCGAGTCGATCAGCGAACGGGACGTAGAAATGATGGTCTTGCGGGACACGGCTTTACCAAGCTCATTCCGGGTCTTACCGGGGTCTGCAACGTCAAGGATCTCCAGAGGCTTTTGCTCCCACACGTCTCGATTCAGCTCAAAATCCGGGGTATCACCAGGCATTGTAATAGTAAATCAGTATCTAATGCCATCATATGTACATTTCATCCTCCGCCCCCACCGGAACCATTTGAAAAAGTTCCCCCCTATAGCTTTGTACCGGCACCCGATGTCTTCCCGTTGCCGTTGGCAATTGTGCCCCCGGTGGAGGAGGAAGACGTCGCCGCCGCCGCCGTTCCGTTCTGTCCGAGTTTTCGTTCAGACCCCTCAACCTCGATGCCACTAATGAACAGGGCGCTGACACCCTCGAGCAGCGCCACGAAGACGCACAACAGACTGGCAATGACAAAGTGGCTAATGGTCGAGCCGATCTCCAGCCAAGAGCCCTCATCCTTGACCACCCAGAAGAAGTATAGCGTGAGGACGTCGCTGATGGCCATGACAACCATGAAGAGAGAGGAGGGCGCCACGCCGAGTCTGACGTTGAGGATTCCGAGGTTTGCCGATATGAGGGCGAACGGGATCATGAGCTTGACGACGAGTAGTGCTCCCTGTGAAAAGGGGTCAAAGATGGGAATGAGGCGGTACACGCTGTCCAGGCTAAAGGACGAAACAGAGGCCACGTTGCCGGTGCTGAAGAAGGCCGACTGCAGCAAGACGAAGAAGAATAACGAGACCCGCGCGTCGGCGAGAGTCAAGGCTCTGAAGGGTGATGTAGACACCTCCTGTGGCTTACTGGTAGTGACTTTTGAAGAGGAGCGTCGATCTTCTTCAGTACCCTTGTTGAAGACGAATACGCGATGTTCCAGACCGACCCAGGCAACCAGCAGGGCACTGAAGGCCACGTAAAAGATCCCCTCGTAGGAGATGGTCAGAATTACAAAAGTCGGGGCGCAGGTCAAGAACATGGTCATCAGGCTATGCTTGTAGTGGTTGTTGGGTTGCAGACGTTGAGCCAAGGGCATAAGCAGCGAAACGACTGCACAGGTGGTTAGCAATGCCAGGTGGCTATCCTATCTTCAAAGACTTACCCAAAACAATCCAGCCTACGACTTGATTGCCCCGAGGCAGACCCGCCTTGGCCTGGAGAGAGATGGCGCTGGATCGAGTGACCACGACGGCGAGCAAGATCAAGCCGATCTGCAGGGTATCTGGTTAGCCTACTATGTCTTCTAGCACTTTGACTTGAGCATAGTTCCTTACCTGAACACCGGTCAGAGCCCTAGATATCGGCAGAGCTGGCTTCGCCAACAGTCTGTTCTCCCAAATGAGATACGCCAGACCAATGGCGGCCATGACGATGCCACCGGCAACACTGTCATGCGTCAGTACGTGAGCCTAAATAGGGATAGCATGTGGCAAACATACATCAAAGGAACATCCTCCGACTTCATAGCTGGGAGCAATGTAAACACGCTCATGACCAAGCAGGAGAAGAACCAGACGACAGACAGCAAAGAGTTCAACTGGAGGAACCTCAAGCCATACGTCATTGGCCAAAAAGCCGCGAGAACGTAGATTACGGTAAGGACTTCGCGATGAATGTATCCTAGAGCCTAAGTGCCTGTTTTAGCAATGCCCACCGGCCAAAAGATGATATGAACCTTACCAGAGACACGATGATGCCTATGTAAGCCACTAGGTTGAGCAGGAACGAGAACACACTCGCTCCAGTCTTGATGTGCCCGAAGAGAACTTTTCGTCCCTCAATGAGAGAGCTGCGCCTAGCCCAGACTTCCTCCCAGAAGACAACAGGGAAGAAGCCGTAGGCATAGTAAGTGATTGGAGACTTGGAAATGATGAAGGATGCGTATAACGCTGCGAGGACGGAGCTGAAAGCCGTCGTGCCAAGAGTCGTACGGGAAGGAAGCTGGCTGCCACGCAGAACATGCAGATCGACGACAGTCGTCAGCGCGAACGCCATCCAACCAAGGTACCCAATAGTGATCAGTGTGCGGAGGAACAGCCAATCGTAGGTCTGGAGGTATCTCAAGCCCTCCAGGGCAATCTTCATGAGAGCTGCAGACTCCTCAATGGCCTCTTCGTAGTTACCAGCGTCGACCAAGCGTTGAATAGCGGCCACTCGGCGCTCAGGGGCCAGATTTGCGTCGCTCAACGGCTGAAAAGGTCGGTAGCGAAGCTCCGTGGCCTTCTTCTGCTCTTCCTTAACCCTGTACATCTCCAAAATTTCGCGAGCGTTGATGAGCGCTGCCTGCGCCTTTTCCTCGATACTCGACGAGACGTAGGACAAGGGCAGCTCGCCAACAGAGTTGGCGGGGAACTCCACACCGATCAAATACGCCATCAGGGCAGCAATATCAGCTTGCGCCACGTCGTGTCTCTTGATCTCATCAAGATGCCAGTCAGAAGAGTACTCGTCGTGGCCAGGGGCGACGGAACCGGAGAAAAGTAGCGGCGGGGCAATTCCAGATCCCCAGGTGATCAAGGGGGTGCGAGTGTTGTTGGGATGGCCATCACCGTGGCTTCCCCAGTCACTCATGCCGTGGTCAGCAGTGAAGACGAAAGCGGTCCGGTCGTCGGCGTAGAAATTCTCAATCATTTCTGAAATCTCCTTGGCGCCTTGGTCCACGACCTTGATATTATGCAAGTATTCCTTCGAGTAGGGACGGTACGAGTGCCCGTTGGTATCCAAGCCGAGCAGATGGAGGAAGAAGACGACCTTGTCTTGGCGCAAGGCGGCGTCAAGAGTCTCGTTCTTGGCTGCGTCGGCGAAAAGCTCCTTGACGTGGTCAAAGACCCAGAAGTCTAATTGCAACGCATCTTGACTGAAATCCTCAAACTCGTGTCCATACGTGTAGGAATCGACGCGGCCGGGGACAGCGCCTTGCTCGAACATTGGCAAGATGTCGGGAGATCCCCAGCTCCAGGTATGACGGCTCCGATTGAAGACGCTGTCGAAGTTCACGGGGTTGAGCTTCCAGCCAGTCGCCACGGCCGAGACATCTTCATAAAGACCGGCGATGAGCGCAACGTGGCCAGGGCGAGATTCTGTCGGCACGCGCGTGTGCGACACTCCAAAGGTGCCATGTTCAAGAACGCGGGATCGTAGGAAAGGAGCGAGGGGTCGCGGGGTCAAGTCATCCTCGGATTCGGGGTAGGGGTCGGGAAAGGACTGGAAGGCCTTGTCTGCTCGCAAACCGTCGCCTAGAAGAGAATGTCAGAAGCTTGCTCCATGGACTATACAGTATTTGAGAAGGTGGGCGAGCGCATACCCACGAAAAGAACCAGACGGTCAGCAGGGGCCTTGGAGTTTTCGGGTCGTTCGATTTGGACAAGCTTCATGCCCGATACAATTGGACTGACAAAGTAAATGTCAAAAATCGAGTAAATATAGGCAAGGTGGAAAATGACAGCGATGGCTAGAAAGCCGGCGCGCGAGGAGACTGCCATCACAGACAAAGGGGTCGGGGAGAGACGTCTCTTCTTTGCTGTGCTGTGTCTCTTGTGATGTCTGTCTTCTCCTGTGCGCTTAAAGGAGCGGGAGTAGCTAAATCAACGATGATCTGGGGTATGACACGCCCAGAGTGGGTAATGGGCGAGTAAATCCACTTGCTCAGCGCCCGTGTCGATTGGCCTGGTGGATGACGGGATCAAAAGAATGAAGGGCAGATATTCGAGAGCTCTACGTAAGAGAGTGGAAGCGCAGTCATCTCACGGCTCGCGCATTGCTCCTATAACAAGAGAATATAAGAGAATAATACAATGATGTTGATGTGCAGCGCTGGATTTTTACTCATGGAAATTGGGAGCACAGCCATCCCCTCTAGCTCAATGCAATCGATTTCCAGTCCAGGGTCGAGAGTCGTCCCGCTTGTTGCATCGACGCGGAAATTATTGGCTTTCGCGACACGTCTCCCACCCCCGAACTGACGACGTGTAGGGATGGCAGACCCACATTGACATCGGTAGCCCCACGCGGCGGAGCGGGAGCGGCTGTTTGCATGTAGCGGGGCTTCTACAGCTTCCATCCTGGATACAACACTTGGAGGTTCTTAATCTTACCCCAGAGGCAACGTCCACGACTCCCTAGACAGCCAGACAGCTTGCCTAGCCTTACAGACTGGAAACACCTGATCTTGCCAACGTGTCTACACCAATGTTGATGTAGACTTCTAGTAAAATTGAATGGAATGAAAGAAGCCTCCTAAGCCACCCCGCCTATCGAATAGTACATTTGCAAGGCAACTGTTCATAGTGCTAAAAGCGGATCATGTTACACGATCATTAAGGTGCCTGCTGCTGGGACATCAGGGTGTTCACTCCTAAGGCACGTGGTCCAAAGTTGATTCACATCACCTGGCACTAAATCCGCCTTTCTTGAGAACCTCTTTGGGTACGGGATAGTAACAAGCATTGTGCTAGACAGAGCAAACGGCTCTTAGCTTTCCTGGTGATATGTCTGTAGACGACTGACAAGGTCGGCTATAGACAAGCTGACTCCGACACCATTCAGAGAGCTGTTCCTCCTCGTCCGCAATGCGTTCGTCAACAGCCTTGGGCGGCATTCCCGCGTTCCCAAACCACGCGCGAGAAACAAACACAATCTCCAAGGGGTATCATATCGAACAACTTCAAATGTTTCCCGCCCGCTTCATCCAAATTCTGGCTGCAACCAGAACAGCCCTGGCAACAGTCTCCTCAGTCCAGCCGCTCCGTCAAAGACTTGATGACCCGCGCGTAAAACTTTGCCGCATGTGGCCGAGGGAACTCGATTTCTTCAACAAGGAAGTCGGGCAGCATGTCGATGAGTTCGCGATCTCTGTTAGAGTCCAATTGCGGCTTGTAGGTGAAATGAGCCTCCTCGTAGTTTTCGCCGGAGCTTTCGTTCTCAACTTCAAGTTTAAAATGAAGTGCTACAAAGATTAGTATGACGAGAAAACCACTGGTAAACATGATGACTTACTCCCGTTTCTCCCCGTTTGTATGCAATCAAACACCTGGCCTGCCGAGTCACGCTTGGTAACTCTGACAATCAAGCCGGTCAAATCGCCATAAAGGTCCTCTTTCAGCTGTCCCGTTTGTACAACATCCGAGCTGGCGATGGCCCTGGCAGCTGCGCTTGAGCCCTTGACAGCGCTTCCAGGTATGACCTTGGCACTGGCTGCAGCTTCGGCAGACCTGCTCGCAGCCAACCGCGTCGACAAAGTCTTGATTTCTTGCTTTGCCTCGGTTAGAGAAGTCGTCAGAGCTGACACCTTTGCCTCCATTTCTTCGAGTTGCTTTTTGCGTTGTTGCCCCTCTTTGGCCAAGCTACGTTGCTCTGCAAGGTCGGCCTTGAGATGTGCAATGAGTTCGTTTGCAGCTTGATCCTATTAGCATTTCGCTACACTCATGCTTGGTTCTCGCCACTCACTTTTTGCTCTTTCTTCACTCTCCTTTTTGAGATTATCAAAGTTCCGTTCTGCCGCCTTGACCCCGATGTCCCGAAGATCACGGTATTTCGCTTCAAGGTTATCGTACTTTCTAATCGTGTCGCCCAAGCGCCTCCGAAGTTGCACATCACTAGCGTCCAAATCCGGATTACCACTCGCACGATTACCGCGATGCGTTGACGGCTTCGGTACCGGTAGCTCGTCGAATTTGTCATCGCCTTCCGTGTCGACGTCCATATCGTCTTGAGCCTGCGTCTCTGGAATTTCAGATTCATCATCCCGAGCCGGTTTTGCTCCTGCACGACGACCTCGCTTAGTCGGCTTTGCGGCACCCTTCGTAGTAGAACTCGGCACCTCTTTCGATGTTTCTGTAGTCGTCGCGGTCGTAGCTGCTGCCTTCGGTCGCCCTCGGGTCTTCGCTGTGGTCGCCGTCACCGCCGGAGCAATGTCATCTTCTGATTCGGCCATACTGTCGACATCCGCCGCATCGTCGTCCTCGTCCTCGTCCTCGACGTCCTCCTCCTGAATCTCGATCTTCTCGGCAGCCTTGCGGCCTCTCTTCGAAACCTTGCCGCTAGCCTTGCTCGACGTGTCGTTGATAGCCTCTTCTCCTGCTTTGCTGATTGCCGCTGCAAGTTTTCCAGTCGCGCGACCCTTTGTAGCCTTCTGGGCAGGCTTCGTGACTTTGTTGGCAGCTGGCGGTCTGCCCCTGGCCTTCTTCGCCGGCGACATCTTGGTTGATTTTGAGTTGGTGATCTTGGCGCCGGGAACGGAAGAACGCCAGAATGTGAATCCCTGTCCGATTCGGATGAACGTGTAGCGCCCGATATTCACACAACAAAATGGATTGGATGCTGCTGCGAATTGGCGGGGTGTATAGCGCAAATGTTGTCAACGCGCTGGGGAGAAACGATTGGTATCGCGCGGGAGTGGTTCGTGTATTATCGGCGCGGGGGAAGTGCACGTATACCCAGAAGATGGAATACTCTTTATTATGCACCTAGACTGAGGTAATTGGGGTTAGACAGGTGCGTTGGTCGTAACGGAAGCGTTGAAATACCAAGGTTGGAGCTGAGGGGCAGGCGAGTGTGGAAAGGCAACTTGCGATGAAAAAGTAAACAAACCCGCGGTGCGACAGCGACCCCATGGCTTACCTTACTTGGGGTACCTTACCTTCGGTGCCCCCTAGGCTTAGGCGGGCCGCGGCACTCAAGGCGCCTAGAAGGACATGCTTATCCCGGTACATACCTTATCGTCTTATCAACGTTAGGTACCATGGTACACCTACCTTAGCCGCAACTGGCCAGTGCTGCCTCGCATGTGGCGGTGCACTCTCCTGCCGACACCACATTACGGCTTGCGAATTTACTGGCTACCCTTGTGAACCGCGGGTGGCGTTGTCGGCTCGACTCAATTCTCTGGGGCGTTGGACACGTCTATCTCGTTGCCGGCTATAATACTCCATCCCGCTACTTGGACACGCCCCTGCCGAACCACCAGACGACTTATCTCTCCAACGCGACGTTGAGAGGATTCTTTCCTGCGCCCAGGTAGACGACACTTGCCATAAAACCCACGCCGACACATGACAGCAAACAACCGAGAACACCCGATTTAGGCCGTTTCAATCTTACCGTGTCGGCCCTCTGCCGCAACGCCAACACTGATGACGGGCGACCTCGACCGTTGGCTGGGTTCCGTCGGAAAGCTCCTCGGCATGGGTGACCGAAAGAAGGGATTGGGCGATTTTGCCCTCGACCTGCTGTTGGTGGCTGGTATGGTGAGTAGACAGGATAATGAAAAGCACATGTTTGGCTATGAATGCTAACCGCGCTCTCCAGATGGCAACCGGCGTTTACCTCGCAAGAAACTTTCTTTCTTCCCTCACGAATACCCTCGCCGACCCCGATCGAGAGAAACATGAGCAAGCACGGCTACAGGCCAAGGCTCATCTAGAGCGCTTGCGCAAAGGCAAGAACGCGAGCAAACCTGGCGAAGATCCATCGGATGACAGCAGCGTTTCTCGTCGCGGGCCAAAGCCGGAAGAGTTGGTGTTGAATGAATATGAGAATACCATTGCGCTCGAAATGGTGGCTCCGGAGGATATTCCAATCGGCTTTGCTGGTAAGTGCCCTACGGATATGATAAGGTAGCACCGGGAATCTTGCTAATGGTGTATAATAGACATCGGTGGCTTGGAGGATATTATTGATGAACTCAAGGAATCTGTCATCTACCCGTTGACTATGCCGCATTTGTATTCTCATGCGGCACCCCTACTATCCGCGCCCTCTGGTGTGCTACTCTATGGACCTCCAGGATGCGGTAAAACTATGCTGGCCAAGGCAGTCGCTCATGAGAGTGGTGCTTCCTTCATCAACCTCCATATTTCGACAGTGACGGAAAAGTGGTACGGCGACTCCAACAAACTAGTCCGAGCCGTATTCTCGTTGGCTCGTAAGATGCAGCCCGCCATCATCTTCATTGATGAGATCGATGCGGTCTTGGGCACAAGAAGGAGCGGCGAGCACGAGGCCAGCGGAATGGTCAAGGCCGAGTAAGTTATCCAACAGAAGATCTTATCATGTGCAGTTGCTGACGAGTCAGGTTCATGACCCTGTGGGATGGATTGACGTCGTCAAATTCTTCAGGCATGCCAGCGAGGATTGTTGTTCTCGGTGCCACAAACAGAATACATGACATCGATGAGGCTATCCTCAGGCGCATGCCCAAGAAGTTCCCTGTTTCTCTTCCTGGCAAGGAGCAGAGACAACGGATTCTGCAGCTCATTCTGAAGGACACAAAGACAGACCCGGAGTTTAGTGTGGAGTACATTACCAAAGTCACAGCTGGTATGTCGGGCAGTGACATCAAAGAAGCCTGCCGTGATGCTGCTATGGCACCGGTCCGTGAATATATGCGAGAGCATCGGGCGGGTGGCAACTCCATGTCCAGCATCACACCAGAGAACTTCAGAGGTATTCGGACAGAGGATTTCTTTGGCCGCAAGGGTGGAGGTCAAATCCTCATGGAGAACCACGCAAAACACTCCAAAACTTCGAGGTCATCAGTAGACGAGTACGAAGACATTGTCGAAGAACTGGGTTGATTTGGTCATGCAGTTGGTCTGTTATGAAGGGAATGATAGACCTAACGGAAGTCTGCTCTGAAAGGGCAGTGTTCTTCTACCCGCTACGTCGGAAACATCCATACAGCTTGATTGCCTGCAGTGGGCAATCTTCGCATTTCATGCTAGAATAAGACCTTTTGTACAAGTAAATGTACCGATACAAGGAGGAAACGGAAATCGAAATACCATGACTTTACACGACATAACTTGCAATGTTTCCACGCGCTAGCAACCTGCCTTAGCAGCACTAAAGGCCCCCTCCTTTGTACATGCATGAACAGCTGCCACGACTTTTCATTTGAACCGCCTATTGCCTCAGTATTGTTGAGAAGACTTCATAGCTCTAAGGCGAAAACTAGGCCAGGCACATAGGCACACCGCACCAGAGCAGGCTCAGGTACAGACGGCAGTCAGATGTGTCAGGCATAATGCGCCAACGTTGATTTGTTACCATCCAGGCACGCCAGGGCCAGCGTGCCAATCCAACGCTGCGCTTTTTTCCCCGGCCAACATTCCACTCGGACCACTACCGTGTCGCCCCCGCCGTTTCCAGGGTTCATGCCGCCCCGCCATCGCCGACTTTCGGGGCACGCTGTGCACACCGACAAATCACGTCATCAGCAAGGGCCCACACCTTTGGTTGTCCAGTGCTGTTGGAGTCACACGCTCCGTTCTCCCCAAAAGCCCGTCGTCGGCCCTTACTCAATGTCCCTGTAAAACTTCTCCTGTACACACCTACAAGTGCCTATCAGCTCTCTCAACCTTCTCGCCAACCTACCTCTGCTTTTCAATCGAGTACGCCGGTGCTGCGTTTGGACAATTGACTTGCTGAGCAATTCAGTTCTGTCCGCGGCGACAAGTCTGGCTCTTAAAAGAGACCAGCGGTAGTACTGTACTCGATCCCGAACGCCTCCCGGACCTTCCTATCCGTCCTTCGTCCTCTCGTCCCTTTCGAACATCAAGTACGACGGAGTACAGGCATTGTCTGGCCAAGATCTATTCGACGAATCGCTCAATCGAAGAAAAATCGTTCAATTGCCGCTGTCAGTCAGATAAGCCGGCAGCTCCTTGATACTAGTGCTACCCCGCCATTACTACCTACGCTTTGTCTCACCATGTCTACACCGCCTAACAACGGAGCGGCATCCAAGTCCAGCGACCCCCTCAAGCGGGTTGACCTTGACGGACACGATCTCCCTCCTTCTCCCGCGCCGTCCAGTCCTCGCAACGGTCGTCGCCGCTATGCTCTCGCCACTGAGCTGGTCTACACTGATAGCAACGACCAGTATGGCGCATCCAGCATCCCCATCTACCAGTCCGCCACCTTCAAGCAGACCAGTGCCAATGGCGGCGGCGAGTACGACTACACCAGGTCCGGCAACCCGACTCGCACTCATCTTGAGCGCCACCTGGCCAAGATCATGAATGCCACGAGGGCTTTGGCCGTCGGCTCCGGCATGGGTGCACTGGATGTTATCTCCCGGTTGTTGCGCCCCGGCGACGAGGTGATCACCGGTGATGACTTGTACGGAGGCACCAACCGCCTTCTCACGTACTTGGCATCCAACCAGGGCATTGTCGTTCACCATGTCGACACTACCAATGTGGAGAACATCAGCCCCGTCATCTCTGAAAAGACGGCCATGGTCCTGCTGGAGACGCCGACGAACCCTCTTATCAAGGTCGTCGACATTCCCTCCATTGCCAAGCTTGTTCACGAGGCCAACGACAAGGCCTTGGTTGTTGTGGATAACACCATGCTCTCGCCCATGCTCCTGAACCCCCTGGACATTGGTGCAGACATTGTCTACGAGTCTGGAACAAAGTACCTGTCCGGACACCATGATATCATGGCCGGTGTGATTGGTGTTAACGATTCCGAGATCGGCAACAAGCTGTATTTCACCATCAACTCCACCGGGTGCGGTCTTTCGCCGAATGACTCCTTCTTGCTTATGAGAGGCATCAAGACCCTCGCAATCCGCATGGAGAAGCAGCAAGCCAACGCCCAGCAGATTGCCGAGTTCCTCGAGTCCCATGGATTCAAGGTCCGATACCCGGGACTTAAGTCGCACCCCCAGTACGACCTGCACTGGTCCATGGCACGAGGTGCAGGTGCCGTTTTGTCATTTGAGACGGGCGACGCGGCGCTTTCGGAGAGGATTGTCGAAGCCGCTAAGCTGTATAGTATCAGCGTTAGCTTCGGCTGTGTCAACAGTCTGATTAGCATGCCCTGCCAGATGAGCCACGCCAGCATTGACGCCAAGACCCGGAAGGAGAGGCAGATGCCGGAAGACCTCATCCGCTTGTGCGTGGGCATCGAGGACGCTACGGACCTGATTGAAGACCTTTCGCGAGCTGTAAGTGCCGTCAACTATGTCACTCTTTGAGCACCAATACTGACTTTTTCTTGTAGCTTGTTCAGGCCGGCGCGGTCAACGTGACCTTGGACGGGTTCCACGCGACTGAAGCTGTCCAGCAGGCTTAAGGGAGTTTTCCGTGGAGGCGGGAATTTGACTTACCCAGGCCTGAGGTGATTGGGTCTTAGGGGAGTCAAGCCGCACGCGTAGTGAGTGAGTGGAAGAAAATCCGCTTTCGAAAAACAACGGCGTTTGGGCTCGGTACGCTCGATATGCGTTGGAAAATCAAAAAAACATTGGGGGGCAACGAAAAGTGTGAATGGCTTAGAGAATTCGACTATTCTGTGTGTCGACCTATCTACATGAGAACAGGCTCGTTCCTTTGCTGCACCTTCTATGATTCGCAAGTTTTGACAGTGAATGCGTCCAATCAAACATCCGAAGCATCATGGGCTCTCACTCCGTAAAATATGTCCACAGCGCTATGAGTAGATCATCATTACACGATCGGAGCATGTACAAGTTAAGGGAGTTAGCCCAATGCCATTCAACTAACGAATCACTATTGCCTCCTTGACTATGCTCCCCAAAACGTTCCGCTCTGACGTGACTAAGAAACGACGCGATGCTATTTATACAGATATTTAAGAAAAGTCGAAGCGGTCTGGGAGGACAACTGGTGCCACCAGCGTCCAAGCATACATGGCGTAGCAGACCCAAGCACTCACAATCTTCACCCAACTGGCCCAGTACGACCGACCGACAGGAGCGAAGTTGCCATCGGCATTCTGGTCGTCGTAGCTCTGGGTCAATAGTGTCGCAATCCACGCCGTCGCCAAGAAGAAGATGATGTGGAAGACAGTGTAGCTGTACTGCGTCTGAGAACGCTCATCGTCACCGTGGGCACGACTGCCACCAGCCTCGCTCTCGTCGTCAGACAAGAGAGCGTCCGCCGGCAAGCTGCCCTCTTCAACGGCACGACGTAATGCCTCCGCCCGCATTTGCTTCTGAGCGCTGGGTTGGTGAGTGACGAGATCGTGCTCGTCTTCCTCTGGGAGACGGATGCCGCCGGAAGAACCAAGTCCAAGGCTCTGAGTCGCCGCTCTAGTAGTGGTGTACGCAACGGTAAGCATGGTGACGACGGCGCCAATGACGACAGACGTTGTGCGAGTACCTTGAGCGCGAATCAAGGGGTTGCATAGCTTGTCATCGGGCTCCATTGAAACAGCGGACATGGTGAGATAGGTGCAGTACGCGGCGACCATGGCGCCCTGTGCAAGACCAGCCTTGGGGTTATATTCCTGAATCGTGGGATGGACCGAGATGAAAGAAATCCCTATCCACAGCAGCAGGTTGACCGTAATGGCTGCTTGGTTCATGGAGCAACCGGACCCGGCAAAGAAGATGTATTGGACGATGGTCATGGCGAGCGAGGCAAGGTACATGCCCAGCGTAGAGCCGATGAGAACTGTCCGCCAAACCTTGGAGTCAGTTTCTTCAATCTGCTCGAGACAATACTCGGCCCAGTTATGGGCGAGATCAACAAGCAGGATGAGACCGAGAATTAGGAACAACATGCCGCCAAAGCGGGCAATGTAGGCGCCGTAGAACTGGAAGAACTCGTCGGGGATCAGGAAGGAGAGGACGATGAAGGCGAGCCACACAATGACTTTGGGCCCCCAGTAGCCATTTTGGATAGCGGCGCGAGGGTTTTTGGAAGACGTAACGCCGAAGAGAAGGCCGGCGAGTATGAGATGGAAGAGACCGAGAGCGAAGTTGAAGCGGTGAACGGCCATCCACCCGTAGCATTGACCATTGGGACAGTCGATCTTAACATAGTCGAGCATAAGGTGTTCGAGTTTTTTGATAGCCCACGGAGTGAGCATGATCCAGGACAGGATCGAGTTGACGAGGAGCATGACTGCGTAGCCGATACGAGTGGCGACACTACAACGGAGTCAGTACCGAGAGTGGTGTGTTCACGGAATGGGGAAGACCTACCTGTTGCCGCACTTCCCACAGGCGCTGCAGACTGCAGAGCAAGTTGCCGCACCGCAGCAACTGGCAGCGAAGCCGATGAGCTGTAAGGTATTAGCTGGTGAAGTGAAGATGGGCTCTACGAGCCGAAGAGCAGGGAATCGGAGGGGACTCGTCGTACCGTGCCCATGCTCGGCACCGCCATCAGCGGCAACGAAAGCAAAGCACCCATGGCGCCGGTTTCCCACGGTATATGCGATCGATCGAAAAGGTGTAAAAGTCGGTTCGGCGAGAGTCGCGCTGGAAAGATGGAAGTGTCGCGTCGGTGATGTCTTTCGGAGGATGCCTTACGTCGGCGCCGCGCAGTATGGATCAGGTGCGGTTAGAGAGGTAGCCTGAAGACCGGAACGAGCCACAAAGAGTGGATCAATCTGTTGGAGGCTGGGGCGCACGTGAGATTACGTAGTCGCTACCTACTGTGGCTCCCTACCCGGATCCGGACCCCGGATTCTAGAGCTCTCCGCCGAAATCGGCCATCCACCATCGGCAATTCTGCACCGATTCCCGACATCTTTCGCCCACCTGGCGCCGAGTGAAGCTACTTACACCTGCCTTTCCTGCTCAACCTCAGTTGTCTTATCACGACGATCCCAAAGCGAATAATCAAGAAGCCGCCGGTTCGCCCTACCCTATGACTCAATGTTCAAGCAGCTTCACACGCGAGCTTCTCGGTAGAATCCAGCCAGCCCATGGTCCGATGCAATGATTAGCTCCAACCAACAACTACCTTACCTCATCTTAATCAGCATGCATGCATTGCATAGGTTTTGGAATTAATCCGGATACCTTTCAAACTTGAGCGCTTTACCTCTTAAATCGACGTTATCACGGTGGTCAACAACGGGGAAGAGACTCCCAGAGAGAAACAACAAAATGTCGTGATACTGCAGATGGCCTGTCGTAAAGAGAGCGGGGTTGCTACTTTCGACGTGGTCGTGCTACATTGCGTGCGATATCCTCTATCAGTCGAATCCGCCCTTGAAGTCTGATTCGTTATATATGGTGCAAGTCAGCATTGCACAATCCGGACATCTATCTCGTTCCACTCGTGCGCATTAAGAACCTGAGTGAAGTACTTGTCTACATGACTTGGAGAACTTCGGCAGTCAGAATGGCAACCAGACTCCTCATTCACTTGCTGGGTTCGAACCCGACCTCGTGGGTTTACCTGCAGTGACCTAACTATTTCTGCTCTCAGATTGGTGCAAGGCGCGGTTATACTCACGGGAACCGAATTCTCTACTAGCGTAGCGTCTATGATGTCTTACAACGAGATCAAGTGACTGAGCGTTTCCCATGTGTCGCGCGAACCATTCCAGCGCTGAGGGAGAACAGCCGACTATGTTCGGCTGACTTGCACGAGATTGGCGACATTGACACAACCCCCGCCGAGACATTCAGCCCGACTGACCAGGCACATACATATTCGACTCGATATGCTGCTGGTTCAAGTGAGCAGGCATGATGAAGGGCGGCGGCGCATGGGTTTCCATATTCCAGGCGTGCAGTTGACACATGCACGCGCCACCACCCTTCCCCTGCCGCGCCTGAAAGGAAGTTAGGAAACAGAAACGCAGCGCACTCCAGCGGCAAGCCAAGATGCCGAGGAGGACAGAAGTACCGGGTACGAGACCCTTTACGTAGCCAATATGTAATACGCCCAGCGTCATTGGTACTCGTTACGTAGTGCGTTGGTCTTTTCGGCAGGGCACTTACGGCATCTTACGGTATCGCAGCTTAGCATTCAGGGGGATCCCCCAGGGCTCCAAATCCCTACCTTATTTCCCGTTACCTTCCCAGTCGGAGTGCATGCGCGGCCCCAAAAGAATGGATTCGTGATTCCTGCCCGTAGATAAGGGATCCGATCCGGCATCGTACCCGTTTCGTTTTCCGACTCAACGAAGCTTCCCGCCGCCCTCGACAACCTCTATCTTTCCTTCTCTCTCCTGCCTACAATCCCGACTCCTCTAGTCCTCAGACAACGACCAAGTCTTCATGTCGCATGTTACTGGCTTCGTCAATATCGTTATGAACACTGCTCCTCCGATAGTACACTAAAACACCAAAACGCCTACATTAACCCCAACCGTCGCAAACCGCACCCCTCTTCCCGACTCTTCGCCGTCATCGGTGCCGATTATCGCTGCCGTTCCTCGCTGACGAGCAATCTTCCCTCTGCCGCCAACCGGCCGAAGCATGATACCTTGAGACCAACAATTTCATCGTCGCCCAGTCTGCACAAACAATGTCAGGTCCACGGGAGAAAGAGCTGCACCGCGCGCGGCTGGTTGCCAGCGTCGCAGCCACGGTCATTTCTCTAGCATGCGGAACCAACGTGAGTTGGCGCGATCGAACGATATTCCTACCAGACCTACGGTCACTCCCAATGTGAATCATGAGCTGACATGTCTCTGCTATACAGTACGTTTACTCGGCATGGTCGCCTCAATTTGCTGAGCGATTGAAGCTCTCATCGACCGAAACGAACGTCATTGGCCTGTCCGCCAACCTGGGAATGTACTCACTGGGCGTTCCCGTCGGCATGCTCGTCGATCACAAAGGACCTCGCTCCGCCGTCATCATTGGCTCCGTCCTGCTCGCCCTCGGATACTTCCCTTTCCATATCGCCTACGACCGCGCGGCTGGCCCCGTGCCGCTTCTCTGCTTCTTTTCATATATGTCTGGTCTCGGCGGGTGTTTAGCTTTCGCAGCGTCTGTCAAGACATCTGCCCTCAATTGGCCTCATCATCGAGGAACTGCCACCGCTTTTCCCCTGGCTGCTTTTGGTCTGAGTGCCTTCTTCTTTTCGACGTTTGGGAGTCTCTTCTTCCCCGGAAACACCAGCGCTTTCCTGGCCTTGCTGTCCATCGGGACCTGCGGCTTAACCTTCTTCGGTTTCTTCTTCCTGCGCGTCTATCCTCATGCCACCTATCACAGCCTGCCAGCAAGCGACGGTCTTTCCGGTTCGCAGCAGCTTCGACGTACTTCTTCGGAAGAGGCCAAGCCCAACCGACCGGGCTATGGGCACCGCGGCGCTCCGGTTGAACCTGGTACGTCGCCCAAACATAACAATACCACTACCACAATCAACTCCACCGCCGACCACGAGCCGGTTCATCCCGAGTACGAATCGTCCGCGCCGTCTCGCGAGGCTGATGAGGCGCAAATCGAAGCCGTCGAAGCCGATGATTATGAGCCCGACGAGACGTCCTCGCTGGTGTCGAGCTCCTCTTCTATGCCCGGTGATGTCTTTGTGCAGAGTAGTGTTGATCTGGATCGTTCTCATCGAGTAGATATTCGTGGTTGGGCTCTTTTGCGTGAAATCGACTTTTGGCAATTCTTTCTCATCATGGGCATTCTTACCGGTATCGGTTTGATGACAATCAAGTGAGTTTCAGCTTTTCGCTAATCTACGTTAATACTTGATGCTGACAAGTCGCTAGCAACATTGGAAATGATGTAAAGGCCCTTTGGCGCCATTATGACGAGTCTGTAGATGAGGCCTACCTCATCACGAAGCAGCAGATGCACGTGTCCATTCTGTCGATTGGCAGCTTCGCAGGCAGACTTCTCAGCGGTATGATGATCCGGGATTATCACTCATCCAAAGATCCAAGCTAACTCGGACTACAAAAGGCGTCGGCTCCGATTTCATCGTAAAGGTCCTCCACGGCAGTCGTGTGTGGTGCCTCGTGGCATCCAGTGCCGTGTTCTTCGTGGCACAGCTCATGGCTCTGCACGTCACGAACCCTCACCTGCTCGGATTGGTCTCTGGCCTGTCTGGTATCGCGTACGGTTTCCTTTTCGGGGTCTTCCCTTCCATCGTGGCCGAAACGTTTGGCATTCACGGCCTAAGCCAGAATTGGGGGCTGATGACGCTCTCGCCCGTCGTCTCCGGTAACGTATTCAACATTTTCTACGGCAAAATCTACGACAGGCATAGCGTCGTGGGCCCGGATGGCGAGCGCGTCTGCCACGACGGGCTGAACTGTTATCGTGCAGCGTATCTCATGACACTGGGCGCATGCTCAATCGGGCTGGTGCTCACCCTGTGGGTTATCCGTCACCAGCGAGTGAAGTGGGCAAAAGAGGAGAAGATGAAGGCGGAGCAGGATGACTGAGAGGTTTTACTCAGGGGGAATACAAAAGTGTAGGTGGGGTGAGGAGAGAGGCAAATCCTTCCCTCTTAGTACTTGACATAAAGTCGTCTCTGCGAACACGGCTAGCTGTCATGTCTTCAACATAGATTTCACTTCAACGGCCGTAGATAACTCATAGAGGAATGGCGTTTTGGGTAGCTATATTTTGGGTTCACGAGCATCGACACTCACTACCACAGCGGAAATCAATGGGAAATCGTAATTCGTCTTTCATCCCTACTGTATGCAGAGCCTCAGTCACGGGACCAAATAAGTATAGGATCGGTCAAGTTCCGAATCGATTGTTGAGAGCTTTCATCATTGCTAGCGGCGCTACACCACGGTCGTCTCTTGCGACAAGCGCCTCATTCGCACTCCCTTCTGACTGAAGGGAAGCTCCTGAATGGGCACTACCTCTCTACACGAGAAACTCTTGAGAACTTCCATCCGCCAACGTATTAAAAACGAGACACTGGGGTCTCAACACAAAACCTTAAAACCCGCGTCGTGACATTATACAATATCGTTTGAAGCGGAGCACCACCCCGTCCCCTAATTCAGGGACTTGTTGTTCCACCTCACAGAATCGCCCTTCCGGCGGACGCTTGTTGCAATGCAATGATCCCCGGGCTGAGAATGGGTAGAGGAAGAAAAAAGCCAGGGATACCTCCGACACCTCATAGTCCGGTCCTTTGGAATTAAATGTGTTCGTCCAGACTCCTCTAACCAAAAAAAAAAAAAAAAAAAAAACGTGTGAATCGTACTAAACTCCCAGCCGATGCAAGATGCAGATGGACAAACAGTGATGAGAACACGGAATATTGTAGCGACACCGTTGTCACAGTAGACTGGTATCAGCGTACTACCGAGACAGTGTCTGTCAAGCTCTAGATGGGAATATCCGAGACCATCTATTACGAAGAAAAAAGAAGACTCTCGTATGAGTTAAACGTCGTTCGCCGACGAGCTAACTTAGACTGCAGTATATACAGCGCGGAGCGATTAGAGCGGGTGGTTGTTACTGTTACCGCAGACCGAGTTCTTAACAGAGCTGACGCGAACAGTAATATTCCACCGAGTGGAAAAAGTCGAGTCCCAGTCTCGTCCTCATGGAGTTTTGCCACGTTTGCGGTCTTCTTGATGACCGTCAAATATTGAACTGAACCCAGCGAGCGGCCAGTTGTCCGTAGTCGAATGAATAACAACCAGCCAGGCAGCTATCAAGTTGACGAGATAATGCAGCATGTAGGCGTAAGAAACACCATAAACGGCAGCGTAGATGGCCGTGCCAAAGAGCAGTACACTCGTGAGATATCTCATCCTGCCCGTGACTCTGGGAACCATCCTACCCGTGGTCAAGTTCTCCACGAGTAATATGAACGGCATAATTGATAGCACGTTGTGGTGCGAAGAAAAGGGCGTAAGCCAGTGGACGGCAAGGTTACGGATCCACACCGCCAGAATGGGCAGGTTGATAGGTAGGACCCAGAGCATGAGAAGCAGAATGGAGTGGGCGTAGTGGTAGAAATCTTGGGTAAGTCCAGACTTGACCTCCGAGGCAATTCGATGAGCGCGAATGACGGTGAAGAGCTGGACGAGACACGCTACCAAGTACGCAAATTGATAGGGTATGAACGTGGATACCAGGAATAGCAGAACGGCAGTTGTTATCATGCGACGTCGAGGCGAGGACGCAACGAAGATGGGCAGCTGCGGCCTTCGGCGCTCATCTCGCCCGGCTGCGAATGGTCGAAGAGCTATCCAGGCGTAGAGAATACCGAGAACCTGCGTCAATGCCAGGGTGACAAAGTGAAGGCACGCGCACACTCCTACACAGACGACTCCGATCAGGGGGATGAGGAACCAGAAGAAGGGGTCCTGGGTGCCTGTAAGCAGGTCGTTGCTGTGGAAGTCGGCTTCTGCTGAAGTCGTGTTGCGCCAGTGCCAGAATACGCCGGGGCCGGATGACCACGATCCGGTCATTGACAAGGAGAGGAATGTCAAGGAAAGGAACATCAGCGGTAGTGATTGCCGTAAGCAGAGATCCAAGCTTTCCGAAAAAGAGATGAACGCTCCAGTGGTATCGTAGATCCGGAACTGCTTGCGAAGCACGAGTGCCACCACGAGCAATGGGAAGGCCGCAAATACAGTCCGATAACGCATATACAGCTTGCCCAAGCTACCCAACGCGTCAACTGTGAGCGTAACTTGGATGGCGGATTCGCAGGTTGGATCGGTCCAGAACTGGAGACTGAGTCCCTGTTCGTCTTGAAGCTTGTGTCTAAGAGGTGGCGGAACGAACGGGGCTACCCCATGCAAACTTATGCTGGCATGTCTGGCGTTGACGAAAAACTTGGACTCGTATGGCTGAGCCAAGTGTTGCCGTATAAGAGGTGAGAATAGCCCAGAGGATGAGCCGCAAGCCTGGTTGCCTATCTCCAAATTGTATGCCAGTAGACTAGATTGAATGGTGGGAATGTTAATCTCGGCAACCAAGGGACGGTTAGCGGGCAGCCGCAGCGTCATCCCAAACGCGAGGATTCGTCGTAGGCTGATGTTGCGCCTTCTGTGTGATTGTGAATGGTCGCTGAATTCGGCCACAACAAAGTTTTGACTTGGCTTAACAGCTTTGTCTATGACGGCCACGAATTGGTGATCCGCAATATCCTCGATATCGAACTGAAGATACGAGAATGGCTTGGTCACTGGCTCGTTCTCCAACGCAAAGGGCTGATGGAGCGTCCTTGTCGAAGGGGGAAGCAAAATGGCGTCGGACGCAGCGCTCTTGCAAGCCAGTCTAGTAGACCCTGCGCTGTCGCCTGACAGGTCCATGTGTGTAGAAAACAGCGTCGCTGCCTGCCCAGGCTGCAGAGGGAAAACGCTGCAGAGCAGGACCTCGAGCTTTCCGTGTTCTCCTGGCTTGTCTAATGCGCTATCGGTGAGTAGGGTGAAGCGCTTTCCTTCCGGAGATCCTTGAGGAGGTACTGGAAGCAGATGAGCTGTGATTTTCGGGTCGTGACCGAGCTGTCGCAGGACTAGGCGTTCGCCTTGTGCCTTGATGGCGTTTGAATTGTCCTCGAGTGTCAGCAGTGTGCTTGGCCCCTCGGCTGCCATAGTCTGCTCGGCGATAGACTCCATGCCAGTAAGGAAGTACTTCTTGAAAACGCGCATTCTCTCAGCCCTGGGCTTGGTCTGTGAAGACCTGTGGACATCAACTACGTCGTACATGGCGCGAGAAACAACTTTCCGAAATTGGTCGCACCATAGAATGGCCTGGTGATCCATACTAGTCCAAACACCTGGAATTCCGGTGGTGAAGACAGTGAAGCCATGCGTCTCGGGGATTATCGGCTCGATGCTTGCGTAGTCGGACGGAACGACAGTGTCTAAGCCACCTCCAGCGATTGAGACAAGAGTAACATGCCACAAAGGGTTGTTGTTGGCCCATTTCTGTGAGTAAGCATGACGCCAGTAGTCGTTGATATCGTCGTATATCTTGACAATCTGTCCGTCAAAGGTGACAGGAGGACGCGAGTGCGGTGCAGACATGGTTATAATGGTGTTGATCGAGTTAGACTGGTAGTTCGGCATGATGAGCATGGTGCGCGCGACGATGCCACCCATCGAATGACCGAGCACCAAGACAGAAGTTGGATCTGGCAAGTCCTGGTCCCGAGCTGACATGCGCGGGTCCATGTAAAGCGACAAGATGTACCTGATGGCTTCGTTCAAGTACTCGGCCTGGTCCAGCATGGTCTGGCCGTGGAAGGCGGTGATGTCCTCGTTGAAGTCGACGGTAAAGAAGTCGAGGTTCCTGGCGCCGGCCGCGACAGCAGCCTCATCGTGTTGAAGAGACTCATGGTAGTAATTTGCAGCTTCAGCGGCTATGGGTCGAACTTGTTTGTAGCTTCCGGCATTACCTGGGATGAAGAGTACGGGAACGCCTCTCAGCTGTGAAAGGTCAGCGATCTGCCATAGCCCCGGCGCGAGAAACAAGACGCACCTTTCTTTCGTCGTCAACGCCCTGCTCACGATACAGGTATAGCGAGTATTTGGTCGCGAACCGGGTGTGTTCGGTATCGAAGTCACGAAGACGAATGTAGGAAGGTCGCATGTACGACATGCGGCATCCCTTGGCATCGAGCTGGCGAGTCCATGACGAGTTCAAAATAGCGCATAGCAGAGTAATCCCAAGAACGGTGACAGCTAGCGTGAATATGGTAACGGACCAAGGGCTACGGAATCGAGAGCGGCGACCGGCGAAGCGCACATCGGGCATCTTCTCTGCGGTCATGGTGGTTTGGTCTTCTCGCCGAGTGTCTACGATGACGTCGTCGAGACCGTCGCCGTCGCCTTCGCCGTCGTCGTTATCGCTGTCGAAGTACTTGTCGTCGTTCCGGGCAGGTTGTAATTCGTCGGCGACGCTTTGGGAGTGGTGGTAGTGTTGGTGGTTCGGCAGCTGGTGTGTGTGGTTTCGGTAGGCTGGCGATGGCGCGGCCAGGGATGGAGCTGAGAGGGGTGACGATGGCGAGGCTGTTATGAGGTTATTGTCGAGGATCGGATTCGCATTGGGGCCATGTTCGAGCTTCCAATTGGGATTGTTTGACCGTCTACTCCGTGCGTATAACGGTTTAGATGCGGCTCCAGCGTTGACAGTAACGGCAGCGGGTTGCTTGGGAAGATGTGCAGAATTGCGACTTCGGGCGGGCTGCTGAATGACAGGAGGATCGGCAAGAGGTTCGTCGCTGTCGTCGGTCGAACCCGACGAGCGCCTCTTCATGGGTGGAGAGGGCTCGATCGAGTCTTCCAAGAAAGGAAGCGTGTCGTTCAATCGAGCCGTGGAGGGACTTTGTGTTTTCCTGGCCAGGTGAGAAGGCGGCAAGGTGGAGGAAAACGAGAGTATGGACGACAGCGACGTCTCGAGGAAGACAGACGTGCGGGAGGCTGTGGTGGCAGCAGGAAGAGACGACGGGAAAGAACTGGTCCTGGGAAAGAACGTGCGTGCCCTCTGCGGCATGCCTGCCTTTCCTTGGGCGCGAACCGCTGTTGTCGGGTCTGGGTCTCGAAGGTACTACCTTAGTGGGTGCTAAAGGTACCTACAGGTACTGGAATTTGGAAGGTTCCTCCACTGTCGGTGCGTCTGTCACTGACGTGCCGCTGGGGTGCTGCTGCTGCTGCTACAACGGCGGTCCCGACCCACGGAATCGAGTCGAGTCCCGCGTCCGTCTCCCGTTCCGTCACTGCTGACCTATCAGACAATGGAAGGAGAGATAAGATGCCCACAACATGGACATGTGCCGAAGTACATTTACAATGGAAGTACCTGAAGATGAGATACAGTACTTATTTAACCTCCTTACCTAGTAGGTAGAAACTTGGTGGGAGATGCGCAAAGCATCCGAATGCACGAGTCTACAGTAATGCTATTTAGACATACATATCGATGACAGCCGTGGCTGGAAGATTACCTACTGGGACCCGGGCAGTATCTTGGTCACTTGTGAAGCATGCAGCCAAGCTAATCTTGGGAACAGAAAGATAAGGTGCGGTGGCCGGAGTTAGTGAGACTGCTGCAGACTCACTCCCTATGGTCTTGCAGCTGATGATGCACTCACCAAGCGTGGAGCGCTGTTCTTCCCGTGCCTACGTATTCGTAGCCTTTACTGTGTAGGTACCCACGTGCCTTGTCATAGGTACTTCCCAGCACATACACAAATGGGCGAAATTCCATGTAGCATTCGACCCTTTTTCACCCCCTTTGGCTCATCTCGCGCTTCGTCCGTCCGGCGCAACGTGGAATTGGACGATCCACATGCAATTGGGTTTTCAATGTCTCAGCCCCGTCGCCTCCTTTCTCTGCTCCTTTGTGAGCCCCTTCTTGCTCTTTGAAGAAGACACGGACTGACATTTGGAGTCTAGCAGTAGAGCCTAGGTAGACACATGGCACTTGGCACTCATGAAACCTGCTACCACTTGGTTGACCGATTTGTGTTCCAACATCCATGTGCCATACTGTATACAGAAAGATAGAGGGAGGCGGGACTGGGGCGATGGGTGACAAAGGCTAAGAAACGCTACAGAAACAAGCCATAAAATGGCTCTCGCGGCAAGCTGCGTGGTCCTCGATCCCCGAAGCGCCCGGCTCGACTCATGTTGTGCTTTCAATAGCGTCAATTGCTGCCACCAGATTCGCCGAGCCAGCAGATAAAACTGGTTAGGTACTCCCGCCTACCCTGCCAGCCTGCTTCACCTTGGCTTACCTTGAGCCTTGATAGCTCGCTCACATCAGAAACCCTCGTTGGTCTCCCGGGCTTCGGCACGCTTCACCTTCTAAGTTCTACTTCCAGCCACCCAGGCTCCCGTCTATCCCGTCCTTCCGCCATATTCCTCCATCATCCGCACCAGTGTCTTTGGGAGAAGGTATTTCTCTTCGTTGCCCCCTACTTCGTTACTTCGTAGGCCTAATTTCTCGAGCTGGCTAGGTATCCCTGACCTCCCATGGTTTCTTGAATGTGACGTGAAACGTTTTCACGTTGTTTCTCAGCAAATGCAAACGAGACGCTCGGGTTGGTTGGTTATAATTCCTCCTTCCCGGTATGTATAAGGCAGCACCCCGCATAAACTTAACTGCTACATCCTCAACTCTGAGCTTGCCCATCATTCACGTCTCGCGTTGGCTCATTCTTCGTCACCGTTGGCTACCTCTTGATACGTGATGCTGCTGGATTCTCCCGACCTTGCCGGTGTTGCTGGCTGCTTAACAATATCCGTACCCAGAAGCGAATACTCCCCCGAAGGATGACAAAGATCGAGATGCTTAATCTCCCCAACAACCTCCATCCCAGTAATCTCAATCGAAGCACTAGCGCCTGCTTCGGTCGAATCGATACTAATACCGAAGTTGTCAGCGAGTAACGAATCCAAGATGATTGTTGTCCAGCTTTGTCAAACGGACCCACATATATATTCGGACCTGTTGAGAAGTTGAGGCTTCATGTTCTTAACCCGCAACAGCTACGGGACTTGGCACAAAAAAGAAGATCGACAAATGTATTCTCATCCTACCCACATCTACTCCGTATGTAGGCCGATGCCATAGCCTGCCTGCCTCTACACGTGGAGTAAGGTAATATTCAACGTTGCAGTGCACTGAGCTGGCCAATCGAACGATTGCATGACGCTTCAGTGTAAATGTGCAATGCTACCCGTAACCCGTTCCTATCTTCCGAGATGTCGGCCTTTGGCGAATACGATCTCTAAAAATGTTTGTTAGAATTCCTTAAAAGGCACCACGAATGCAAACACCGACATGTGCCAAAAACAAGGTTATCCCCATCAGAGGCACATCCAAGTCCACCTGGTTGTCCGTACGCATGGGGATCTGCTTTTAACGTTCAAGATTTCCTCCTACCTAAGTGCATGCAGCGGATATTGGCCGGTGCTCTCCTCCCCCCACCCGTACCGGGGAGTTGGTTCTAGCCATTCACAATTCCCTGATGACACATCATTTCGAAGAAACAAAATATCATTAAAGGCCAAGTCTTGGCAGGCACGTCAGGGTGGGAAGGCGTCAGGGACATATTTGTAGCGCGCAGTAAAGGTTGTGGGCTCTGGGAGCATGGGAAACTTGGACTTGAAGCTTACGGGAATCAGGAAAGCATAGATTAGCGGGGTGATGCATAGCCCCATCCCGCGCTCCAGTATGCACATCTCCGTCAAGTCAAGCCTTTCGATTTAATTTCATTTGTTTCGCAACCACGGCACCCTACTACGAACGTGGAGTCCTTGGGGTCCAGGGCATGGTGTACCGTATTAAGGCCGACATTGCCAACATGCAAAGTGCAAGCAAGTACGTACGGATACCCGCATCCATGTACCTCGTTGGCTTGCCATGGCTGGGTACGGACAAATCTTCGTTCGACTACCCGTATCTCTCAACTAAGGTAATCAAGGAATGGGACATCCGCTGTATAAAATCTAGTGTTAGGTACAATAGCGTATCTGAACAGTACTAGACCTCAATTACCTTGAACATCAAGGACAGGTCTGAGGTGGGAAAAGCCCGACGGCTATATCTCGGACGGGTTGCCACGCGCTGAAGACCTGCTGAGGTAAGGTACCACGGTCAGGTACCGACTGAGGTGCCCATAGTGTGCGTCCACTTTACGCGTCTGAGCACGGTCAACGCGTCTACCATTCCACCTAAGTTGCCTAGGCAGAGAATCCTAGCACTTCACGACGCCTGCCGATGGATGTAATGTGAAGGTGTCGATGCGTATACACCAAGCGACGACCAAACACCTTGTCAAGGAGTCATGTGAGAAAAAGCAGAAGAAAACGAAAAAGGATAATTGGGTCACGAATCATACCTCAGTTGATCGAGGAAATCATGGCCACAATCAAGCCCATCGAGGGCCGCACAGTGAACTTCCCGCAAACCATCATCCACGTCTTGTACTAACACCATCGCAGATTCACCAAATTCAGTCTGGTCAGGTCATTGTTGATCTATGCTCCGTCGTCAAGGAGCTTGTAGAAAACAGCATCGACGCTGGTGCTACAAGCATAGGTATGCGAATCCGGGGAACATTCTTTCCTACTTGATTTGTGGCGAGACTCCATGGCTGACATGTGCACCCAGATGTACGCTTCAAGAACCAGGGCCTGGACTCCATAGAGGTCCAGGACAATGGCGAAGGTATTTCAGCAGACAACTACGAGACAATTGCCTTGAAGCACTACACTTCGAAGCTTGCAACCTACTCCGATCTGGCAACCCTCCAGACCTTTGGTTTCCGCGGCGAAGCCTTGTCATCGTTATGTGCCTTGTCTCAATTCAGCATTGTCACCTGCATGGCACAGGATGTTCCCAAAGGCACTAGACTCGAGTTCGAGTCATCAGGGAAGCTCAAGGAAACGCATGTGGTGGCCGCCCAGAAGGGAACCAACGTCATCGTCGGGAACCTGTTTCACAACCTTCCCGTACGCCGCCGCGAGCTCCAACGCAATGTCAAGAGAGAATGGAACAAGGTTATCGCATTGCTGAACCAGTATGCTTGTATCCAGACCGGCGTCAAGTTTTCTGTCTCCCAACAACCTACCAAGGGGAAACGCATAATCCTCTTCTCTACAAAGGGCAACCCTACTACGCGAGAGAATCTAGTCAACATCTTCGGCGCCAAGACGATGACGGTCCTGGTGAAACTCGATCTTTCCCTCCAATTCGAGCCTACCACTAAGCCGGGCTTGAAATCTACTACTCAAGACGATAAAACTTCTACCAAGGTCCAGGTCCGGGGTTACGTGAGTCGCCCTGCACACGGAGAGGGCCGTCAGACCCCTGATCGACAAATGTTCTTCGTCAATGGCAGACCATGCGGCCTCCCTCAGTTTGCCAAGGTCTTCAATGAGGTTTACAGGGCTTATAATTCCTCCCAGTCGCCCTTCATATTGGCGGATATTCAGCTCGATACGCACCTGTACGATGTCAACGTCAGCCCGGATAAGCGCACAATCATGCTCCATGACCAGAATCGCATGCTGGAGACTATGAAGGAGGCATTGTCCTCCCTCTTTGATTCCCAAGACTATTCCATCCCGTCCGCACAGCAGTCAACACAAATGACACAGATGGCGAAAGCGGCTCCCATTCTTGAGAACGACGGTTCCGACGGTGATGGCGCACCTTCGAAAGGAGCAGAGGCCGCCCCGACGAAGCAGACGAGTCCAAATGACGACGATGAGCTTAGTTCCGAGAATGATGACGAACAATCACACTCACGCACCAAGCCGCCACGCAAGCCCCGTCAGAAAAAGCCACAAAAGCTCACAACAGCAGAGCTACAGTCCCAGAGCTTACTCAGCCGGTGGGTTGGACGAGCAGCCGAAAGCCGTGCTTTGCAACGGGAAAGAGAGATAGAATCCGAAGAGCCTGTCGCCGAAGACAGTGGTGAGAAGGCTACGGCCACTGATCCTCACTCTGGTGCGTCTGAATCAGAGGATGAGGTGGCCGCGGAGGCTGCCGAGAGCACTTCGTTCAAGACGCCGCGACAGGTCCTCGACTTCAACGCTCGGCTTTCAAACAACGATCAACACCAGGAAACAGATGCTTCACGGGGGAGTGTCTCACGGGCTTCTGACGATGGCGCCGAAAACAGACAGGCCCAGATTCCTGCTATGACACCTATTAGAACACCAAGAGTTGACCCTCTTGCATCTTCATCAACTCCACGGCTACCTAAGCGGTCAGCTCTAGAAGTTGCTACAGTGTCTATTGGAGACAGCACGGTTACCAGCTCGGTTGAGCCGACTCCAAAGAGAACAAGACTTGAGCCAGTCTCAACATTAAGGTCAACCGCGGCGACAACCTCCTTTGGCTCAAGGTTGACGCAGATGTTCTCTGCGAGCAACGCAGCGAGGCAGAAAGGTATCGCCAGGGCGAGCACTGATCTATCAGAAAACCCCAGTGAAGGTGCAGATGTAGAGTCAGGTGAGGGCAGGGAGAGTGATGGCAGCTCGGAGGAGCTGCCTGCAGATGAAGCCATGGCCGGCCAGGATGATGGCTTCGAGTCTGCTTCCGATAGACCCGAAGAGCAATCAAGTCCAACAACCAAACCCGATATAGACGTGCCGCGTCGCAACAAGGCCCCGGCACCCGTCACAACGAACGACGAGAGTCTAAAGGATGAGGCAGCGGCACCCACAATCCTCGCAGAGACTCGGTCGAATGCCCTCAAAGGGGGCACCAGGCGAAAAGACGCAACTTTACAGCAGAGGCAGAATGTCAAGATTGACACGGCCGACTTACAATCTCGCATCGAATCTTGGCAGGCAGAGCTAAGGCGCATCACCCACCAGCGAAGCCGACAGTCCAAGAGCTCCTCCGGCATCGAGGCTCTCAAGGCCGAGGATGCGGAAGCAGCTCTTTCCTTGATCATCTCAAAGTCGGATTTCGCAAAGATGACTATTGTCGGCCAGTTCAACCTCGGCTTCATCATTGCCGTCCGACATGCGGCCAGGGATCAAGACGGGGATGCGATCGGGGACGACGAGCTATTCATCATAGACCAACACGCGTCGGACGAAAAGTACAACTTTGAGAGGCTGCAGTCGACAACGGTCGTCCAATCTCAGAGACTGGTCCACCCGAAACAGCTGGAACTCACAGCCCTGGAGGAAGAAATCGTCATGGAAAACGTGCCGGCATTGGACGTCAACGGCTTCAAGGTCAGCGTCGACAGTTCGGGTGATCAACCCGTGGGAGCGAGGTGTAAGCTGCTCGCGCTACCCCTCAGCCGCGAGACGACCTTTACATTGTCCGACCTCGAGGAGCTCATCTCCCTGCTCAGCGACCACCACCTCACCGAGGTCAGCTCCGCGCCTCGGCCGTCCAAAGTGCGGTCCATGTTCGCCATGAGGGCGTGTCGCAGCAGCGTCATGATTGGCAAGGCTTTGGCGCAACGGCAGATGGAGAAGCTGGTGCGTCACATGGGCGAGTTGGATAAGCCGTGGAATTGTCCGCATGGGCGGCCGACGATGAGGCATCTGAGCGGGCTTGGTGCCTGGGACGATATGGGGTGGAAGGAGACTGAGCCTCGGGTCGACTGGGCCAAGTATGCTCGGGCATAGCGTTGGAATTGATGGTATGGTACCTTGGTGATGTACTGGTTCTGTATCATTCACGATGTTCAATGTTTCTTCAAAAACATTCGCGAGAGGAGCAATTGAATAGTTTACATGTCAAAGGTGACTTTTGTTATTTGTATTGGTATCACAGCGTAGTTGCCTTCTCTTCGTTACTAGTGCTTTACATCCAATGAAGCAGTTCATATCCCTCCCAGTCTTTTTCGACTGAACGTCGTGAAATCAACCCGTGTTCTCATCAAACTCCCCAAACAATTACACCACTCGCTGCTCTCAGAAACCCCCTCATCATCGCGCCACGCCGTAGTGCTGAATGTTCTTCGACCCTGCGAGACCCTCCTCAGCAACCTTGCCACTTACGTTACGCCTTCCATAAGCCGACGAGTACTTGTTGTCTTTGAAGTCGTTCCCGGACGACACTTGGCGGTTGCCGCCAATCATAACCGGGGGAGTCGCCGACTTCAGCTCGCCATATGGCTTGGAGTAAAAATCAGCCTCGGGTTGGATAGAGCTTTCACGGTTGCGCGGCCAAGCTTGAGGGACGAGCGATGAAGGTCCTTGGTCGGCAATGTCGTTGGTACCGCTGACCCTACGAGAGTTGAGGTCTACTTCCGACAATGCCGTGTCCTTGAGCGAGTAGTACGGAGTCTTGGTCTTTGGGGGCGTCGGGTGGGACTTCAATGGGTTCGGGTGAGGGCTTTGGCCGATATCATTCTCAAAGTCGCTGCCGGCAAGATTGTTCTCGTCGTGCTCTGAATCGGAGTCGGCGACGTTGTATCGTTGAGACACAGCTTCGTACGTGCTGTTTCTCTGTCCCTGCCTCTGCGAGTTCGCGGCTGTTGTGGCTTGGTCCATGGCGCGGTTTCGCTTCTGAGTGCGGGAGATCATCGAGTCCGTCGCAAACCATGTCTCGGTGAATTTACCTCCGGGGATTGGGACTGCGGAAGATAGAGAAGTTCGGGATCCTGCGATGTTGGTTTCGTGGAGCGGTACCTCGGTGTAAGACCCGCGGTATGAGGATCGAGGCCCAGACGTACGAGCGTACTCGCTAACGCCTGCCGTCTGGTTCTGTGGATTTCCTGGAGGAACCTGGTACTGGCGGCTGGGAAGATCAACATAGGAATTGCGAGTGTAACTAGAAACGTCTGAGCCGGCGCGGGTCCGTTGGAAAGGGATGCTAGGTGGTCGAGACACATCCTCATACGGGGCACCAGACCGACGACGGTCCTCGAGGGGTGTGGACATTCTCTTTTCGCTGTCTCCGCTCATCGAGGTCGCAACACTGGACTGGTTTCTCTTGTGTTTGGCTCGGGAGGTGAGGTTGTCCTCCAAGGGGTTCATGTCGGGGGGCATTTCGGTAATCCTGCGGAACATGACACCAAGCCATATTGAGATGCCGAGAGAGATCAAGTGCAAACCCCCAGCACCGATGAAGGTATAGAAGACGGATGGGAGGAAATAATCCATTAGGCTTTGGTCGGAAAGGCGCGTCTTCCATGTACCGCCGCTGTTGTTGACAGTGAGAGCACCGTAAGCGTAAAGGGGCATGACTCCAAGATCCGAGATACTGGCGAAAAGCTGGTAGGCGGTAGACGAAGCAGGACTGCGGTCTCCGGCGGGTCGCTGTAGGTGGTATATGCCGTAAAGACAGTGCACCATGGCTACACCAGGCTATAAGAACATCAGTGAGCTTCGGATGCTTCAAGCTCCGGAACAGGCAGTGGACGAACCGTAATACGCATGACCCAGCCGGCCAAAGTCTCGATATTGTCTAGTAGGATGAGCAGGGCGAGCAGTCCGGCAGCACCGATCAACTCCAGGACCCTCAAGCACAACTGGACGATGCGCATCGCCTTGATCCAGCTCTTCGTTCTCGGGCCTAGGGCGACATAGTTGTTGGATCGATGGTTGAGGACCAGGTGAGCACTACAGCAGAATAGGCAGTCAGTTTAACTCTTCTACTCCCTAGATGATATGGACAGTCTTCGCTGTAGGCTCTGGACCAAGCGTACTTACTCGGGGTGACGGTTGAAGGTAACCAAAGGGCCATCAGGCTTCGGCTTGCGCGGCTGGGGCTCCCAGCTTGCGCGGGTCACTGCTTTTGGATCGAACTTTGGCTCCGGAAAACGAGAATTGTTGCTGACGACATTGTAGAGGTACGGTTGGTGAGCCATGGTCGCGACACGGCGTTGGTCTCGTCCTTGCTGTGTCTGAGAAAAGAAGGAGAGGAATGCGCGGGACAAGACTTTAACAGAGGTTAGACGGCTGGAATGCCGCCAACTTGAAGGGTATCCGGTGGTTGGAGTGAGGTGTCTGAGGTCTCGCTTTCCTCTGACTTACCACGACATGTGAATGAAAGAGGTGGGGGGTGGGGGGAATGTGTGGTGAAGTGGAGGGCGAAGAAGGATGGTTAAGAACAAGACAGGGACTAGAATCAGAAAGGCCAAACCCGAGGTGAGATGAGCAAAGGTACAGGCAAATCCTGTGTTTGCCCAAGCCTCACAAAGGTTGAAGCCGCATCATCAAAGGCCCAGTTGTTTTCCAGCCTTCCTAGATCGGTTGGTTTACATTGGGTACATCTTGAGTCTAGTGTTGCAGCGGGCGCCTGACGGTTGCTATGGCGACTGCTCGTACCTGCAGCAAAGCAGGATGTCTTACGAACTTTGTGTGCACCTCAGCAAGCTCGATTAACCTTGACACCTCAGGTCCAGGCATGTTTGATTGAAGCCTGCCTCGCCTTGAAAACTGTACTAGGAAATTGCCTATTTATTCGCACCTTTGACGATCATTGATCACTCACCTCCGGATATCTGTATCATGGATCATGGATAGCATAGAAATCCACTTTGGTCCCCAAACCCCAACTTCCGAGAGGGTCGAAATGACGTACAGAGCTTGGACCAGGCCTCGATCTTAAGCAGTAGGGCACTTGTACAGGTACGGACGGATATGGATAGTTGTCATTCAAGAGAAGCTGCAACAGAGTATGGGTAGTCTGAGTAGACACTGCAACAACACGTCAAATACTTCATGCTTTTCTTCGTCAACATTAATAGCCTTTGAGGTGCTCTGAGATTGATCGCCTGCCCTGCCTGGGGCATGCAATAGCTTTATGAAGCACGGACCGAAAACGCATGTAAAAGTCCTTTCCTCGCCGAGTTCTTCACATCGGCACCGTGACTACCTAGGCCCGGCTCCGGATTGCGGATGCTGGTTTTAAATCCGAAAGCATCCACGCCGACGCCTTTTCTCTGACTTGACTCACTTGGGCCCTTGTACCTGGGCTACTTCACATTGGATGTGCTTTTGTTGCATTTTCTCTCTTCATTGACGAGTTTGTTGCAATTTGTCATTTCTTTGGACACATCATCTGGTGCTTGGAGCAAATTAAGTCGGTCAACGATCAAATCAGACCGAATTCTACTCCCGGGCTACCCTCCAACCGGTCCCATGATGCTGTCCCGAAGCCGGGCCCGGCTGCGCCCAGCCTGCAGCCGTCTCCGGATGGAAGTGGGCACCGGCGCTTCCGGGTCGCGCCCGTCGAGTACCGCTCACGCTGCAAGACAGGTTCGGCAACCAGACGCCCCGTTCCGACTGGCCGTCGTCGGCTCCGGTCCAGCAGGCTTTTACTCCGCCTACCGGGTCATGTCACAGCTTCCAGAGACCACGGTCGACATGTATGAGTCGCTGCCGGTGCCCTTTGGTCTCGTCCGCTTCGGCGTTGCCCCGGATCATCCCGAAGTCAAGGTTCGATATCCCCGTCCCGTTATCCGCTTCACCAGCGCACACTGCTTACACTGCCTCAGAATTGCCAGGACAAATTCACAGAGGTTGCTGCCTCGCCCAAATTTAACTTCATGGGCAATGTATCCATAGGCGACGTAGGCCGTCACCCTGACAGCTGCAATGTGCCCTTTCCCACCTTATTGCGGAATTATGATGCGGTGTTACTCGCATACGGTGCCGCCAAGGACAGAACCCTGGGCATCCCTGGAGAATCCAACCTCCAAGGCGTTTACTCAGCTCGCCAGTTTGTAGGCTGGTATAACGGGCTCCCTGAGTACGCCGGTTTGTCACCGGATCTCACAAAAGGAGACGAGGCCGTCGTTATCGGTCAAGGCAACGTAGCCCTGGATGTTGCTAGAATGCTCCTCGAGGATATTGATGCGTTGCGGAAGACAGATATCACAGAAGAGGCCCTTGCTCAGCTTGCAACGTCTCGCGTCAAGAGGGTTCATGTCGTGGGAAGGCGAGGTCCAATGCAGGTGAGTAGACCACCCAGATACCCATAACCAAACAAAGCAAATGGATTGACCCTTTCATCTAGGCCGCATTCACCATCAAGGAGGTCAGAGAGTTGATGAAGATTCAAAGTGTTGGTTTTCATCCGGCGGACAGCACGCTCATACCCCCCGATATCAAATCGCTTCCCAGAGCAGCAAAACGTTTGATGGAAGTAGTTGCCAAGGGCTCTGCGTCTCGTCCAGGCAATGTCGAGAAGTCATGGTCGCTCGACTTCTGCTTGAATCCCGTCGAGTTCTTGGCCAGCCAAACTTCACCCGCGGATGTCGGTAGCACCGTCTTCGAGAGAACGGAACTGTCTCACAAATTTGACCCCGGCGCTCAGGCCCGACTGACAGGGGAAACCGTCACGGTACCCTCGAACTTGGTCTTCCGTTCCATTGGCTACAAGTCCGTCCCCTTGCCCGGGTTCAAAGAGGCTGGCGTAGCCTTCGATGACCGCCGAGGCGTCGTGATGAACGATGGACGCGGCAGAGTTGTTGCAGTAGATCAGGAAGAAGCGTCTGAAGCGACGCAGTCAGGGGTAACCCCCGGTGTCTATTGTGCCGGTTGGGTTAAGCGAGGACCGACTGGCGTCATTGCCTCGACGATGCAGGATGCCTTTGAGACGGGCGACTCCATTATTCAAGATTGGCTGTCTGGTCTGCATTTCCTATCTGCGGGCAATGAGAAGCCCGCGGCAGGGTGGGATGGCGTTCGCGCAGAAATTGGCGATTCAGCATCTAAGAGAACCAGCTGGGAAGACTGGCAAAGGATTGATGGCGTAGAGAAGGAAAAGGGCCGGGCCGCAGGCAAGGAGAGGGAGAAATTCACATCCACCAAGGCCATGCTTGAGGTTCTGTCATAGAATATGGATGGCACTGTAGTTAAATGTAGAAATACCCCTCTTTGTAAATTATAGAAACATTGCTATTACTGCTTGATCTTCTCAGTCAGCTCTGGCACCTTGTCGAACAAATCTCCTACGAGTCCAACGTCTGCGATTTGGAAGATAGGGGCATCGGCATCCTTGTTTATGGCGGCAATGACCTTACTGTCCTTCATGCCAGCCAAGTGCTGGATGGCACCCGAAATGCCAACAGCCAGATACAATTGAGGTGCAACAACCTTGCCAGTCTGTCCAACTTGCAAGCTGTTGTCAGCATAGCCGCTGTCAACAGCGGCTCTGGAGGCGCCAACGGCAGCACCAAGGGAGTCGGCCAGGGGCAGCATGACCTTGTCGAACTCCTCCTTGGACTTGAGGCCTCTGCCGCCAGAGACAACCCTCCCGGCGGTGGCCAGGTCCGGCCTGTCTGACTTGGCGAGATCCTCTGATACCCACTCAGTGGCAGATTCAGACTTGGGATCAACGCCATCCTCCACTGCAGCTGAGCCGCTGGCAACCTCAGCCGCGGGGAAAGCCGTGCCTCGGATGGTTATAACCTTGATCTCGTCGGAAGACTCTACCGTCGCGATGGCATTGCCGGCGTAGATTGGGCGGACAAAGGTGTTCTCACCCTCGATCGAGGTGATATCGGAGATTTGCTGTGAGTCCAGCATGGCGGCAACGCGGGGCATCAAGTTCTTTCCAAAGGCAGTGTGTCCAGCGATGATGTGGGTGTAGCCGCCCTTCTTGATGTTCTCAACCAACAGCGGTGCAAAGTTCTCGGGGAGACCCTGCAAAATAAGAGATTGTCAGTCGCAGAACTCCATAAGCTATCGAATTTCTCAAAAGGTAGCCTACCTTGTCATACGCGGCATTGTCGACTGCAATGACCTTCTCGACACCTTCAACCTTTGCCGCCTCATCAGCAACACCCTTGATGTTGCTTCCCGCTACAAAGCCGTGGATGGATCCACCCAGCTTCTTTGCCGCTGTAATGGCGCTCAGTGAACCGTGGTTCAATTGACCTTCTCTCTGCTCCAGAATGGCGAGGGTCGACAGCAGACTTCTTCTCGACGCAGATCGGAGCCCCGAGAGTCCCCTGGACGCTGCGACAGCCCCGCTGCCAGCGGCTCTTCGAGCAAGGAACAGCATTTTTGTGGCTACAACAAATGCGAAAAGTACCGGCTTTACTGGGCTCGTTTAGAGAAACAATCGGCGAAGCTCACCGTGAGCGAGGGCTTGGTGTTGTTGTGTGGAATCTCAAGTTGTTAAGGAACGGTTGGACACGGCCCGAGGTTACTAGGCCGAGTTCGCATGAAGCCTTTCTCAGCTGCTAAAGTGCCGTCATCAGAGGTAAAGACGTTCTCCGACAGGGTGCTTGGGCGGGGGGTGAGCATAGCCGCCGCAACCCAGTCGGCTTTATGCTCCGAGCTCTCGGCCTCAGCCTCTCAGAAGACACAGGACAAGGGACGTGCACCGAGAGCTTAGTCATGACAACTGCTGGATGGTGGTGGCTGCACGTGACACCTCCTGTAGCACGTGATCAGATGGACCTGGCGTCGCGCCTCAGCTTCCTACAGGCGAGAGCATGCGCAGGGGAAAGGTACACCTGGAGAGGCCCAAGGACAGAGCAGTTCCCCCGGTATCTTCGCGCCAAAATTTCTCCAGATCCAGACGCGACTCCATAACGACCACACCTCATCATCTCCCATCAAGAACCACGCGCTTTTGGAGGGGCACACCCACAGGCTGCATCATCAATCAATCAATTCCAACAGTCGCATGTCATAGGGCGATCCATTCGTGCAATTCGTTTTCTATTTCGCGCGTCGCGACTTTGAGCTTCTGCGCGCCTTGACAAGAGTTTGGATGCCTGCCTCCTCCTAAGATCCATACAGCCACAAGTCATCATGGAGGACCAACCCAATTACGGAATTTCCAACGCCGCCTCTCCTGGCAGCAATCCCATTCTTTCGCAACCACCTTTGCAACCTGCCGCGCCTGCCCCAGGAGATGGAGCTGAAGGTGCGTGTCATCGTCAACCCCATTGGCACTGCTTCCACTGGTAAACTTGATGGCATCTAACAAGACTATGTTTCTAGATGTCCAGATGACCGAAGGCCCGGTCGCCGAACCTAGCATCAAGCAGGACAGCGCGACACCTGCACCAGGTGTCACATCCGACAACCCTCTCGACGCTCCCGATGGCCCCGCGCCCGAGGCTACGCAGGACGAGGAAATGGGCGGTGCTCGCGACGAAACAAAGGATGGCCAAGCAGCAAAGGGCGGCGATGAAGCTGCAGCTGGAAACGATGCGGAGGGGCAAGACTCCAAGACCAAGGAGACACTCGAATCCGCGGCTCGGGAACATCTTATCTCGCAAACGCACGCCATCGTATTGCCGAGCTACAGTACCTGGTTCGACATGAACACAATCAACGACATCGAGCGCAAGGCCATGTCCGAGTTCTTCAACAGCCGCAACCGCAGTAAAACACCGGCTGTCTACAAGGACTACCGTGATTTCATGATCAACACCTACAGATTGAATCCAGTGGAATACCTCACTGTCACGGCCTGCAGAAGGAACTTGGCTGGAGACGTTTGCGCCATCATGCGTGTCCACTCATTCCTTGAGCAGTGGGGCTTGATCAACTACCAGGTAGGATTCAAGATTGATGCGCTGTCTTGTATGCTGAACTGACTGGATCGATGCAGGTTGACGCCGAGCAACGGCCGTCGCACGTCGGACCCCCTTTCACCGGTCACTTCAAGATCATTTGCGACACTCCTCGTGGTCTCCAGCCGTGGCAGCCATCCGCCGATGCCGTTGTCTCTGCTGGTAAGCCCAGTGCCGATACAGAAAAGAAGGCTGCGGCAACACCGGCTCCTAAGAGCGAGCTCAATTTGGAAGTCAGCCGCAACATCTACGAAGCAAGTGCTAAGGGTTCAAAACTCAACAAGAGCGAACCCAAGACCAATGGCGAAACGCCAGTGACGAACGGTGTTTCGGGCATCGAAGAAGCTACCAAGACACCCATTGTCAAGGTCAACTGTCACACTTGCGGCATCGACTGCACCAGGCTATACTACCACAGCTCGCAGGCCGACCCGAACTCCAAGACCAAGTACGATGTTTGCCCAAGCTGCTTCCTCGAGGGCCACCTCCCAGGCAACCAGACAAGTGCTCAGTTCACCCGCATGGAAAATCCCACATACACGACCGTCCTCGACAGAGACGCACCGTGGAGCGATGCCGAGATCCTTCGGTTGCTTGAAGGCATCGAGAGGATGGATGATGACTGGAATGAGATTGCGGATCACGTGGGTACGCGAACACGCGAAGAGTGCGTCTTGCAATTCTTGTCCTTGGACATCGAGGGCAAGTATGCGGACTCGGACCTTGCCGTGAATGCCCCGACCGGCCTTGCAATGCTCGGCCAGCAGGGCGGCCATCTGCCTTTCAGCCAGGCGGATAACCCAGTCATGTCCGTTGTCGGCTTCCTCGCCGGTCTTGCTGACCCTGCCAGTACGGCGGCAGCGGCAAACAAGTCTGCCGAAGAGCTCACGCGCAAGCTTCGCAGGCGACTCGAGGGTGGCAACTCGGAAGAGGCTGTGACCAATGGCAAGGGCAAAGACAAGGACGGCGACTCAATGGAGATTGACATCCGCCAAGACGTCACAACGACGACGACTACTACAACGACAACGCTGGCCACCATTCCTATGGCTACCATGGGTGCCCGTGCCGCCGGTTTGGTGTCACACGAGGAGCGCGAGATGACAAGACTAGTATCCGCTGCGGCCAATCTCACTCTGCAGAAGCTGGAGCTGAAGTTGAAGTACTTCAACGAGATGGAAGCCATTTTGCAAGCAGAGCGGAGAGAGCTCGAGAGAGGACGGCAACAGCTGTTCCTGGATCGCCTCGCGTTCAAGCGTCGCGTCCGCGAGGTGCAGGATGGACTCAAGGCGGCAGTTGAGACGGGCGGTGATCAAGGCCTCAAGCAGGCCCAGGATGCGATGTCTGACGGTGCCAACCTCACCTTCCAGGCGGCGCCTGGAGCGGGCGCTGTGCAGCCGTTGAGTAGCGGAGGGCAGATTAAGAGCTTCGAGGCTTGATGCGGCTCATGGCACGGTGTCTCTTCCTCGAAGAAGACAGTTATGAGATGGATCGGGACGAACGTAGCTCTGCGTATGCGCGGAGAATGGGGTCCCTGTATTTTGCAAGGGGTTTGGTTCGGTGATGACCAGGGAACGGCACAAATAATTGTGGTGAATTGAAATAGTCTGGATGATTTTGGGCGTCGGAGGGATTCCTATGGCTCGACGACGTATTGTCGTTTGTGCAACTGTATTAGATACTTACACTACCCGTTTTCTGCCTGCTCTCGCCTTGCCAATATCTTGTGATGTCCACATCTCAAGGGAACTTTGAGGGCAGTGGTGTGATTGAGCTGTGTGGTCGCAAAGTGCTTTGCAAGTCTCGTAATGAGCAAAGGGCGTTGACACATGCTAGTCTATTGCTCTGTAGCTGACATTGATCTCGTGGTGAAGCAGTGCTAGTGGGTTGATAGGTAGATTGCCATCTCACATTAGCTTGCTCTCACATGTCGAAAAGAATCATGGTACATAAGGTTGTCAGATGCTATGACATCCAATTGCGGAGCTTCCCGAGCTAGACCATCCCAGAGCTCCATAGGTAGGTAAGCTCAGGCAAGGTGATTCACCTTATGTATGGCCGTTGAGCAAGCCTCTTCACTAAGGTAAGTCCCTATACGGCGCGGCAGTGGTGCTTAGGACGCTGGCCCGCAATTCGTGAAATAGAGTGCCGAGACCGTGGCCGTGGCCGTGACCTAGGCTGGTGTGGCAGACCGCAGACGTCCGGGCTGTGGGGCCGTGCTTCATGGGCCGATGAAGTAAATACACCGGGCTCGTTGTCTTGGGTATCGGAAGGAAGGTGCCCCCAAACGTATCTTACCTACCCAAGGCAAGGTAAAAGCAATAAGAAGGCACCTTCCCGTCGAAAGCCGGCCAGCTTCCTTTCTCGATGTACTGCGACATCTTACTGTCTTGCCACAGGTAGCAGATAGCTGCTGAGACGGGATGCCAAGGTGCCCGGGCAAGCGGAAGGGGGACCTTGATCAGCTCGATCCTCCAATGGTCCAGTCCGGTCTTGTCTGGGGCTATCCTCCTGTCCGGTCCACGGGTATTAAAACTCATGGTACAGAATAGATTCAACCCTCGCCCAGTCGGTCTTGGGAGTGGAGTTTATCAAGTATCTCAGACCCTGACAAGTGCCGAAGAGATGATTCTGATCGGAGACACCGTTATGCCTGGGTCAGGACGACATTGGGCTTGGCGGATCGTGAGTAGAAACTTGGGCCGGTTGTCGAATGAATTCGACCGAACATCCTAGGTAAATCCAACCGAGAGCCTAGGCTCAAGCAGAACCAGAGAGCCGACAATTTTCCGGCCTCCACTAGCAGCGCCTCAGGCCGTTTGTGAGGTCAGATTGAGGGGATTCTACAGATAGAGATGGAGACTGGCCGGAGTATTCATACGGATACTCCGTACTGGGGTAAGCAATGTACAACCCATTAGGTACCTGGTACCGTAGCGTACGTATCCACCGATGCGGTCGGCACCGTCATAAAGAGGGAAAGTACGGGGTAAAAGCTGCGTGCATGGGGCTGATTAGCTCCAAGAGCTAAACGTCTATACACCCCTGTTTTACCTCGGCTCAAAGACCCAATCCACCGCTTCTACACCAAGTGACCAAGGCAATGAAGACACCTTGCCGGCTGCACCGCGATGCGCCGAGGGACGATGAGCCAGTGAGGGAATTTGGACAAGGTGGGCAAGATGGTGACTGGTGTCAATATGGGATCCGGGGTATTTTGCGCGCACGCATCGAGGGCCGAGACTCAATTGCAGTCTGGGTATTGCTGCGGTACTGCAGCCGGCGGTATGCGGTCTGCGGTCTGCAGCGCATGGCGCGCCGCGTGTGCCCTTTTCCCCAATGTCCATCTCCGCCGCTCCTCCGGACGTTCGGGCATCGTGCCCCAAACCACCTCTAGAATGAGAACTGAGCAAACGGAAGCTAAGGGAGGAAGAGGTCAGAGACCTGATGTCTGAGAGGGCCAGGAATGAATTGTGCCCAATACTCCGGACCACGGTCCCGTCCGGCTTGTCATATTACCACAGGGACATACCCAGAGAGACGCCAGAAAGCGTGACTCTTTCTTTCTCCCTTTCTTGCCTGTTCCTCTCGATACTTCTTGCTTTATCTATCTCGCTCTCGATCGGTTCCCCGACATAATACTCTCTGTTCAGTGTCTATAGCTTATTTTCTCTTCTGGGTCCCTCCCTACATGCACCCTCGCTGGTAGCTTGTACTACCTTGGTTCCACGGCGCTGAACTGAACTGCCTACACCGGCCCATCCTTCTGCCAGCCACCTTATCGACAAGACGCGATCCCACGCCATCTTTCACGACCCTTGAGTGTCCGTAGGACAGGACAGGCTCACTACCTTACCTTAGCTTAGGTGTCTTCGTCAACCTCACACAGCATCCATTCCCGTCACCCGGGCACGCTTCCACTACCTACCTTACGCCTCTGCACGTTGGTAGCCCGAGGTATCGACAAACTAGCCCATCCCCACCGCCCCGTTACTGTTGTAGCGACTGGAAGCATCCCAGCTTACAGCGGCTACGGAGTACCTTACGAGAGAGCCTGGAACCTCATACCCCAGCTGTTCCCCATAGCCGGACCCCGTACCGAACCGCAGCCGCCTCCTCTTGGGGTATCTAACTGAGGTACCTTACCTGACAGAGTACACTACTACTGCACACCTCACCATCTCCCATCAACACGCAAGCCTGGAATCCACACATCCCTGCTGTGGTTGACATTGCTGCTGGTCATAAAGGGATTCCCGCGTGGCACCTACGTTTTGGCTTGTGACAAGCAGCCACTCACTTCCCCGTCTGCCACATTTTCCATTCTGTCAGAGGTGTCTGAGGTATCAGTCTGTCTGTCACTCTGTCACTTTGTCCTCGTCCCTCGCTCGCTCCGGCTAGCCTCCGCTCCGGCTCCAAAAACCATTCGACTGAATCGTCTGCCGTCTGCCGTCTGCCGTCTGCCGCGGATCTTTCTGCGGCTACCTTTTTTCGTGCGTGCCACCACTGCGTCTGCACTGCAACTATTTTAACACCACCCAACCACTCACACACCACACCACACGTTTACCCTTTGCAAGAATTGGTCATGTCGGCCGCACTGCGAGCGTTGGAGGCTAGGTCTGCCACGGCAAGGACTTCTTTGAGACATCTGACCTTTAATCGCCCTCGTCCGGTACGTTTTGTTCGTTGACGCTGTTGCATCTTCCTTCCGCTATCCTCTCTCTCTCTCTCTGCTCTGCTCTACTCTGCTCTTTGGCCTCGGCTCAACGCCATCATCCTTAATCCCACCCCGCTCCGCTTCTTCGGCTCCATCCATCGCTTTTGGGGAGCTTCTCTCTTCCGTCTCCCACACACTTTCATACAAACACATATCTTGCTGCCGCATGCTCTGTCTATCGCACTTTCTAACCACGTCTCCTTACTCTCCAGACCTTTGCAGCCATGGCTCCCGCAGCAAAGCGGAACAACAGTTCCCTCCCTTCAGGTAAATTGCGACTCCCCAAACGCCCCTCGGCCGCTCACCCTCGCGCCTTGAACGACCGCGGATGCGCATCGTACGGCGCATTGATGTTGACCCGGCTAACACGATTTACACACAGGATATGTCGAGGACAAGTCCAAGGGCGCCATGTTGAGATTCCAAGACTCTCTGCCCCGTCTGCCCGTACCGAGTCTCGAAGAGACAGCCGCGCGCTACATCAAGACCCTGCACCCCCTTCTCTCTGAATCCGAGTTCGCCGTCAGCAAAAAGGCCGTCGAGGACTTCGTCAAGCCCGGAGGTGTCGGCAGCAAGCTGCAGGAGAAGCTGCTCGCCCGTAGAGAAGATCCCGCGCACCGAAACTGGCTGTACGAGTGGTGGAACGATGCGGCATACCTCAGCTACAGAGATCCCGTCGTTCCCTACGTGAGCTACTTCTACTCTCACCGTGACGACCGTCGGAGGAGGAACCCTGCCAAGAGAGCCGCGGCCATTACCTCGGCTGTCCTCGAGTTCAAGAAGCAGGTCGACGACGGAACACTCGAGCCCGAATACATGAAGAGACTGCCCATCTGCATGGACAGCTACAAGTGGATGTTCAACACGAGCCGTGTCGCCGCAAAGCCCGCCGACTACCCGGCCAAGTTCTCTCACAAGGACCACAAGTACATTATTGCTATCCGTAAAAACCAAATCTTCAAGATTCTGCACGAGGTGGACGGCAAGCAGCTCAATGCGTCAGAGCTCGAGCAGCAGTTCAACAAGGTCTACGAGTTGGCTCAGAGAGTTCCTCCCGTGGGCGCTCTGACCAGCGAGAACCGCGACGTCTGGTCAGATGCGCGCGAGATCCTCCTCAAGGCCAGCCCCAAGAACGCCGCATCTTTGGAGGCCGTTGAGGCATCCTCCTTCGTCGTGTGCCTTGACGACGCTGCTCCCGTCACCCTCGAGGAGCGCGCGCACCAGTACTGGCACGGCGACGGCGCCAACCGCTGGTACGACAAGCCCCTTCAGTTCATCGTCAACGACAACGCTACTTCGGGATTCATGGGAGAGCACTCCATGATGGACGGAACCCCCACTCACCGTCTCAACGACTTCATCAACGACCTCATCTTCAACAACAAGCTCGACCTCTCTGACCCCTCAATTCGTTCCAACCTGCCTGAGCCCCAGATCGTCAAGTTCGAGATCACCAAGGAAGTACAGGCCGAGATTGACCGCGCCAGAAAGGACTTCCACGATGTCATTAGCCAGCACGAGCTCGCCGTCCAGGCGTACCAGGGTTACGGCAAGGGATTGATCAAGAAGTTCAAGTGCTCGCCCGACGCCTACGTTCAGATGATCATCCAATTGGCATACCACAAGATGTACGGCAAGAACCGCCCTACATACGAGTCGGCCGCCACTCGCCGCTTCCAGCAAGGCCGTACCGAGACGTGCAGAACCGTGTCAGACGCCTCCGTCTCGTGGTGCAACGCCATGGCCGACCCCAACATTGAGGATAAGGCCAAGGTCGACCTCTTCCGCCAGGCCATTGACTCCCACCTCGAGTACATCACTGCCGCTTCAGACGGCAAGGGTGTCGACAGACACTTGTTCGGTCTGAAGAAGCTGCTCGAGCCCGGCCAAGAGCTGCCTGCCATCTACCAGGACCCGGCCTTCTCCTACTCTTCCTCGTGGTACCTGTCCTCGTCACAGCTTAGCTCAGAGTACTTCAACGGATACGGGTGGAGTCAGGTCATCGACGGCGGGTTCGGAATTGCCTACATGATCAACGAGAACAGGTACGTGATTATTTTCTGTCGCTCTACAGCAGTTAAAACCCCCAGTAACCCGAACACTCAACTAATCCGTCATGTATGTATAGCATCAACTTCAACGTCGTCTCCAAAGGCTTGGGCAGCCAGCGTATGAGCTTCTTCCTCGACGAGGCTGCCGGCGAGATGCGCGACCTGCTCATCCCCACCATTAAGCCCGCCAAGGCCAAGTTGTAAGCGTTGAAAGAAATCACTTGTAAGAGGAGGGATGAAGAAGAACTTGTCGTTTGTAATACGGGCGAGAGAAGAGAAAGTCGACTAGCGTCCCAAGGACGCTCCATCAGTTAGTTGTGAGAGGGTGTGTATGTGTGTTCATATATGGTTACATGTAGATGACCGGTCATTCTTTGCACCGATACAGTAGAAGCGTCTCTGGCAAACCTGATAGACGTGACCGGTGGTGTCGGCACCGCCGCGATCATATTGAAAAATTTCCCCCTTCGCAGTCTTTCACATGTCTCTGGGTCTATGTACACTACAAATCCACGTTGCTCGGGTGGCAAAATCAAAAACATTATCTCGACAACTTCCCATTCCCTCCTAGTTCAAACGTACGCGCATCGGGGATGCAAGGCAAGATGTATAAATGTAACGTGGTTTGAATAGATGAGTCAAAACCGAAGAGTTCCAAAATGAAGCAGGCTATGTATGAGGTGGAGAACAAAATGTGCCGCCGCCATGTTAACTCCTACAATTCGACCCGCCTCTGCCCCTACCCAAACCGATCCCCTTCCTTATCTATGGCTGACACTTCCATCTTAACCCGAGTGAGACACAATCTCGTTGACGAGTTCGCCCTTGGTCTCATCATAGTAGGAGCAAATCTGCGATGGAAGCGGCACTTCCACGTAGTCCTCGTCCTCTCCCGAGATGATGTTGAGGTTAATGCCGGAAGACTTGCTCGAGAAGATCTTGGTGTCCGTGCTCTCCTTGCTGAAGTAGACTTGAGCGCCATCAATCGAGTCCATCAAAACGGCAGGCACGGCCCCCATGACCTGCAAAGCGAAGTTCTGGGACTTGATAACGTCCACAGTTGAGATGAGGGACTCAACGATCAACGACAGACGAGTCGAGTTCTCGATGGTAACAGCGTTTGCCTTGCCCTTCACAATAATGGTAGTGTTGCTGCACTTGCTGATCAGAATGGAGTGCGAATTGGATGCCTCGATTTCAATAGGCTGAGGCTCCTTCTCGAAGTTTTCCTGGAAACGATATCAGAGTTAATCACCTTTGACATCATCCAAAGCACAATTATAGGGGGGTTTCATACGATAGTCCACTTGTTGCCCTCAAGCACCTTCTTTGACGGCTTCTTGACGCGCATGCTCTCTGGCTTAGGCTTCTTGCCAGGAGCCGGGCTCTTGCCGCGTGCTGATGTCTCTCCATCGACTTTCGAGGTTGTACGAAGGGACGGGTTCTTGTGCGTCATTTCCGATCTGTCGACCTTGCGAAGACCCTTCGTCACAGCCTCGCCTTTGTTGAGTTCGGAGAACACGGCACCCAACCCACCCTTGCCACCGGGGGTTTCTTCCTTTATATCCAGTACAGGAGGGGGACCGGGAGGTGGGGGCGGGGGCGGAAGACCGCCGGCCGGTGGTGGCGGAGGAGGAGGAGCGGCGGCGGAGGCTGCAGATGCGGACAATGACTTAGCGACTTCCTGAGCTGGCTGACCCTTCGGGTTCCAGGGGATGCCGCTAGCGAAGTTCTGCTTGACATAGTCGGCAAGGTCACGGAAGACTTGGTAAAAGGCATTCACCCAGTCGGTTTGTTGCGCATCCCTATGCAATATCGCATTAGCCAGGGGACTTCAAGCGGCTCCTCAGATCGTTTGCGTAGACATACTTGTCCTTTTGTTCCTTCAGCACCCTGTTACCAAAGAATTGGGCAGAGCCCAACGAATCTTCGACATGCTTATAAGGACGGTTGTCGACAGTGACCCAGGCGAGAACCATGATGCCCTCAGCAACAGCGCTCAGTTGAGTGAAAACTGGCGATCCTCGGTTGGACTCTTTGATGTTGTTGACAGCTACAAGGGCTTCGTTGATGGGCTTGAGAAGGTCCTGATATACAGCCATTTCTGCGCCGTTCAGATCAGGCTTCTTAGCCTTCGTGGTGATGAGCAGGAAGTTGCGCTGGGCTTGGAAACCCTGCAGAACTTTGGCAGCCTACGGAGACCCTAGTCAACACCCAAAGAACGGTCAATTCGCAAATGTATTTAGATGACTGACCTGGTCAGCAACAAGGCCTCCTAGCTGCTGACTGGTTTTGACATATTTCTCGACCGATGTGGCAATAAATTGGTCGAACTCCTCAATGGACTCAGGGACTGGCTCTGGGGGAGCTTGGGGAGCGACGGGGGCTTGCGGCGGCGGGGGAGCGGCCGAGGCATTGGAAGCGTCAGGCGGCGAGGCGACCGATTGATTGAGAGCGGGAACTGCTTGGGGAAGCTCGATGGTAGAGGTGGCGATGTCTTCGAGTCTAGCCGTGGCAGCTTCGAGCCTTGTTTCGAGGTTAGCTGCGAGTGCGCTGGCAGTGGGCCAAGGATAGGAGCAACAGCGAGGTAACGCCCGTCAGTGTTGCCGTAGAGATGGATGCAAAGCAGTCCAGGCTGATAGGAAATCCGTCGACGTACCGCTTGATGAGAGTGGTGAGGTTGTGCATGTTGTTCGTTGCCATGTTGGGCAGAGGAGGGGAGCCGAAGCTTGTTGCAAGGAGAAGGTCGACAGGAGAGGTTATAGGACGGCGGCGATGGGCCGGGGGTAAGCACTGACGGACAGAGACGGTGTGACGAAGGGCGTCAGAGGACGGAGATCGGTAGCGGAAGACGGGGTGGATATGCAATGTCAAGAACAATAACGACAATGACAGCAAGGGCAATAGCAGGGTCGGCTGTTGCAACACGAAGTGAGCTCAATGCAACCGAGGCCTCGTGCAGGATGTCTGTCGAAACAGCTCAACACAGCAAAGCAACTATTGCAAGGTTGAATGGGGCAGAGCCAAAAGATTGGGCGTGAAGTTTCAGCTAGTGCGGAGCTGCTGGGATGGGTGAAATGCACCTGGCAAAGAGCAATAGGTCGGCTGCCGCTGAAGATGTTGTAAATGAGCAGAGAGCTACGAGGTTGGCGGACGAGGTGTTTTGAATGGGTATTATCGCAAGCATCCAATGTCATGCCAGACAATGGGGGTGGACAGACGCGGCAGTACGTATCTTTGTGCTGGAGACACAGTACCTCTTCAGGAAGCTCTGCTGATCAGGTACCTAATCGTGCTTGAGGTCCCGGGACAAGTACCTGAGGTATTCCCTGCCCACGCTACCGCGCCATCCAAGATGATGGGTGCCTCTCGCTTTTTGGATGCCTTGGAGTCTATTGCCTTAGGCACAACCTGCCTCTGCTCAGGCACTTGGGCTACCTAGCAGCTCATCTACCTACCTCATGTATCTATTGAACTTGGCTATCTAAGCTTGAGCAAGATTAGGTATCTGCTGAAGCCTAAGGTCAATCCTTCATCTCTTGCGCATGCGATTCCTGCCATTCATCTGCTCGGTTTCGCTGACTGTGTGCAATCTGCAATTGCATAGGATGAGATGACGGTGGTCAGCATGCCAGGCAATTTCGAGAAGGTTGAGTAGATCAAATGCAGCTTGCCCAGCTAGTGTACTCCGGCGTACGTATACTCTGTAGGCAGTCGCCAAACCCCCCCCCCACTTTGTCTATGAGTACGATGCCAGAAGCGGCTGATGATGACGATAGTCAAGCAAAGTTGTTCAGCGACAGAAAAGTGTCAGTTGAGGCTAAAGTATGGACGGCTTACAATCTCAACCTCGAAACTTCACCTACAATGAATTTGGACCGACTAGCTAACCTCTTAGAACACTCCAGACCCATAAGGAGCTGCCCCTCTCGGCTCGAGTGAGTTGAGCGAGATCAGATAAGCTTCTAGAAGCTCCCTCCTTCTACCACAGGCAACCCTGCCACGTGCCGGCCCAACGTGTGGTTGTGTGCTACCTTATCTGTAAGATTTCACGTGGAATCATTTCAGGTACCATATATCCACGGACGGCGGCGGCGTCTAGTGTATGGATAAAAGATGGCATATGATTAAGATAGGGGGTAAATTGAAAGAGAAGATAGCGCACTGGCTAATGGTTTGTTGTTGATATTGAGGCTCACTCCAGCCAGCTGTATTTCTACAGTTGTTTTGCATCTTCAATTCGCCCGTCGGCCAGAAATCCGGGCCTGTTCCTCAACCTAACCTATATCACCTGCAACGTCTCATGGAGGAGGTGCCTTCTCACCTCACCTCATCTAGTAAGGCACATATCAGCCTGTCAGAGCCCCCTCGCTTCGTCCGTGCTTGCTGCATTGTGCATTCTCGCCGACGCTGATGCGGCCAATAACCCATAGCACACAACAAAGTGGGTGTAACCTAGTTTCAAAAGCCCTTCACTTTGCAAATTCACACTCAAAATCATCTGTCCTACTACGACTTTTTGGCTGGCTCCTAAGATATCAGTCAATCGTCTGGCTCTCACTTCCTCACAATAGTAGCAATTGCCGCGTAACACAGCATCTCGGCCGACAACATTAACATCTCATTCGATTCGGGTTGAGTCTTCACGCCACTCATTGCGTAGCTACTATTGATCCGTCCTTCCAAGAGTCGATTTCATTGTGAAGCTTTGACCATGGCCGACGACGACTCACAATCGCCGAAAGAGCAGCGTCTTACTGACGAAGAATTCAAAGCATTGCCTGCCATTGACTTTGTGACGTTGGGAATGTTCATCATAGGTGAGTCGGAAACCTCTCTCCACCGATGCCTTTTCTCCATGAATCCAATATCACCACGGTGTGTCCCTCCACTGCATGAATCCTCTGCTGACGATGACTAGACGAGATACACTTCTTGCCGCCCACGCCGCCCGTCTTTGATGTTCTCGGCGGTGCCGGCTCATATGGTGCCCTTGGAGCCCGTCTCTTCTCGCCGGCTCCGGATGCCTCTTCAGTCGGCTGGATCGTCGACAAGGGTTCCGACTTTCCACAATCCTTGACCGAGCTCATCGGCAGCTGGGAGACGTCAGTCGTGTTCCGCGAGGACCCAGAGCGTCTGACCACCCGCGGATGGAACGGATACGAGAACGCAGAGAAGCGCGCCTTCAAGTACACCACCACCAAGAAGCGCCTCACTGCAGGGGACCTCACACCTCATCTGCTACTATCCAAGTCCTTTCACCTAATCTGCTCCCCGGCCAGATGTAGAGACTTGGTGTCCGAAATCACCTCAGCCCGGAAGCATGTGTGCCCGCCCGATGCATACACAAAACCAATATTCATCTGGGAACCCGTACCTGACCTGTGTACGCCCGATGAACTTCTCAACTGTACAAATTGCCTGCCCCTGATCGACATCCTCAGTCCGAACCACTCGGAGCTGGCAGGTTTCATGGGCGACGACGGCCTGGACCCAGCCACTGGAGAGATTTCGAAAGCGGCGGTAGAGAGATCCTGCGAGCAACTTCTCGCAAGTATGCCTTTGTCATCATTCACGCTCGTCATCCGCGCCGGAGACAAGGGCTGCTACGTTGCTCGAAACGGTGGCCGCAAGCGACATCCAGCTGCTGGCGATGGAGCAGGTCCGAAGCGTCGCAAGAAGGATTATACGAGGGGCGGCCTTCAGCCGGACACCGACATGGAAGCACTCTTCGCCGGTCTGCTTCAGGATGACGAAGGTGCTGTTGTTCGCGAGGAAATCGAGGTTGATTCTGGTACCGAACAGTGGATTCCAGCCGTTCACCAGGACAGCGCCAAAGTGATAGATCCTACAGGAGGTGGCAACACCTTTCTGGGCGGCCTCGCTGTTGCTCTTGCAAGGGGCAAGAGCGTAGAGGAAGCTGCAGCATGGGGCAGTGTAGCCGCCAGCTTTGCCATTGAGCAAGTTGGCGTACCAACTTTGGCCAAAAACGAGGAGGGCCAGGAGACATGGAATGGTGAAAGGGTAGAGGACCGGCTTGCGGAATTCCGAGCCCGTCTACAAAAGACACAGTAGAGTCCACGACAAATGCTTCATCCGTGATCATATATCTAGAAAGAGGTAGACAAATAAGGGCAAAAGTTAATGCAAAGTTTGACGCGTTGGATCTGACACCTTACAGACCACTGCGCAAGAATCATGGTAGTCGAGTCTCTATTCGTTACGTAACATGGCAATGTCTCACAGGGACGCCGCCTTCCTCTCACAATACCAACGCCAGATATCATACGCAAATAATCCCACATCAAGACATCCGGCCTTAAATCTTGTACACAAGCTCTCCATCGGTGTACCTGTCTCTCGGTTAGCCACATAAGAATAGAAGATGAATAATCAAGCGGGGGAACGTACATAATCTGGTTGGCTTCGTCCATCTTCTTGAGAGCTTTGACGGCCTCTTCCTTGCTGAAGGCACTGCCGCTACGCGACTGCAACTTAGTGTTGACGGCTTCCAGAACAGCATTGACATTGGCAGAATCGTCGTCGAACAAGGCCGAGTTGAGTAGCTGGCCAAGAGCGCTTCTGAACACAGTCAATCGCTGGGGACTGATGGGTTCGTCAGCAATGGCGAGGCCAGCTGCTCCCGATGCCAGCTCGTCATCATCCTCGCCGTTGTCTTGTGACTGGGAAGGCAGCTGAGAAGCGGGCAGAGATGAAGCAAATGATGTTTGCGTGTGCGGTGCCGCACTTGAAGAAGCCGCGCCATCACCGCGACGACGGGACCTCCGTGGCGTCGCCTCGTAGATATCCTCCTCTGCTTCCTCCACTGCATCAGGCTCGGCAGGCGTCTCCGCGTCGCTTTCAGGGGCATCTTCGTTGGCACTGCTGGCACCAGCGGTCCGCCGAGGCCGGGCCACGCCTCGCGTCGACCGCGAGGACCTTGGGACGGGCGTCCGTGTTGTCGTCTTCTTAAAGGTTGCATCATCGTCGTCGTCAGACGAGCTTTCATCGCTTGACGAAGCAAATTTGGTGGTCTGAGTTTTCCTGCGCTTCTTTCTCGACTCGTCCTCGACCACCTCCTTGAACAGGGCAAAACGGAGGATTGCCTCGGCCGCAAGTGCATCGCGCTCGTCTACTCGATTTGAGAGTCGGGACTTGGCGTGGGCGGTAGCCAAACGAATAAGAGTTTCCAAAGTACGGACGGTCAGAGGGCTGGTTCTGCGCTGGTTACCCTCCATCTCATCGTTTCTGAGGCCAACATAAATGTCAGAGATGCGATCTGATGCGGCCTGAGTCAAGACAGGCCGAATTCTGGTCTTGGCATATTGAATGTATTTCTTCATGAAAGGAATGCTGAGCACCTCGGGCTTCTTGTTCGCGCCGCGTCCAGTGGTAAGAGTGACGCCAGCGTGAAGCATCGCATCGAACTTCTCGAACACATCGGTCGGGCGCTGGGTATCGGCTTGGTTGTTGATGGCAACGCCGAGGGCTTGGCCGGCGTTCTCACGCACCGGCGCACCCTCTTCTGTCCCCGGTTGACGGTAACGGTGCATCCGCAGAACGTGCTCCGAAACCTGCCGGTCCCGAGTATCCTCGATATCATCGGTAACGACGAACAACAGATCGAAACGAGACAGGAGGGAGTCTGGAAGGGCGATGTTCTTGTGGGGGTCCTTATGGGTGTCGTATTGGCCAAAGATGGGGTTGGCAGCAGCAACAACGCTGCACCTGGCGTTGAGCGAAGTGTGAATACCAGCCTTGGCAATTGTGACAGTCTGCTGTTCCATGACTTCGTGAATTGCAACACGATCAATATCGGACATCTTGTCGAACTCGTCAATGCATACCACGCCACGATCAGCCATGACCATAGCTCCGGCCTCAAGTCTCCTCTCACCGGTCTCCTTATCCGAAGTTACAGCGGCCGTCAGACCGACACCTGAGGAACCTCGACCGGTAGTAGCAATGGCTAGTGGCGCCGTATTGAGGACGAATCGAAGAAGCTGGGACTTGGCCGTGGAGGGGTCTCCCACCATGAGGATGTTGATGTCACCCCTCAAATGAGTGCCATTTTCCAAATTCTTCTCCATGCCACCAAGCAGCATCAAAAGAATTGCCTTCTTGATGTATGCGTGGCCGTAAATACTGGGCGCGAGTGACTGGGAAAGGAGGTCGAGAAGATTCTTCTTCTTTGCTACTTTGTTGATGTTTCGAATATCCGTATCGGTTATAGTGGCAGTGGCCACACCACCTCCCGATTTCGATGACAGGAGAAGAATGTGGTTGGCGATGATAACCGTCTTGAACAAGGCGCTGTTATGGTTTGTGTTTCTGTTGCCGAGCGTTCTGTAGATACCGACGAGTTGCACGCGGTCGCCAGGCTTGACCTTGTCGACAAGGTCATCATCGAGGATCACATCCACGCCACGGGGCAGCTGACCTGCCGGGGCACGCTCTGGCATCTCCTGAATGGAAACGGTCTGGTGATCTCTGTAGGTGCTGAAGCCGTACTCGGTAGTAAGCGGGTTGCCTTCGTCGTCCTCTTGAGGGTAAGCGCTCGATGTGGTGACTCCGTTGGTCATGGTCTGGTCTTGGTACTCTCGGAAGTGGAAGACATCCTTGTTCTCGTTGTAATGCACACTCTTGACAACCTTGGGCCGAATCAGCGAGCATCTCGTCACAATGCCTTCGAGGGACACCATGCTGTTCAGGTGCTGGGAGGACAATGTGCGAGGGTTGCAGGCATTCATGCCAAAGCTACCGGCCCATGCGCAGTAGTAGGAGATCTCGTTCAACTTTTCCGCATCGCCGGACTGGGGCAGTGTCTTGACGATTTGTTTCAGGGCATGGTTGAAGGCAAGACTATAGTCGAAAGGGTCTTGAAGAATTCCAGAGGCAAGTTCGGCATTATGGGCGCGTAGTTGGTCGAGGTTGACGACAAGTCTTCTCTGCTGCTTTTGCAACATCAAGATGATGGCGGATCTGTAGCTGCGTCCTTGAGAGTCATTCTCTGTGGTCGAACCAGGTCAGTGTGCAACATTCAGAGGCGCATAGACATGTACGGGGATGCGAAAGCAAACGTACGAGGATCGAGGAACTCCTGGGCCAAGCGCACGCGGTCCAAGGCGGCTGCATCCTGCAGCATGAACGAATCCATGGCGGCGGCAATTGTTGTCAGAGTCGAGACTTAATTGAACGGAAGTAAGAGAGTCTCGGGAGAGAAGGGTATCAAAAGCGTGGGTTTGCAAAAGTAGCTGACAACATGAGGTACAAGGAGGCTGCAGAAGTGTCAATATTGAAGGTCGAGGGGGAGGGGGAATGTGATCCGCCGCAGAGAGTGTGAGCGACAAGGAAAAAAAAGGAGGGGACCAATTCCCATCCAAAAACGCGAAGCGACGCGCCCCGATGTGGGACGCGTAAAGTGGTTTTGCTTTGGCAAGGCAACCGTGGCTTGCCCCTCCCCTAGAGACATGTGGCTGATGCCCCTTTCCAACAATGCTTCGAGGTAGGTACTTCGGTACCTGACTAAGGTATTCCAAGCGTCACATTAGGTACTTCAGCGCATCGTCTGTCTGTCACCATGTAAGCCCCAACGCCGACCATGGATTGGCACAGCATGAGGGGCCGTTTCTCAGCCAAACTAACCTGTCTTCGACAAGCCAGAATCGTCGTTATTCTACCAGTACCTCTTGCTCTTGCGGGCCATCATCCCGACTATTGCCCAGCGTCGACACTGCCGCCGGGGCGAGATCAGCTCACCCTCCGTATCCTACGTCACACGCCTGTTGGACCACTTTGGGTACCTTTAATATTTCGGCTTCTTACTTACCCTGCCCACGGGAGGCAGATAACACCCGGGACAATGCCGTGCCTTCGTCGCACATGAACCATGCTCACATTACCTCGACGATGTGGTTCGCCGAGCAAAACTACTCACTCGTTGCAGGCCTCGACTTGTCAGTCTCAATAATGGACCATCGTACCTTAGGGACGCCCGCCGAATCGTGGAAAAATCAGAGACTTGCCTACCAAATAATCTCAGCCACGTACCCAAGACCCGACAGTCTGGGCCGCCCTGGCAAGTCTTGCTTCCGCAGGCTTCTTGCAGATACGAAGCAGATTCTCCGGTGCACACTTCCTTTCAGCGTCGTCGTTTAATGCAACGTCTGCTGTCAAGCGTTGGTCACCCGCTTGGTGGACGTCGAGCTCATGGAGTGACACTTTACCCTACCGACGACTCCGTGTAATGGGATTCCTTGATGCTCTTTTCTTATCCTTTGGTAAGTAAGCACGTATCCACTTATAGCCGATCGGCAACGATGAGACAAGGGAAATGTCTCGTACCTTTAGGCACTGAGCTACTACCAGTCGCCAAAGATTGCACCAGGCGGATAGCGCGCGAATACCTGCTTTGCCGGCATGCGTTGCAATTCGCAAGTCCAGCCGGTTAATTCTGCAGAGGATCTCTTCCTCCACTGCTGGCCTCAAGTTCGGACTTCATCTCACTAGTGACGAGTCACATCCGCCAATCCTTGTCGCTCTCAACCGGCTCTGTATGCATACAGGGGTTGAATGAGAAATGGAAATCCAAGGGGGCCAGGTATCGTCGGGTGAGATAAGGGTGTAGAGATATCGCCGGTGCGGTTACCTCGTACATGAAGTTCACAATGCAAGAACGGTCTTGCAGTTGGCCAATATCTGTACTCCGTACACGCACTCAGCGGGGGGGGAACTTCTCGCGACGAGAACATCTACGGTTCCATACTAACTCATCTTGGGCACGGGACAGTGACACCGAAATGACCGGCCCGAAAGTATATCGGCATCCCGATGAAAGGTGACGCGGCATCGGAACGATCCGACACTGTTACTAGCTGCTCCACCTTCGCGGGTCCAGTTTCTCATCGGATACTCGCAGCTTGAGAAGATATCGCAAATCAGCTCAACGGCGCTCTGAATATCCTCCCCCATCGACGAGTCTGCGAGTACCTCAAAGAGATCTTCTTACATTTTCTGTTCAGATGGAGTCCTGGACTCGTATCAGAGGCGTCATTTGCTGCACGTCGTTCCGCGGCTATCCGTTTTCGTACTGGAGCGGCATGGCGCATCGAGAGACCGTTCGGTAAGCCGATGGTGTGCCTCCGTCTAGACGGGGGCGGAGCACCATGCTCACGACCGGGCCCAGATCAAGCTCACACGGCTCGCTTGGCCGGGGGTATTCTCTTCGGTGGGAGGCTTCCGTCATGGTTCTCCAAGTTGTATCACTCACTTACCTACTCCGAACTCTATTCTCCATATCCACGCCCCCTCTCCACACCACGGTGGATGCGCCAATGCGTCCCCCTCCTCTCACGGCAGGCTTTGCTACGCTACCTCGGACCCTAGTACAGAAAGGCGGACATTCCTAGGTTCGGCTTGCCGATATCTTACACATTAATGACTGCAGGTATTGAAGCACTTGTGAAGAGGAGCTTCGTGAGATGGGAGGTGAACAGTATTAAAGGCTCGACAAGAACGTTGGCCTGCCAGTGTTGTCTACTGTTTACACCGCTCTATTCCCTCTATCATCCATACCTTGCTTACGGACCCCAACCAATACACCGCGCCTCAACGTACATCGTGCTTCGCTCACAATGGTTCTCAAACCCCTTGATACCGTAGAGTTCACTGATGCGAGCCACTCGCCAGTGCTTCATCGAGATCTACGGGGTCAGTTTGCACGCATTGTTGGTGGTGAAGGTCATCACTATGTGGTAGAAGGCGGCAGGAAACTCTTTGACGCTTCTGGAGGCGCCGCCGTCGCATGTATCGGTCATGGTGACAAAAGAGTGGCAGACGCTATGTTGCGGCAGATCAACAGCATCGCATATAGTCCTTCGACGTTCTTCACAACCCCCGCCTGCGAGAAATTGTGCCAGTTTCTCGTCGATTCGACCGGCGGTCAGATGTCACGAGCTTACCTAGTCAGCAGCGGTAGGTCTGATGAAATCGATCAGGACCGACTTCTTGTTAATTCTTGTAGGATCCGAGGCCATGGAGGCAGCGATGAAGCTCGCAAGGCAGTTCTTCCTGGAGAAGGATACGCCAGAGCCCCAGAGACACCTCTTCATAGCTCGGGAAAGGTCGTATCATGGAACAACTCTGGGCGCACTTTCGATGGGTGGTCACGTTTCTCGCCGAGCCAAATTCACGCCGATGCTCCTCGACAACATCGTCTCTCATGTGGCCCCTTGTTATGAGTACAGGGGCAAAGCACCTGGGGAATCGGACGCCTCATATGTGGCTCGCCTTGCCCAGGAGCTCGACGATGAGTTTACACGGGTAGGACCGGGGAATGTGTGCGCTTTTGTGGCGGAGCCGGTTGTTGGAGCTGTAAGACGATCCGCTGAAGAAGCACAAAGCAGCCGCGGTCCAGACGAGATCGACTAACATTTCTAAATAGGCTCTGGGTTGTGTCCCATCTGTGAGCGGCCATTTCAAGGCTGTGAAGGCAGTCTGCGATCGACACGGAGCACTTCTGATTATGGACGAAGTCATGAGCGGCATGGGCCGCTCTGGGACTCTCCATGCTTGGGAGGGCGAGGGGGTAGTACCCGATATCCAGACTATTGGCAAGGGCCTAGCCGGGGGTTACCAACCGATTGCAGGCGTTCTGGTCAACAAGGGAGTAGCCGATGTGTTGGAGAAGGGTTCCAGGTGAGTTCCATGAAGTGGTCTCTGAGTGCGTCTCGCTGGTGAAAGGGGCCACACTGACGCGGTACAGTTGTTTCGTTCATGGGCACACATATCAAGGCCACCCTATTGCGTGCGCAGCAGCACTCGAAGTACAGCATATCATTAAGTCGGATGGTCTCCTCGCCAACGTACGAGCCATGGGCCAACTCCTTTCGGAACTCTTGAAGGAGGGCCTCAAGGACGAACCTTACGTGGGAGATATCCGCGGCAAGGGACTCTTCTGGGGTATCGAGTTTGTGCGGGACAAGTTGAGCAAGGAACCTTGGCCAAGAGAAGTACAGGTGGCGACAGAGATGAGCGATCTTGGGCGCACCGAAGAATACGGCATCGTGGTTTACCCTGGTGCAGGAACTGTGGACGGCGTTCTAGGTGATCACATCATTGTGGCGCCGCCGTATACTGTGACACGGAGCGACGTTGAGTTCATTGCCGAGACGGTGGTGAAGTTGATCAAGAGTTATTTTGTCGGACTGGAGAAGTCCCGGTCAGCTATTTGATTGACTTGAGTGTCACTATTGCATGTATACTATGCGAGAGTAGCAAGGAAAGACTAGTTTGGCAACGTACGAAAATACCACATGCGTGCTAAATCATAGGTGTATGAAGAGACAAGAAGAGTATATGGAAGAACTGGTGAAAGAATTGAGATTCCAAAGATACTCTATGAGAGAACTTTCATTGGATAAGGTGCGTTGAATAGAACCTTCCTAAATAAATGGTGGCGATCTCGTGGACCTTATTTCTAATTGAAGTGATGAACGTACGGATATTTGGGACTCGAAAGGCATGAAAGGGCGGTGCGACAAACATGGGATGACATAATCCATCCCAACTGTTCATCCAACCCCCAGGTTCCTGAACTTACTTGCTCTCAATACACACAGGCGACAGCGCAGCAGAACCACACGTACCTCATCCGATCAGCTTAGGCACATTCGGGTGCGCCTGACACAGCAGGAGCCCGCAAGAGCACAATACACCTTCCCTTTTCCCGTCCGTACCAAGCTCTCGCTCCGCACGTCCTGCCGTCTGCCAATGTACCCTCGGAAGTTCACCATCACCACTTCTGAGCCAGCCATCCCACGACTTCGTAGGTGATATTGCCTACGCGGAGAAAGAGCACTGGCGACGCGAGATTACACATTCGGCAATCCTTATCTCGCCCGGCTCTTGACTTCCCACGAACCCCACAGCGCTGACGACGGTCCGATCCTACACTTCAACTCCCTGCGGTCTCCAATTCCGACACTCCTTGCTTCAACCCCACCTGGCCGCAACTTGCAAGCGCTGTAGCACTATCAGCTGATAGGGACGCGCACAATGTCCGTCGGGCCTGCGACCAGTCGCCATGCCGACGAAGAAGCTCGTGCCGAGGTTGATGTGCTCAACTCGCGACTTGAGAAGACTACTCAATTGACCAAGAAGATTCAAGCATGCATGGGAAGGTTGGAGTCTACCGGCAAGAGCGTCAAAGAAGTAGCCGGTCCTCTCAGTGGAGAGACGAAGAAGCTCCAGGTCCTGGGCAACAGTACGTCTACCCTCGCGCATGCTTAACAGGGCTTCAGCTGACATTGCCTCCCTCGCTCGCAGATATCGATTCCGTTCTCGCTGCCATCGAACGACTCCGTAAACCCGCCGATAGTAAGAATGACGAAGAACAGATCATCCGCGCCGGTCCGGACAAGGCTGGTCTTTCCAACTACCTCGCTTCAATCAAGCGACTGTCCAAGTCACTTGAGAACATGCAGGCCTCCAACCTACGAGCGAACCAACAGACGATGGCTGAGCTGGTCCGCCTAATCAAGTCAGGCAACTCCCAGCTTGAGGGCCATTTCGACAGACTCTTGCGAGGAGAAACCCCACGATCAATCGAGCCGCTACATTACATTACCAAGGATATGCCATTCCCCGTATTGTCCCAAGACAAGGTGACACGCCTCGGCCTAGTCAACTCGTACATCACAAGCAACCATCGCCAGAACGCTGGTGCTGCCGCTGCCCCGCAAGACTCGACCATTGCCAAGATCTACGCCGAAATACGCGGACCTTATCTTTCCTCTACCTTGGCCAACCTGGCTGCTGCCAGCGTCAACACGACGAAGAAGAAGAACCCCGATGCTATCTACCGCGCAGGCACCAATGGCATCGGCACGTACGCGCAGGCCATGGAAGGCGCATTTTTGGCCGAGTACGACAATATTTGTAGCATCTTCACCCGCGAAGATTGGGGTCCCCTCTTCCAAGCTACGTGCCAGAGCGCTATGGCCGAACTTGCACGTACTTTGCGGGAGCTGAACAACCACATCAAGGGGCACCTGGACACGGACTGCTATCTCGCCTACGAGATCACCGAGATCATGTCTGGTCTCTCAAGCAACCTGGAGACGCGTACAGGCGAGCTCAAGTCTTCACTTGCCTCAGCTCTTCGGCCTGTGCGAGAGACTGCTAAACTCTCGTTGGGAGAGCTGTTGGATGACACGAAACGAAAGATCGCTGCTATGCAAACACTTCCGCAAGACGGTGCTCCAATACCTATCATATCGGCGACAATGCAGCGGTTGCAGACCATGGTTGAATTCCTGCGGCCCGTCTCCAGCATCATGTTCTCTCTAGGCGACGGAGGATGGAGATCAAATGCTGCTGCAGATGGACGATCAACCGACGCAATTCCTAGTCTTGCTTCCTTTGATATTGGCGCAGACGGAAAAGAAATCTTTTCGCACTACTGCTCAGACACCGTCGAAATGCTCATGGCGGGACTGGACTCAAAGGCCAAGATGGTTCTCAAGGGTGGCCGAGCTGTGATTGGCGTATTCCTGGCCAACAGCGTTATCATCATTGAAAGAATGATCCGCGATTCTGACCTTGCACCACTACTTGAGGGCAGGATGAGTATGCTGGACCAATGGCGCAAGAAAGCAACGGGCATGTATACGATGGATTGCAAGGAGGTCTCCACGCACTTGTTTGATGTGATCCACACCAGCAAAGCAAGACCCCAATCCGGACAGGCTGATTCTGCCTCAATTCTTAAGGGCCTTAGCAGCAAAGACAAGGACAACATCAAGGGCAAGTTCCAGGCATTCAATGCCTCCTTTGATGAGATGGTCAGCCGGCACAAGACGTACAACATGGAAAGGGAGGTGCGTCAGATGCTTGCAAGAGATATTCAGCAGATGCTCGAGCCCCTTTACAACCGGTTCTGGGACCGGTACCACGAAGTTGACAAGGGCAAGGGCAAGTATGTCAAATACGACAAGTCTCAGATTGCCGCTGTCTTCATGACACTCTATTGAGGAGGGCATTGTGTGCGCATAGATCATACCCGACTATGTTCCCGGCGAGGGTGCCCGGTTGTTCTCTTGTCAGCTATTTGTTTGTTTAGCATTGTTCTGGAACTTTGGCAGGGCGTTTCGGTGGCGAATACCAAGTCATGGATTGGCGATCCTTCTCGTACATACAAAACATCATTGCATCTCATCCCTTGTTTTGAGTGCGTGATTCGGAGCTGTCGTGAGATCAACATGCCGGGCCATGTCAACGCATGTATCGCAATTACATTACATCCGTATGGACACCTTGCATGTGGTAATTAAGGCATACTGGGTGATTGGGTCTCAGTAAATTGGTTGATAAAAGCATGCAGTATCATGATAAGTGCAGTGTCTTGACAAGCATGGTCATCATTATCATTCGCTCAAGGCAACCTTCACTAAAGGTGTAGCCATCCATACCGGATGTTTACATTGCTCAGCGAGGACTATTTCCATACACTGCTAAATTTGGCCGACCTTGGCTTCAGCCTACACCAATGTGCTAAACTCAAGTCTTCTTGAAGAGCAAATCGATACGCTCCGACCTGTGCCACATAATCACGCCGTCGCTGGCGCGCTTGAACCACAAAATCCGATGCTGAGGGATGAACTCCTCGTGCGTCTGCTCGCTCTTCCACGCCGACAGGGCTTTCTCCTGTGGCCCCAGGAATCTGTCCTCGTACCCGATGATATAGTCGTTGCTGTCGATATCGGGATCCCATCGCAGTCGGTTGAGCACATCCAGCGCAGTGCGGAACTTGCCCATTCCCTCAGGCTTCGGGTTGGTCGTTCCCGATCGCTGCTTCGCTGACTTTGTCTTCTTGCTCAGCTTCTCGGCGGCGAGCCTCTCCATGGCGGCCAGCTCTTCCTCGTCCTCGTCCTCGGTGTCGTCTTCGTCTTCTGTATCCGAGTCGTCGTCGCCGTCGACGTATACACCCCATTCGCGATCATCCAAGCGCAAATCTCTCAGCTCGTTCGCTCTGACTATTGTCGCGCTGAACCATGATGTGTTGGAATCAAAGTACCTCTCGTCACCCAGGATCAACTTTTCAAACTGCTGCAAAACGGCCCTGAGGTTGCTCTGTGCAACTTCCAGGTCGCCTTTGTCTGGCTTCTCGTCCTGTTCCATCCATTCCAGGCCGACGAGGTAAGAGCCCTGGTAATCACCTTGGGTGTTTTGAGGGTCACACGTAGATGCGTCGACAAATCTTGCAGGCCAGATCCTCGCTGAAAGCTGCGGGACTCTTCTGTTGATATCTTCGGGCATTGTCAGCAAACGAGCAGCACGTGGGATAGGGTCAGGGGTTACAAGCACTTACCAACGAGGAGAGAGGCACATCGAGACTCTAGCCAGCCGATGAGCCTACTTCCACGCTCTAGCGATGCTCCCCAGTAATGTACTCGCAAGTCTACAAAGGACCGGAACGACGTGAGAAAGTTCGCAGCGCTCGGCGACATGATGTTGCCTCGGCCGGGCTCCGGCACCGGAAGCAAAGATTCCCAACTTGCGCCATCGGCCGATAGCAGCTTGTTGGCTTGGCGGATTTCGGTCGCGATAATCTTGACGGTCGGGACGGAAGCATTGAGTGCCGTGTTGAGCGTTGGCGAGTGCCACCCGAGCAAAACCAGGGCCTCTCTACTTGTTCGGTGGTATCTGAGGTTCTTATGGAAGAACGGGTCGAAGACCATGTCGTTTTTCCAGTCAAACCGCGAATAGTGGTCAAAGAAGGTCGCAATAATGTCGGCAGCAGAAACGGCGCCGCCGTTGTGCAAAAGCACCTTGCAGACATTGACCAACATGACGGTCAGGTGGATGCCTCCGAGGTATCCAAACTTGGCAGCGTAGATTCCACGCGCCTTGGCCCAAGTCTTGATGGCCCGGTGGCTCAATCGGAACTGGGCCAAGTCCGGAATGGATCGCTGGAGATAGAATAGGTCTCTCGCGGGCTTCAGCTTCAACAACGTTTGGGCAGACAAGCTGAATGCCGGGTCTGACGCGGGACGCTTCAGAACGTCAGGCCACTCGTCCACGATGTTGGGCGCCTGGCAATATTGGAGATCGCATCTCACGCCGAGAACCTCCACCTCGAGCATCGTCCCGGTCTTGGCTTTGACTTTCCTTAGAAGCCGAATGCCAGGAATGCCCGACTTTCTCAGTCTTTGTCTTGCCAGAGTGAAGAAGACACGGGGACTGATGGACCCGATGAAGAAGCAGTCGATATCGGAGTTCCTGGACCAAGTGTCAAGACCATAGGATCCTACGGGAACAATTACAATGGCCGGACGGCCTCGTTTGTTGTCCACGTCTGTTTGGTCGGGCTCGATTAGGATTTGACGAAGTAATCGAATCGCCTCAGTTCGAACTGCCTCGTCTTGTGCTGATGGAAACACCTCAAGATTCTCCAGGCACTTAGTCAATCCTGTGGTATCTGACAAACCGTCTGGCGCTCTCTTGAGGTAGAGAGGGATCGCCCGTGCATCGCTGGTGGCATCCTTTGCGTGAGAGCGCTGCAAGAGACATCGAACGCCCCAGTGATCACTCGGGTACAGGGGCTCTTCTCCGGTCTCGCTGTCGCCAGCGACGAAGCCAAACATGTTGAAACGAGATATCTGGAAAGGACCGGTGCCCTTGACCAAGATGCGGTCGTACCGCTGCGGACGGTTACCCAGCCCGGTTCCAACCATCTTGCTGGCGTGGGGGTTCGCAGTAGGGTCAAAAGTTGCTCCTTGCTCACCCTCAAACATTTGTGTGAGATACCCTCTGAAATTATCACTCACGCCAGTCTCGATGCGCGAGACCATCCATACGTCTAAAAGGTCGGCCTTTGCCAGAGTTGTTTCGATGCCTCGGAGGACATTCTCTGTCTGGACAGTGATGGCCCCCTTCTTGACAGCAGCGTCCATGGTGTAGGAAGATGTTGTGATGTTGAAATCACCCGCGATGATCCATTGATGTGAAGCGTAGTTGTTCTTGAGATGACCCAGTAACCCCTGGAGTTCCCTAAAGATGATATGTTAGTACAGAAAACATATCAGGCTCGGCGGGGATCTATGGCTAACCTTTCCTTGGCAACCACTGCGCCGTCTGTCAGACCATGGCTCAGGTGACAAGTTGCCAGGACCAGAGGAGCAGCCGGTTCCTCTCCCTCGCCATGTGCCAGATCACCAAAGCTGAGTATGCATGATCCCTTGTGCGGGCGTACGAAGGGAAGATACTCCCATGAGAATGCATACTTGCTAAGGACCACGTGGTTGAGAATGCTGGGCAATGGACCGGCAGCAGGTTCGTCAGGAGACCCGTGGGAGACATTGGGGTACAAATTGCGAATCCGGTTGTCTTTCAGTAGGAAAGGTAAGAAGTCGTCTGTCACTTCCTGGAGTACCAAGATGTCCGCGACGGCATTTCGTGCAAGTAGGTTGTCGACGATAACGGGGTATCTACTACGAGACGGGGGCCATTCGAACTCTGCCAAAACGTTCCAGCTGGCGACGATGAGGTTCTCTACTGCCTTGACCTCTGGGTGAGGTGAGGCTGGATCTGAAGCGACAGGCCGCCAACCCAAGTCTTGGCTGGAAAATCTCCATGATCGCTGTGGAATAATGGCCGAGGCCATTTTGGGGAAGAGCCCAAACGAATCATCGCATTGACTCAGTGAAGGCGAAGTGAGGTCAATAAGACCCCAGAGCTTCATTTGACCGGAAGCATGACGAACTAGAACGGCTAGTTGGGTGGCTTCCCAACTTACCGGTGGTAGGCGCCGTAGCTTCTCGAGGAGAAAGTTGAGTTTAGATGACCCAGCTGAGTCCTCGCACTGAGCAACTGTCATGTGCATTCGGTACGGAGTAGGGCGTGTTTGGCCTATAGCTGTGAGAATTGCGGCGCGCAAAGAGGCAAGGTGAAGATTCCTTTTTTCGTCCTTATCACATAGAAACAAGGTGTTGCCGTGCTTATGCTCGAAAAAGTCTGGTGAGTCGAGAAGAAGAGGAATATTAGCGAAGTCACCAGTTTCCTGTCGAGCCTTGAGGCAGTTGACAATGGCATCACAGGCTTGATGCAGAGACTCCGAGTCCGCAGATCTGGTGAAGGGGTAAACGAGGTTGATGTGAGGTGGCCATTTGGCATAGGCCTTGTCATTGTGGAACCGAAGACGGTCAATTGGCGGCCATTGTTCCTTGGGGGGAATGAGGCAAAGAGCCGTGTCGTGAGTTGATGGGACGCTGAACTCCATTGGCGTTGGTCTCTTGGTCCCGGTAATGGCTTAGATCGCCCGTAGTCTTCGAAAAGGGTTGGTTTGTAGTGTGGTACGTGGTGAGCCCAGAGGCGTATGTATTTGACAAGAAAGAAGTCGAGTGTCTGTGTCGGTCGGTAATGGGCCCAGCGGGATAAGACGAGAATATTACGTTTACTTGATGATCGAGGTTGCTTACATGTAGAAAGGCGTGAGGCTTACGATTGCTTATGTATTAAGCGACCTAAGTGAGAAACTCGACTCGTTCAGCTAGAGAGGCACGAGAGGTAAGGTCCGCGTAAGTGTTAGTGTGTATCCGTAGTCGTGCAGGCTGAGTCCGACATGGGAATTGAATCGGTGTGTTCTGCATTGAACGAGACTGGCAGCCCCTGCAATTCTACGATGGCTTCCCTACTTACTGTGGGGATGTCTTCATTCTGCAACCGGGGCTGAGGCTAATTGCGGGGAGTGGGAGTCACTGGCCGAGTGTGTCACTGCGTCAGTCTCGTCCCGCTTTCCACTCACATCTACTATGTATCCGTACGGAGTACGCCTAGACTTTTGATCTCAATGCCCTGACAAGGAGGTAAAGATATATATAGTTTCATCCAGGTCGATGAAGTGAAACCCGGGATCGCGTATTTGCCCATGTCCTGGAGCGTCTGAACTACCTGTACCTTGGGTATTCGAAAGAGCCTGAGAGGCGCAGGTCTGGGGCGATGCGGGGCGGTGACTCACTGTGGTCGGTTGTTCCATTTGAAAGAGGTAAGCTGCATGGGAGGGACCCTGCCAATTGCCAATTGCCAATTGCCTGCGTTCCACGCCTTGGAAGCTCTGTACGGCAGACTGCAAGAGGCACTCCGCCAAAACACTTTTTTCATGCGTCAAAGCAGAAATCGAGTTTTACAGTCACCCCACCAACGATTATTAAACTTTACACTAGTGAGATAAACCATAGATATGTTTTATATAGAATTACGGCTTTAGATATATTATTAATTCTGGCACGATAGCTTTAAGAGGTAAGTGATAAGACTCTTATACAAGAGTATTAAATAGTGAATATTCATATAGAAGCAAGAATATATGAATATAGGGGTAGTTAAGCGTATATAAAAGAGGTTGATAAATGTAAAGAGAGTATATAGTTAGATTACTATATAAGAAGTTGCTTGCTTAACAAAAGGTTCAAGTAGGTAAAAAATGCCCTTATATAGGCATGAAATGCTCCTACTAGAATATTCCATTGCTTATTAATTATATCATACTTAACAAGCATATACGTAAGTGAATGCGTAGTCGTAATATGCAATACCTTTCAAGTAAATTTCAGCGCATTATATTATCTTCCAGTGTCGTCTTTCGCTCACGTAAGCTTACATAAACAATTTTGCTTACGTAGTCAATATCTATATTAATTTATAACTCTTATAAATTAATATGGTATATAACATGCTTACGTCATATGATTAATAAGGCAAATAATAAGGTAAAAGATTTATCTTTCCAATACTATTCTATAACTATATAAGTCATAATTCTAAATATATTCTTTATCTATTTATTTACTATATTTATTAGTAATTATTAAGTAGATACCGGTGAGCGCTCACTCGGAGTAATTATTATAATCACCTTATCATATACTTACTTCCTTATTACTACGTAACTTATCTATAGTTCTTCTATTCCGTGAGGAGTCACCTGAGTTCCCGGGTTCTCTATATATATCTGGTAGATAGCCGCCGCAGGCCTGCGGGGCGGGCCCCCTGGCCTTGTTATGCATGTTGGGTCGTAACAGTTAGGTGGGAAGAAGAGGAAATTGATCGGCAGTGGAAATGAGTAAGGAGGTATAGACCCCGGTGGCCCCACTTCTACCGCCTAGTCAACTATCTTTACGTGATCTATGGCGCCTCCGGTCGCAAGCAATTGCTTACCATATTATACGGTATTAGTAATGATATTCATTTATACATAGGGCACGTATAGCACTTTAGCGTACTTAATTGTACGGCTACCGTAAGTCTACTGAGAAAAAGTGATTTGGCGGAGTGCCTCTTGCGGTCTGCCGTACTCTGCCTTACCACACCTGCTCCATAGCAATGCTTCATCGCCAACTTCCGACTTGGCGTCGAATGAGGCTGATATCAGCTAGATACCATCGTAAGACTTGCTAAGTGACGCGCTTACTGTCATGATATTTCCAGGTTCAAGCCATCAAGATTTGTGAACGCGGACATCAGCAGACTAGCTGCTCAGTGAAACCCGATCTCATGTCACCGTGCGTGTATTTCTTTTACCTGTTTATCTCCCTCTTTCACTCTCACTTTCTGCCTTCTGCCTCAGTATCGATTCTCAAAATATTGCCAGATACAAGCCTGCGGAAAACGCTCAATTAAATTCGACATCGCAGCTTGTCGTTATGTTTTGATTTTGAGCTCCTCAGTTTTACTCCAATGCTACCACAGAGCTGAGGTAGATCGCGAGAACTCATCACAAACCAGCCATTCTTAGACAAGATCTTCACATGGCTCAACCGCCCTTTTGGGTATCATCAGTCCGCACTCTTCTCCCCCACCAAGTTATCGCGCATCACGCCGGCCGCGAGAGCCTCAATCGGCGTGTTCCTCAAGCTCGGGTCCAGTTCCACCCCAATCGATGGACGTAACGCCCTTACCCTTGCCCTCCATGAGTGCCTCCAGCTTGTCCTCGTTTGTCACATAGGCTCCGTTCTGCCTCTTCTGTGCCATAGCATACTTGATTGAATCTCTCCACTCCTGCAAGAATATAGCGTCAATATTGATACTTGGGAACTGCAGGACCCAAAAGGGCACTGCAACGGCGTTCCAAAAGCTGAACTTACCCGCCACCACACTTCTTCACTTTGCACCATGCACCTCCGGCCCTCCTCGCCGTTCCTGGCCGTCGCAAAGGGCCATACTGACTGCACCACTTCGTACTTGTGCTTGCTAGTGAAAAGGTTCTTCATGCCCATGTAGAGCTTGCTCGGCTTCTCGGCACTCTTCACCTTGACCTTGCAATGCGTCACGGGAAACGAGATGTTGATCTGCCCTTTGTACTGTGTCGAGGCAATCAAGCTACGAATCTGGCCCTCAATATAAAGCGTGTCTAGGTTGGCGACAACTCGCTCGAGTGCTGCAAGGCCAGGACTTGACGTTAGCCATCTTCAAACCAAACGCATACCGTATAACACAAGACGAAACTAACCAAAACTTTTGACGGGCGCCGGATCCTCGATGAATCGGCGACACCATTCATCCAGCTCTCCGTCACCCACCTCGGGGAGGACGTCGGCCTTGGCGCCGCCGCGGAACGCTACCTCGCCCGGCGCAACACACCGAATGTAGTCCAGACGCTTACCCATGTCGTCAGCCACCAGCAAGCCCATGAGGTTCATTTTGAAGTCAAAATCGATAGTTCGACCGCGGTTTCCTCTGATATGGATCAACGGCTTGGGTGGAATGCTCGCCTGAGACCTGATGAGCCCTATCAGCGCGCTGGCGCTCGCTGTCAGATACTCTGCCTTGGACGATAGGGTGGTACAGTCGGGTGATAGAGTGAAAACGGGTGGCGAGTAAAGCTTGTAATCCAGCCTGGGTAGGCCAGTATAATAGTGAAACCCGTGTGTGCCTTGGGAATCGTGTGAGATGGACGTCTCCGAGCTATTGGAGGGGCTTGAATATGGCGGGGGTTCCGAGGTACTGGCGCTGTCGGCCGTCAGGTCATCGTCATTGGAACGACTCGCTAGCAATGCCTTCTCTGTTACCAAAGAAGATGATGCTGGGTTCATGATGGACGTTGATACTGGTGCCGGAGGCGGGGGCGGCGGTGGTGATGCCCTCATTGTCATTGGAGGCAACGGCAACGGTGGAAGCTCCGCCGGCAACTCCGAGGGACCTGAGAAATCTGTTGGGAGCGCTGGTAGTGACCGAGATTGCAACACCATGGATCGTCCATTGCTCAACGTTGCAGCCATCGACAAGTTCTGCGTGGTGTTGATATGGCTCGTGGGCATGGTTTAGTACAAGGCGTAACCTGGTCACTCAGCGAAATCGGACGAACAGTTGAAGGCGCCGGTTGTTCGTAAGCGGTTGATCAAGTCAAAGTCACTGCATGACAATTAGAGAAGAGACTCTTGAGGGTAATTTCAGTGACGAAAAGTTCACAGGGAAGAGAAGAAATGGGAGTAGAACAATAAGGTTGAGGTAGCAAAAGAGGAGGGGAATTGAGACAAAGAGACCTGCATGGTCATCCTTTCCCCCCTCTGAATAGTAGCCCGCACTGGGCCTTACTATTAAGTGTTGTCAGAACCTGTGGTGAAGACCAAAGTACCTAAAAAAGAAATCACCTCAGAAATGTCAGACTGGGGCTTGAATTAGGCACCACCATTCTTCTCCAGCCCCCATGCCGCAGCGGAGTGCGAATGGAGACCTCCCTTGCTCCCCTGCCCGCCATATGCATCAGCCACGACCCACGGTCCACGGCCGGCCCTGGATAGTGGATTGCCGCCCATGCGCCCGCGTAACCGTACGCTCCCTGGCGACCGCAGTGGGCCTCGGGTCGTCAGCACCAAACCGCTTTTGGCTTCAGGGTGCCTTTAAGGATCACCATCAACAGCCCGGTCCATCTCATCTCATCACAAGCAATAGAAAAAGTCCGGCTCCGATCCTACGAATCGCCTACCTACTCCGTACATGCGACCTTTGAGGCAAGCCATGAATGATAACATGGAGGGAGACCTTGTAGCCGGCTGCACCGTCGGGGATTCCCACCCCGACCCTCGGCCGCTGGTCCATACAGAGCCGCAACACCAAGTAACAATCACGGAAACGCGGCAGCAGTGTACGAGGAGCACAATTCGAGTGCGCTATTATTCATCATCGTCATCATTGCGATGCATATGCATATGCTTGGTAACCGAAAGGATGCCAATACCGCTATCCTCTCAACCCAACGCCGAATGGAAATGCCCTCACACGTCCAAGTTGTGTTGAGGCACCGCCTGATCCGCTTGATGATCGAGGTAAGGTATTCCGCATGCCATGCTCAATCCACCAACGCCCAGGTTCCCAAATTCTCAAGAGTAATGCCAGTCAGTCCTCATCTCGTATAGTCATTCGCGGGCTTGCTTCGTCCATCTGCCGACTTCAGACAAGCTGGAAACCATCTTCCTCCGAGATGCGGCCGCCCTCCTGGCGCAGGTTTTGGCGAGCCTTGCGGCCCTTGAGAACCTGACCATTCTCATTAAGAATCTCGTACTCCTTCTCCACCATGCGCTCCGTCTCGCGGCCTGTCGTCTTGACAAAGATGTCGAGCGTCACTGGTCGACCGGGGCTTTCAACCCGATCAAAGCTGTACTTCCAGTCCTCGGTGACAATGTCGCCATATACATCTTGCACTGGCGCCATGTTCATGACTGACCGACTGAGAGGATCCTTAATCTGTTCCTTGGCACGAGCCGCCGAGCGCAGCCGTCCTTGCGGGAACTCCGAGTGTGACCGGAATTTGGTGATGTTGTGCAAGTTCTTCTTGTAGTGAGAGCTATTGCGAGTGTTAGGGATGTCACTAGGACCTACAGTGACAAGCGTTCAAGGGCAGACATACGTTTCACTGTTCTTGACTCGAGGCCGGCTCATGGCTCGCTGTTGCTCGGTTCCACCAACAGCTTCCAGAGTGTTCCAGTCAAGATGGCAGCCAGCTTGAGGACGGGCTCCGTTAGACCACTTGGATCGTGAGTCCTTTGATCTTTTGAAATCTTGGTTTGCGCTTCGAAGGTCGCGCTGGTACTGGGTCGGAGATTCGATTGGGCCGGCCATAGTGTCTGAGTAGGTGGAGCACGTTATGCTGTCGAGTTGATGATAGCGAAGTGTCGATTTTCGTAATAGGTAAGCAGCCGTCAACCCGCTTTGCGCTTTGTACGAAGGTAGTGTTGGCTTGGCTGGAGAGAACGTCGAGTATGGAGTAGGTATCGGATGAGTTTGGGGGAGGGGTTGGAAGACAAGTAGGTAGATATAGTCGGTGCAAGGGCAAGTGGAAGAGTAATGTGTGTTTCGGTCCTCGGCTTGGGGGAGGTGGCTACCTAACAGACTGAGGCCAAAGGAAGGAGGGTCTGAGCAGGACGAGGCAGGTTGGATGAGGTAATCACTCTAATGCGGACGGAAGTGGCCGGGTGAGTCACCGGACAAAGCTGAAGGGCTGAGTTGCCGAGGATGACAACTAGGATTCGAGGCGTCAAGAGCCTGTGGCGGTCTTAATGGTCCGAGACGGGACGTAGAGTGATAGTCGAGATTGGACGGACACAGGTGATGTCGAATGCAGGGTGGGATGGGCGTACAGATGTTCGATTGTCAGGAAACAGAGGTAGAAGTAGAGAAAGACGGAATTCACATAGACAAAGGTCGCGGGATGGCGGATGTGATATAGTTGGCAACGGTAGGTATGTTACGTAGGCAGATAAGGCGACGGAAGGTAGGGCGAGCCACAGTAGTTCAAAGAGGACGGGGAAGGCGCGCGTGTCCCAACTTTGGGATGTGGAGACTGGAGCCAAGCTTGCCAGGCTGAGCTCCAACTTCAGATGAGACGGAAAGGGCGTGACGGAGTGGGTTAATCGCGACACAGGCAGCCCCGGGGGCTGTCAAGGAAGGACCAGGCGCGAGCAAGATGATGTATGCGAGATGGTATTAGGTGGGCAGGTGGTGGCCTCTTGACCAGGAAGGGGGCTCATCGTCTCGGCTTAGCGAACAGACGGGCGATAAAGCTCGATGATAGTGCAGTTGATACGTTGATACGGTCCATGATAAAGCTTGGGGCGTGTGGTCGCGATAGATGGAGGGGGTGTGTGACATGGAATGGAAGTTGACGAATGCTCACAATCAGTGCTTGAGCCTACGGAAAGGTACGGATAAGGTATGACGAATTGCGGGTTGCGTATTGTTGGGGGGACTGCAAGTGGTGCTGCAGAATGCAGAATGCAGATAATACTCCCCCGTCCCTGCTGCACTTTCTCCTGCTTTGGGCCGAAACTCATGGTTCCTTCCAATCAGAGGGATTCCGGAAGGGGCGTGGCGTGGGGAGGACACTGGGACAGTCATCCGGCGTTGCAGACTGGTGGACTGGAAAGAGTCACCCGGTCTCGCCATTCCCCCCCCAAAGTGTCCCCCCCCCCCCAGTGTCGCCGGCTGCCAGCGCCAGCTGTCTCGGGGCTCCTAAATAGAGAAAGGCCATGGTCTGACTGGACATGTCCGCGCCTCCTTTACTGGTTGATGTCATTCAATGCATGCGGCGTGCTCGCAAATGACGACAAATGCCGTATTCAACTTGCTGCATGCACACTGTGACACTTGGGTACGATAAGGTCCTCATCCTTAACGAATCCCCCCAATCGTCAGCTAACCAACTAACGTAGCCGGCCTTGTAAAGGACTATGCGCCTGGTATTGGTGATTTGCCATTGGGTGAGGTAGGCCATCTTGCCGCTGGCGGGCTGCCAACTCAGCTTGGTTGTGGTTGCTCAGGTCATATGGCCCCCCTCACCCGCACCCTCCTTCTCCAATAAACCAAGTATGTAGGCAGGTGCTATTACGACAGTAACAACCCTTCTCTTCCAGGTCAGGTACGTGAGGTGCCTAGACAGGTCTTCGCAGGTGCTTCTCTTCCCAAGGACCAACGCTTACCTTGCAGCCGTCTCCCTGCTCAAGGGCTTTGTGCGTGACTTTCGCCTTTGCTTGCCTTGCCGAGGCAAGATATCACCGGGTCAAGACGACGTCATGGTCGATGTGGTGCGGAGTGGAGTTGCAATCAGATTGCTCTTTAGTTGGACAATTGCAGAGGCCTAGGTGAGGCCCAGAGGTAATCATGAACATGCCAAATGATTGTTACAATACGGCGCATCGCTGCTCGGTTTACGGTCAGAAAAGACGTTGAGAGAATCCTGAAGCAAGCTCAAAACAGACTATGGATGGTTAGTCACCTTACTCTCTCGACTCGATGTTGTTTGTTGCTCATTCATCCCGAGTCTATTCGTTTGTTTTGGCAAACATTCAAAGACCCGAAGACCTGTGGACCCCGTGAACGTCTCGGACCCCACGGCACTTGCTCCTCCGCCCGGCTCGTGCTCGGGCTTAGTCAGAAGACTTGGCGCTCAGCGCACGAGCCAGTCACGCCAGTCGACATTTCACCGCAATGCCCGGGACGGGCCCGACCTTGCAGACCACGCTGCTGCCATCTGCTCACGGGCCCATTTCATGAAACATTGACACTTTGCAAGCTCTCTCGCACTGATCGTCCTTTGGCTTGGCAACCACCACTGATGCTCGGCAAGGTGGCCAAGTGGCATCTGAACAATTACAAAATACGAAGAGGCAAAGTGCAAAGGACGAAAGTCTTCGCCATTGCCAATGTCTGGACCGCGCTGCCAAGACGTGCGACTTCTCCATAAGCAGCATCACTCGTCAAGTTTACCAATGGCTTGAGATTTCTCCTGTGCTCCAGGCTCCGGCAGCCTTCCCCTCCGTCGCCGACGGACCATAGCTGGGTCGTGTATTCCCCGTTCTAGCTGCATGATTCAGGTCAGGATGGCTTGACATAACCTTAATCCCAGCCGTACCTGACTTCAACATACGGATACCGAGTCGAGACCAGAACACCACGAAACGGCCATAATAAAGATGCGCGTCGTCCAGCCAGGCAGTCAACTAATCACAATCTATTTGACGTGAGGCCAATACCCACGATGGGCCGTGTTATGGCGGTGGCCGGGGAACCATCGGTTGCGACCCTTCAGGCCTCAGTGCGTGCATCTCAAAGTCATTCTTAAATCGTCTACAGCCTCGAGCAACATGCTGAGCACAGCCAATCCCCACGATCCTACCCGTCACCTTAAAATTACAGGGTCCTATCGTATTCGTCCTCCTGAACGACCGTGCAGTTACTACAAAGTACACAGGTGCTGTTGGCCGACTGCTCCCTCACTTGGTCGAGACTCTTCCATCCCAGTTCAACGAACTCGATCGAGTACCTATGAACAGAGCCCTGTCTTCAATGTTGCCGATACAATGGTCTTGACATCGACTAGATTTGTTCGGTCGGCGACTTGATACCTCAGAGTGAAAGGGTTCTGGCTCCTAAATTGCCCTAGGTACTGCCAAGTACGCCTTCGAGCTAGTGCTCTGTTCTTCCCGCTTCCTGTCTATTTTTTGTCTTCGTCCCGGGGCAAATCTTGACCTAGTGTGGCGAAGACGCACGCTAACCACACTTACAACAAGATGCATGGCAAACGAAGGAGTGTAGGAGCCGTCGGATGTTTTTTTGGCTGTTGGAGATCTTCCTTCTCGCGGATACGAGGACAAAGGAGAGCCCAACAGAAGGCTGCAACGGTAGCTTTGCAGATGTCCATTACCTAGTAGGTTGCATTGTCAACTGATTTACAGCCACTCGCCTATCCGCTCGACCCATCAACGCATCGATGGGTTCGTCCGCCGAAGCACTCAAGGAGCGCCTCAACTCTATACACCGCGCGAGTACTACACAGACGACGGATGTGGTTAGAAGTAGGCTACCAAAATGGTAAACCGAGTCCCGTTCTTTCTTGCTGTGTTTCGAACTGTCTCGTTTCGAATCTTCTTGGCCCACCGTCTACCGGTTTAGTGGTTCCTTTCACACTTGTTCACACCTCTACGAACTATACCTGGCCCGGCGATTCTTTTATCTCATCTGAACCTCAATAGCTGACCGATGTCAAGCTGGAAACAAACAAAGGAACGGCTGTATCTTCAACCGCATCATCCGGCCATGTCTTTCAATCCTAACGGTTACACAGGGCGGTTTTAAAACTTTGACTCGACTATGAGCGCCACTCCCAAGCGTTTGGGCGCTGGCAGGTACAACGTCCTCGCTCCGACGATCCTCGATCGAATGTCGTCTTTCCTTGGTCTCGGTTCATCTCCACAAACCCATTCCACCTGAGGGACTGAAGGCCCTACCATGTCTTCACCCACGAGGCTGTCTTTAGTGTGTTCTTGGCCCTCCAAATGGCAGGTTGAGCTTCCATGCTTTGTCCATCGCACAAGGCCCCTGGGTTGCTCGTCCGGTACGGGCTCCACATAGGATGGCTCGCCGTCCGAGCCACTGACCAGCCGCTTACTCTGTGAACCCAGGATGTGTCGTTGGGTGATACGGTAGCTTCTCAGGTATACACTCCCGGCTAGTTTCTTGACACCCACAAGCGTGTGGTTGAACAAACCTCCTCGGCGCCACCGTTTAGGTAGATTTCGAGGGAGTTGCTATAATGGCGTCCTCAAGTTGTATATATGTCTCTCGCGAGTCTCCTCCTTCAATCCAGGTTCCTTCTTGTCATGATCTCTATCACCTTCACTTGTCTCCAAGTCTTTACATCTTTTCTTGCTTGAGAGGTATTCTTTTTTAGACGTAGCGGACGGGCCCAGCATCGCCATCATGTCCCCTACCAGCAAGCTATTCGGGCTCTTCAGCCTTGCAGCAACTGCCCAGGCAGCATGCTCCAACTTTATGATAGACGACTTCTCAAGATCATCCGTTGGCGGTACCAACAAGCTCGACTCGTGGACCAGTGACGACGGTTCCATGTCAAAGGTCGCTATCAGCAACGGAGCACTCACCTTCACCCCGAAAACCGATACCTCCTCATACTTCTATGAGACCCTGGGATGTGTGAAAGCAACTACTAAAGGCTACAAGGCCTTGTCACTATCAATCACTGGGCCTAAAGATGCTTCCATGTTGCTGGAGATCCAGTCAAGAGCAACATGTAACGACAACACATACAAGAGTCAATGGGTCACCATCTCCGGCCTCACTGGTTCGCAGCAAACCGTTACCATCTCTCTGTCTTCGTTCACGGAGGCAAACCTGGACGCCATCACCGGATTCGTCTGGTCCACATACTCTCAGTTCTCCTCGTATTCGTTCGACAACTTGCAGTTCCTGTGCAGTGATGTTACCAGTCCATCTGCTCCAGCGACACCGGTTTCGAGCAACCCTCCGTCAAGTTCAACTCTTTCGGGCGCTACCACTCGCACTTCGGTATCATCATCATCATCATCCGGAACGGTACGAGCTGCAAGCACCGCGCCTAGCACCGGTCCCTCTTCTTTCTCGACATCAGCCAGGTCATCGGGCACCTCTCAGAGTACCGCTGTCAGCTCCGGTGCTTCATCTGCGGGAAACACCCAGGCCAGCAGTACATCTTCGGTAGCTTCAAGTGTCCGCTCATCGTCCTCGTCCATCACTTCAGTCAGGGCATCAACTACCTCCAGCTCTGCCACTTCTCAGTTGTCGCCTGCTTCATCGAGCTGTAGCAATATTCTCATCGATGACTGGGAGTCCCAGTCACGGCTGACCTTCCTCTTCTACAACGCCATGCTTCAGCCAAGCAGCGATGACGGTACTATGAAGAGCATCGCTGTGAGCGGTAACAGAGTTACCTTGACCCCAAACAACAAGGACTCTTATTTCTACAGCAAGACTGCCTGTACGAATGTCAAGACTCCGGCATATGGCGGTATTTCTCTGCGCATCAAGGCCAACAAGGGGACGACTTTCCAAGTCCAGATGGCTTCGCCGACGACCTGTGGCGGCGAAGACGCAGTTTTCGGCTTTCAGACTACAGCTGAACTCGGATGGACGTTCGACGGCACCGAAAAGCTTTACAGTTTTCCCTTCTCCAAGTTCCCTGCCATCGACCAGTCCAAGGTATCTTCAATCTTGTTCGGTTCACTCTCGGGAGCTGTGACTTTTGGTCCCATGGCCTTCTACTGCGGCAGCACACCCTCCGAGTACATCGTCAAGACTCAGCCGGCCGCTTCTGCCACAGCTTCAACTGTCGCCGCGCCTAGTGCCACGATCCCGTCCAAGGTCATTGACGCCTTTGCAAGCCAGAGCCAAAACGCCCTCGGATTCTGGCATGGAGGTGATGTCGACACTGCAGCGAAGTGGACCAAGGGCAAGGTCGTCATCAAGGCACCGGACGCCGACTACTCTTACTACACGCAATTTGGAGATGGCTGCACCGACATGACCATGTATGATGGTTCTTACTTGCACGTCGCCTACTCAGGAAGCAACAAGTTCACCATTGCCATGCAGCAGCACAACACGCAATGCAGCGACACTGTAGCCCCTTTCCCCGAGACCTGGGATTCATTGGAGGCGGCTCGCTATGCCACTGGCAACGATATTTACATCCCCATTTCCCACTTCAACATTATCCGCAAGCGTGCTGTCGGCCTAGCCTTCAAGGGCTTCTACACCAACGAGGCAGTCACTTTGACCAAGGTCGAAATCGTCTCATCCGTTCCCGCCAATACGCTCATTCCTAACAAGTTGTCCACCGGTAACCTGGTTTTTGCTTGCAAGCGACCCAACTCGATTGCCTTTGCCATCGATGACGGTGACCCAAAGTACGCCCAGGAGGTCATGGACGTCATCAGGTCGGAGAATATCAAGGTCACCTTCTTCACCGTCGGTGCTCCCCTGAGAGACCCCTCTACGAATCTGAGCAACATCTACCAGGACATGATGAAGGAAGGCCACCAAATGGCCCTTCACAGCTACACCCACCCTAGAATGGAGGGACTTCCCAACAACGATGCCATCATGTGGGAGTACAGCCAAGACATCGCCGCTGTGAAGGAGCAGTTCGGCATCACGACCAAGTACTTCCGGCCTCCTTTCGGTAACGAGGGTGCTCGTATGCGACAGCAGCTAGTTGCGGCGACGGGAAGCAACAACCCCTACATCGTCAACTGGAACATCGACGTCGAGGATTGGCTCTATGCCCAGTCCGATACCCCCGAGCAGCAAAAGGTGTCATTCAAGCGCGACCTTGACAAGGGCGGCAGTCTGGTCGTCATGCACTACTTGTACCCCAGTACTGTCAGCTATCTAAGGGACTTCATCAAGATGGCCAAGGCCACAGGAAAGCAGCTTATGCGGGTAGATCAGTGTATGGAGGACCCCGATGCGCCTCCATTGTAGTAGATAGGACGGGATGACGACTGTATATTACTTAGAATAGTTACATATGGGATGGAATGGGGGCATTTAGACATTCAGGCAATTTTTTGATCAATGTTATTTTACTTCAAAAACATTCTCCTCTGCTCGCTTTCTAACTCGATGTCATGGTCAATACTTACCTTTCCCACGCTTGCAGAGTCGGATAGGCCGAGTCGCCAGGTACATGGGGGAAGCAGTTGGGTTGCACAAAAGTTCTGTGCTGTAGTTATTCTGGACGCGTATAGAGGGCGAGGTCGTTCATAAGACTTTCAGTTGTTCACTGCTGGCCAGCGTCTTCGCCACGGGACCATTCCTATAGGCAACTCTACTCGAAAAGGGCAAACGTTGACTTGGGCAGATGGCGAAGTCGAAGAGCAGCAGAACAGTCAGTCTACTTGTGCCTACTTTGTGTAGTCTGGCTGCGTTGAATGCGGTCTGCTGTTCGTGGTCATGGACATCCTTCCGCTGAAGTCAACGTCTACCTTCTTCGTATCAAAGTCGGGGCCAGGACGGTCGACATATCCTTGGAGGCCGAATGTGGCTGTGGAATTGCCTGCTGTATGTATGGTCTACAAGCTTCTACGGCGGTAAGGTTTCCGCTTCGCGAATTGAGCACACCTCGGCAATCTCGCGGATATTACTAATGTGGCTAGAGTATCCGTATAGAGCTCCAAGCAAAGCCACAAGTGATTTTCGCCATTAAGACATTTAATAGGGCGCCACACTATACGACCAATCGCGCGCGCTCTTCGGTCATTTGAACTAAAAACCCCCTTATATCATATTTATTAAGTGTTAATAAATTGATATTCTTTATTTATTTTTCTGCGTCATTGCTCTCGAGGCGGCGCTCAATGAAGTTGATATTAAAAAGAAATATAATAAATATTAAATTTAGAGCCTTTAGTTATTATAGAGATTTATACTAAGCAATTGTTAATAAAAACATAGCCGTTTTTCTTTATAACGGCCTTTATAACGGCCTACTTATTTATTATTATTTTGCTAGTAGCTTTATAAAATTATATACTCTAGCTAACTTTTTAACTTCTTAAGTAATAATTAGTTATAAAGTAATATAAAGCCCCTATGTAGTCTAATCTACCTATTGAACAAATAATAGCTAGAAGAGCTATAGCGCTATATCGCTAATAATATCGTAAATAAGTAAATTATCCCCTTGGTTAATAAGGCAGGAATATTAGTAATATTCGTATTAAAAAAGAACAGTACCTTAAGACTCTATATAGACTATAAAAGACCAAATAAGATTATAATTAAGAACCGCTACCTACTCTCTTTAATCGGCAAACTATTAAATAGGCTCTATAGGGTAAACTAGATTTTAAAGGTCGATATCCGCAACGTATACTACTATATAGTAATTAAATAGATGGATTAATAAAAGACGGTATTCTAGACAAAATACAGCTATTTCAAGTATATAGTTATACTATTTAGTCTTATAAGTACACCCGCATCCTTCTAAGTATATATCTACTAAACGCTTACTAACTTACTAAATATATACTATATTACCTATATAAATAACATCCTAGTCTATTTTATAATATAGGATTAATATACGGAAGACTTAAAAAGGGTCCTCTAACGGCTAAAGGGATTTTACCTATATATAAAGCTTAGTAAATATAGCTTTTATTAATAACGAATAGAGTTTTTAAAATACATTATTACTTTTAAAGGAGTATTAATAAGCGATAATAAAGTAAAGTCTATTACTAAATAAAAGCCGCTAATGATATTCAAGGAAATCTAGGTTTTCTTTAGGTTTTATAATTTTATTATAAGTTTATATTAAAGTACTTTAATATTATAATATTAATAACGGACTTATTTAAAAGTACTAAGTTAGGGAGGAAAATAAGTAAGTTTACTTAGATAGAGGCGGTATAAGCTATATTTAAAAAGTTATAAAAGGCCTTTTTATTAATAACGATCTTCAGGTAGTTATTAGGACTTAATTAGAGAGACTAAGGTCGAAATAGACGCCTTATAAAAGGCTATCTTTAATATTTTTCATAACTTATTGAGATATAGTAGCGCTTAATAACATATTTTAGTTATAAACTTATTAATATAGAATAACGGTAACTAGGATAACGATATTTATAACTTTAATAAGACTAGTTTCCTAATAGGAATGCTATTATATATAAAGGTTATTATAACTTTTAACCGTAAAGGAAAGCCTTATATAAAGCAGCCTAGTAATTAAAAATAAGTTTAACGTACTTTACCAGTCAGCCGCGCATTTTTTCCATGACGCGCTTTGTTCTCAGCCACTTAAACATTTGACGCGTAATAACTCAGCAACGGCAACGTCAATTTACACCCAAGAAGACAAGATCATTCTTGTTATTGAGGCGATCCGAACGACACGCGCTGCCGGCTATAAACTGAGTATACGACGTGCTGCGAAGATATACGGTATCCCTAAAAGCACCTTACGCGATAGAATGAATAATCGATTACGCCGCGACCGTACCTAGCCCTAACGACATAAACTCGATCCGATCGAAGAGAAAATACTTCTCCAATACGTTATTAAGCAGGATTCCAGAGGATTTCCTCTACGACTCGCTAGTATAGAAGATATGGCGAATTTCTTGCTTCGGACGCGGAATAGGACGCCCGTTAGGAAGTACTGGGCTAAGAGGTTTATCGACTCGCAGCCGACTCTAAAGACCAAATTCAATCGTCTATATAATTATCAAAGGGCCCTTTAAGAGGATCCAGAGGTCATTCCGAAGTGGTTCGCGTTATTAGGCAACATGATGACCAAGTACGGCATTAGTAACGAGGACCTTTTATCTATCACCTTGCCAACTGGTTAACGGAATCCGGCTTCCTAGGCGACTGGGTGATTAAACCGATTATTAATGGACAGACCGATAATGAAACTAGCCTGGACTAGATCAAATATTTCGATAAGTATGCTCGGGCCCACGTAAAAGGTGTCTATCGGATGCTCATAATCGATAGGCACGAGAGCTATTTATTGGCCGAATTTAACAAATACTGTAAGTAGAACAATATTATAACTATTAGTATGCCTCCGCATTTATCTCACTTACTCCAGCCATTGGATATTGCGCTTTATTCGCTATTAAAACGCGCATATGGGGATGAAATCAACCTATTCATCAAATCCTCCGTCAACCACATTACGAAGTCCGAGTTCTTCGTTGCCTTCCGTAAGGCCTACAACAAGGTCTTTTCAAATGAAAATATTAAATCCGCCTTCTGCGGAGCTGGTCTTTTACCGTGGGACCCAAATCATGTAATTGGGAAGCTCGATGTGCATATACGGACGCCTATACCTCCTATGACCGACCCCTCAACACCACTAGTCTAGCAATCGTAAACGCCTTCTAACCGCCACGAAGCGCTCTCACAGTCCAACTTTATTAAAAGTCGGATCTTAACCCATCAGAGAAGCTCTCTAACACCAATAATCGAGGTAGTTGACCGGCTAGCAAAGGGTGCGTAGGCAATAGCGTACTCGATCATTATTTTAACGGATTAGGTGCGCATACTTTAGGATGCTAATGTGGCGCTTGTTAAGCGGCGTAGGGCAAAAAAAAACGCGTGTGTAGCTTGGAGGAGCACTTAGTATAGAGGAATCCCAGGAAATTCTAGAAGAAAAGAGTAAAGGGAAACGCCCAGCGCCTCAAGAAGGTGAAGAAGATGGTCTATCAAAGAAGGGTCGGTCGGCTTAAAGGCGTTGCAGTATATATAGTAAGATAGGCAATAATACGCGAACGTGTTCTAAATATAGAGAATCGTCTAGTGATTCAGATGCCGATGAAAGCTAATTGAATTTTTACGTTCTGGTTATATAAACAACTTATAAGATGTTTGCGATGTCGGGAAAAGTGCACGGCTGACTGATATGCGCGGCTGACTGGTAAAGTACGTTAGTTAATAATAAAATCTTAAAGAACGTATATATTAGTTCCTTAATATTACTTATTTCTTTATATAGTACGAAGTAAACGTATTTAGTAAGTTGATTGACAATAATTAAGATATTATTGTAGTATATATTTATAAGTAGCTCTTTGAACTTAGGGGGTTCGATAATAAAAGTCTTAAGAGAAAAAGTATTATACTATCAATAAAACCGGTAATAGCTATAGCTCTTTATAAGGCTTATAGGGGCTATTTTTACTTTTCTTATAAATGTCGTAACTAATCCTTTATTATTTTAATAAATTTTACTAATATAGCAGATTTATTAGAACATTATTAAATAGAGTTCTATATCTTTATAATACCTTAATAATTATATACCTTAGTATCATAAATTTCTATGATAAGTGTAGGAGTTATCATTCTAGTCGGTCTAGTATTAACTCTTCTAGCTATTATAAGGAGCTTCGTAGTAAATATAAGGTTATTATTATTATTATTATATTTAAGGATAACCTATATTTTTTTAAGGACCGTAACCTTATAGTTAGGTCTTTTATTAAAAGCGTCGGCTCTACTATTTTCTAAACCGTTTTTATGGATAATTCGGAAGTTAAATTTAGAGAGGAATTCACTCTATCTAACTTATCATTTATTTAGGTTCTTATTTATAGTAAAGTTTATAAGATAATTATAGTCTATATAGACCATAACTTCGTACTTAGTTCCTAATAACTATAGTTTCTATTCTCGAAATATTTCGATTATAGGTATTAGTTTCTTATTATAGACTTACTACTTTAATTCTATTTTATAGAATATTTCAGAGTAAAATATATAATGGTAAAGTTTTATCTATTTATCTTATTATCCTAAAACTACTCCTATAATAAAATGCGAGATGTTAATCTTAATTTCGAATAGTATTTTTAGGTCTAGAATTATAGTTACTAGTTTAAAAACTACTATGTTCTTGATTTTAACGAACACTTCTTTAATTAAGGGGTCTAATTATATTAGTATAGTCCTTAAGGAATCGTCGA